ACAAAAGAAAACTGGATGACTATTTTTTTATATACGTATATGCTAGCAGATAACAAATAGTTCTCAGAGCAGATAGCACAATAGTCTAATTATTAGTCCCTAGCATTTCCTTGTAAAACCTTATTTTCAGCTCTTAAGATGCTAACTGCTCTTAAGGGAAAAGTACATGCTTTCTGTAGAATACCAACAGTTTTGTCCACTTTCCCACATATGATTTGGTCCTGTACCAGTAATTGCATTTGTAATGTTACTTTAATATTACAGCACTTGAGACATGTGTTTTGATTGAGTTCCACAGTGCTTAGTAAAATAAAATGATGCAGGAATATATGGACCAAAACCTATAGCTTTGATCAGTTAGCAACTTTGAAGTTGTTTTCAAAGCCCATTGCTTTAGGGGATGTGTAAAGGACTTGAAAGAAAGATGTTTGCACCAGCTTGGGATCCTGAAAAGGAATAGGATGAATTCATGGAGGCAAAGGCTATGCGTGGTTCTGATGGCCGCATCCGGCCTCCAGTTCAGAGGCAGCATGATTGTGGACACCGGTTGCTGGAGAACTTGGGCAGGAAGGGCTGTGGCAATCCTGTCCTGCTTGTGGGTTTCCTCTGGACAGGTGGTTGGACACTGTGTGGACAGGATGATGGACCACATGCACCCTGGACCTGATCCAGCTGGGCTCTGCTTGGGTCCTGATGTCTGATATCAGTGGTAGTTATAGAAGGGACCGAACAAGTCCTATGAGGAACGGTTGAAAGAGTTGGGTGTTTGTTTATTCATTTATTCATTTATTTAAAACATTTTTATGCTGCCCCCATTGCAACAAAGCCTCGGGGCGGCTCACAGCAAGAACAAAATTATACAATAAAAATATTAAAACCCGGTGCATCTCGGCTTAAAAAATTTAAAATCCTACAAATAACCAATCAATTAACACTTAAACTAAGTTTTAAATAAAAAGGTCTTAGCCTGGTGCTGAAAAAGAAATAACGACGGCGCCAGGCGGATCTCTCTGGGGAGCGCATTCCATAGGTGTTGGGAGCAAGACGGATGGGGGGCTGGGAGAAGTGTGCCCATGGGGTTCCAGCTGCATCCCAGGTGCTGATTAAGATTCAAGTGATGAAGAATGGCTCAGTGAGATTGGGAAGCAGGATTTGGCTCAAGGTCCTGGGGAACAATGGGAGGAGGAGGCCCAGTTAGATGGAGGCAGGCCCCTGACCTCCGGTGTGGTCAGGGCTCAGGTGTGTTCATCAGGAGTGTTCTTGGAAGTCATCCCGAGAATGTGTTCAACGAGCCTCTCCATGCGTGCTCAGAGCTTTGGTCTGGGTGACTTGTACTAAAGGCAACAAAGAACATTTGTGGCTGGCGGTTGTTCAAAGGAAGCACCTTGGCTCCCGACAGGAGGGAGGATTCGCTCGAAGAAGCAAAGACTAAGAGGAGACATGACCGTGGTCTTCACATATCAGAAAGGACGTCACATCCAGATGAATCAGTGATGTTCCCCCTGGCTTGTGAGATGAAGACAAATTCTAATGTCTGGAAAATGCAAAGAAGCAGGGCTGGCGATACGGGAAATGACAGAGTTAAATTTTACATCTTTGCTATAGTTCTTGCAGCTGAAGCACATTTCCAAGTAAAGCTTTTCTTGCAATGTTGCCACTGCATTGACCTTTTGACCTCCTGGGGTTTTCCCACTGTTTCTTCCATCATTTCCTTTACTATAGTCAATCCTCTGAGGAGCTGAACTGGCATAATGGTGCAATGACTTCTGACGGAGCATGCTAGAAACCCACCATCTGGAAGAACCCAACAACTCTCCCTTCAGGATCACCTTGTTCTGCATTTATTTCCCTTTTTGAGTTGGTCTGCTTGCTCATCAATAATGCAAAGGGTGTTTTAGACCTCCAAAAAGCACATGGGTGTTGACTTCTTTAAAAGTGACAAATGATACAGAAACTCAAGGAGAAACTTGCTAATAGAAGCATTTGACAGTGGAGCAAACTTTCTTTGGTAGCAGAGAGCTCTTCTTGATTGGATGGAGTTAAACAGAGATGGATGACCATACCACAATGATGCTTTATTTGCAAAATTCCTGCATTGAGCAAAGGGATGGATTAGATACCTCCCAGTTCTAAAATTCTGTGATTCTCACATCATCTCTTTAAAAGGCCTGTTTTTAACCAACTGACTCTTTCATAAGTTGGCTACCTGACTACCCTTTTTGATGAATGACAGATTTTATAGGCTGTCCTCACCACTGGTCAGTGAATACTATTCCGCAGGATACAAAAAACAAAACACACAAAGAATCAGTCCCAAGCAAGCAGAGGTAGAGAAAAGGGTTACAAGCCCTTTCTATAGAAGCTGCGGCATCCTATAGCCTGAAGTTCTTGATACCTTCTAATATTAGAGGCCAAGCAGTGTGAGGTCTGGTTAGTATTTGGATGGCCCAAAGACCTTCTTGGCCCCTTTCAACTGTGTGACTCAATCTTATTTCTATTCAAAAGCTGAAGACTATTTCCTTTATTTTCCCTGTTCCACGTATCTACATGAAGTGCCCAGATTTTGCAAAATTGGCTGGGGACAGTCAGAATCAGAGCATGATGCTCCAGCAATGCTCCAAAATGGACTTTTGGTCCGGGCAATGCAGTTTTCCGACTGAAAAAAAAATCCTTCAAAATGCTAACTATAAAGGAAATTGTCTACAAAAGATGTACATTAGGGAAAGTTGGGTGCGTAAAAAGGCAAATATTATACAAAATGCATATGTTTGGGTAAATTACATGCAAAAATGCCCCTGTGCATAAAATGCATGGAAATTTTCATGCAGACTTAAAAAAGCAAAACCGATCCCAAGCTGATGAAGAAATGGGATGGGATGAAGGTGTGCTTGACAGAAAACAAAAATTATTTATTTATTTATTTATTTAGTAAACTTCTATGCCACCCCATTCGCCGAAGCCTCAGGGCGGCTTACAACAATAAATAAATACATATAATCATATAAAAACAATATAATTGGAAACGCCCTGGCCAAAGATATAAAATCAATAAATAAGCTAACTATTAAAATGCCGTTTAAATAAAAAGGTCTTGGCCTGGCTCCGAAAAACATATAATGACGGCGCCAGGTGGACCTCTCTGGGGAGCGCATTCCATAGATTGGGCGCCACTGCAAAGAAAGCCCTCCTCCAGGTACTTACCCTCCTAATATCCTTCACGGAGGGTTCCTGGAAAAGGGCCTCTCCTGCAGATCTCAAGGAGTGGGAGGGCACGTATCGACATAAGCGCTCTTTTAGGTAACCAGGACCCAAGCCGTTAAGGGCTTTATAGGTCATAACCAACACCTTGAATTGGGCCCAGACTTCAATGGGGAGCCAGTGGAGTTGACGGAGGACTGGAGTCATATGAACATAACGCCCAGTCCCTGTCAGCAGCCTGGCAGCTCTATTTTGAACCAACTGAAGCATCCGGACCGTCTTCAAGGGCAGCCCCACGTAGAGCGTGTTGCAGAAGTCTAATCAGGAAGTTACCAACGCGTGTGTCACTGTCGCCAGGCAGTCGTTCTCCAGGTAGGGACGCAGCTGATGGATCAGCCGAAGCTGAAAGAAAGCGCTGCTCGCCACCGCTGTCACCTGAACTTCAAGTGAAAGCTCTGGGTTGAGGAGCACTCCCAAGCTGTGGACCTTGTCCCTAAGAGGGAGTGCAACCCCATTCAGGACTAGGTCAAGGTCCCCTTCCCCGAAGCCCGAACCACCCACCAACAGGAACTCCATCTTGTCTGGCTTGAGCTTCAGTTCATTGGCCCTCATCCAGCCCATTACCTCGGCCAGGCACCGGTTCAGCACAGCCACTGCCTCACCTGGATTGGTGGAAAATGAGAGGTATAGCTGGGTATCATCAGCGTACTGGTGATTCCGCAGCCCACACCTCCTGATGACCTCTCCCAGCGGTTTCATGTAGATGTTAAACAGCAAAGGGGACAAAATGGATCCCTGCGGTACTCCATGGCATAGCTGCCATGGCTCAGAGCCATAGTCCCCCAGCATCACCTTCTGGAATCGACCACTGAGATAGGAGCGGAACCACTGCAAGGCAGTGCCTCCGACCCCCAATCCCGCTAGCCTATCCAGAAGGATACCATGGTCGATGGTATCGAAAGCCACTGAGAGGTCCAGAAGAACCAACAGGGATGCACTCCCCCTGTCCTTCTCCTTGCACAGGTCATCGTACAGGGCGACCAAGGCGGATTCAGTACCGTACCCGGGTCTGAAACCGGACTGAAATGGGATAGCAGATGTGTTAAGCTCTAGACTGGAATGTTGCTCTTCTGGATTGCACCAAGTCAGCTACACCCTCCTCTGATGGACTCCATTCCATTCTCCATCCAGGGCTTTGGCTTGTCTTTTCCAAATGGTGGCCAGCCTTCTGAGGCTATTGCACCTGGGAAAGGGGGAGATGGCCAAAATAACTTAACAAATCTCTCTTTTTTAAGATTTTTTTTCTTCTGCAAACTTTAGTATTCTCCTGAGCCTGGAGACACTTCCTTCTTTCTTATATGGTGTCTTTGCTTCTGTTTCTGTCTATAGGCAACCCCTTCAATGCATTGTTTCTTGCCAGGCACCCACGCCTGACTATAAATATTAACCAGGCAGCCAGAAGTGTAAGGAACTAAAACAAAAGGAACTAAAAGAAGCAAAAGGAAACCAATCAATTATCTATTTAAAATAACAAAAACAACAACAACAGACAAGGTTTTTTGTCTTTTGATATACAAAAACAGGAAAATGATGGCAGGTGATAAATGTTCAAGTTTATACTGGGCACAAAGAAATGATGCCCTGAGATTGCTTTCTAAAATGAAAGCATGTTTTGGCACATGTACAAGCTGCATCCCTCTGATTCCACAGGTTCATATTTCCTCCAGACAGAAATAAGCATGAGCCAAGTTTCGTGCCCTTAAGATCAAATAAAGTCACACACCACAACATGGAAAGACAGTGGGGAAATATCTTTATTGAAAGAGGTCATCTTTGTGAAGCAGGAGAAGTGGTAGCCCTACAAAGGAAATGCTGAGAATCTTAATATAGCTCTCCGAGGAGCATTAAAAATAAGAAGATTTGGATGGGTGTAACTGTGCAGAATCTGGTGGTGAACTCACTTCATACTGCAAGCATCCATGTGGTGGGAAGCAGATTTAGCTCACTCTGGCATTTTCTTGCCCAGCAAAACAAATTTCACCTCTCTTTTCTTACTGCAAATTTCTGATCTCTGCAGAGGCATGGGGAAATTTATCAAAGCATGAAATTGGAGCTTCTTCGGGCACTCATGAGTGAATGTGGGAAGGAGCCAATGGGAAGATGCCAACAGGAGCCTCCCTGCCAATGACGTGCTGGCTGGCTGTGTTCCACTGCTCGCACGTGATTGGCTCAGTCTGAAGGGAACCGCCTCTGTACCTTCAGGCTCCTTCTCCATGGGGCTGGACAACCTTGGGAGGTTGTGGGTGTTGCTTTGCAACCATGAGGGCCATGATCCTAGCCCCAGGGGCTGCATTGCCAGATTTGGCACTGAAATTGGGCAACACGGTGGCCAAAACACCCCTGCAATTTTGCTTCCAGGCAAACCATGCCCGAGCCCATGTACCTTGTTTTGGAGAAACATCATGGCTCCTTTTGCTTGCCATCACAGTAAATTTGGCAGCAGTAAGTGAAAGCTGCAAAAGGGGTCACATATTGCCTGCCCTACCTTATGGGGTGGGAGTTCTTGACAGATCCTAGACAGTCCACTCATGCATCAGGTGGGGAACATTTCTAGAACGTGTGTCATTGCCCAGGGTAGCACCAATAGGCCCCTTCACAGATTCAGTAGCTCCGGGTAACAAGCGCCTGACTAGGGCATGTATGTCACAGTCATCTGTTTCTAAACGCAATTGTTACATGCTATATGGTATGCATATTTGTAGTTACCATTCACCAAGGGGGTAGTTTATGCCTTTACGTGTTCTTACTCAGTTAAAATATTTCTCCGTTCCTTCCCATCTGACAATACAATTTTCAAGGAGGCTTTAAAAAAATACCATTCCGCAAGAAAATAAACGACATTTAAAAGCACACAACTAAAATTAGCAATAAGATAAAATAGATCAAGCTGCAATAGAATTCACCAGAGATAGTATGAAAGCAATTCCAAATGACATTCTGCCAAATACTCATGTAAACAAAACAAATTTGACTTGGCACCAAAAGAGAAAAGGGTGAAAAAATGCTCAGCTACCAAGCAATGAGGGGAAGGACTCATTGAGCTTGAGGGGAAGAACATTTTATGACTTGGACACCTCTAAGGAAAAGACCTGCTCTTGCTTTGCTCCCTTTGCAATCAGAGCATGAACTCTGGTGAGGTTTCCACACAGAAGAAGGCAGCTGCCCTTCAAATACTTTGGCTCTAAGTTGTTTGGCTACCCTGGGTCTACACAGTTAGGACAAGGGGTGGCAAGATTATCTTTGCATCTAGGAGGGGATGCAGCTGTCACATTAACTGAATTCGATGTCTCTGGCTATAGGTGCTAATTATAAAGTAGAAAGCCACCCTACCTGAATATGATACTTAGGTCTAGTTCTCTTGGACGTGTTTCTCAAGTTTGAAAGGCCGCAGTATCCTAACCCTTCAAAGAGAAGGCTACTCTGGGTACTGTATGTCACCTGGCTACCCTAGCCAGAACTTTTGCTTTAAGAGTCTTAGTTTTTACATGGAGGGAATTTTTAGCGAGAGTATAGGAGCCTTGGAGAGATGGGAGTTGTAATCCAATGCATTTGGAGGGCACAGGGCTGGTAAGTGCTGGTCTAGCTTGTAGCTCTTCAGATTGTTTGAATTTCCTACATTTACACTAAAGGAATCTTGCCACATAGGAATGAAATATGATAAAGCCAAGTTCAGGCCAGGGTCGTCAAATCACCTACTTTATGCAGGGCAGTCCTCTGTTTGAATGGCTGTCTGGCTGAAAGATACCAACCTTAAGAAGGGGCCACCCTTTGGGGCCACCACAAAGTTGCCCATCAGCCTGGACAGCAGAATGATGCCCGTCACCTGGTTATATTCCTCTCCACTAAGGTGAGAGGTATTGCTTGTCTTTTTAATTTATAGTAATTCTTTCCCAGTTTGGCTTTATACATCTAAAGCTGCATGTGGACATATCATGGACGTCTGTATCCCGTTTCTTTGCATAATGTATTTTCATTTTTTTGGACATCCAAAAATGCCCACCCTGGTTCTGGCCATGTATTCTCTCAGCGCACTAATGTTCTACCGGAAAGAAATGTGTCCATGTGGAGGCATCTGCAAACATGTGAGATGCCACCTGTGGTCTGAAATAGTCCCAACTCTAGCAGACTATCACAGGGACATGTAGGCTCAAGTTACAGGGTCCCTTCCCATGTGAATTGCCCTTCTGCTTGCATGTAATAAATAGCCCCAAGTTCCATTAAATGTTAATACCATATTACTGTTTTATTAACACAAATAAAACCCCTCTATTTCTACAAAAAGTGATATGGGGTGGTTCCTGATCTGTCATGTATCCAACATGTTCTGGTTCCCTTCAGGCGTTACGAACTGGACTTTGGGCACAATGAAGGATGAGTTATTCCTTCTTATGGAATTATTCCTCCGTATGGAGTTATTCCTTCGCATGGAATTCCGTTTCCTCAAAGAATTCTGATGGGACAGCTCACTTTTCTGGAGTGTTTGGATGAGGATGGAGGGCTTCTCATCCAACTCTTTGGCACTGCAGCGAGGGGCCGCCACTTTGCTAGTATTGCCGAACTTGGAATAGTCAACGGCATAGGTCCCGTCCTCTTCTGTCACAATGGGCACGAAGCGATGGCCCCAAAGGATCTCTTCAGATATGTAGGACGTTCTTGCTTGGGTGGTGATTCCCGTGGTTTCCACCACACCTTCCAGTATCACGATAATCTCTAGGTCTTGGGTGGCCAAGTCATTGGCAGAGATATCATACAGGGGACTCCGCTTGTCAATGACATGGCTAATAATCAAGGGTGCCACTAGGAAAATATTGTTGCTTTCAAGTGGATTGTCAACAGGAACATCAAGCTGGTGGATCGGGATGACTTCTCCTTCAGGGGTCGTGGTTTTCCTTACAACCTGGATTCGCACCGAGGCACTGATGATCATGCTTTTCCGCAAGTCTCCCACGCGGAACATGAAGCAGAGTCTGCCATTACGAACAGCAATGACAGCGTTGCGGCTGAAGATCAAAGTCTCTGCTCTCCGATGCGCCTGGGCCGTTTTCATGAAGATGCACCCGAGCATGACAGCATTGATGATCAAGCCCACAATGTTCTGGAGAATCAAGACAGTGATAGCTATGGGACATTGTTCAGTCATCATCCTGCCTCCAAAACCAATGGTCACCTGGACCTCAATAGAGAAGAGGAAAGCAGAGGTGAAGGACCTATGGGGAAGGGGGAGAAAATATGCACACCATTATGAAGTATGATGGATCAGTCTATTTATCTATGAGCAAAGCATGTCTGGTAGGACGAAGGAGTAATTCATGCGCTGTCAACCAAATCAAAGGATAAAACCTTCTCTGGAATGAACCAGTTCAGTTTGAAGAGTGGGGTCAAGGTGGCATATTTGAATGGTCGTTAAAAAAGGAATAAAAGCCCTACAAAGAAACCCCACAGTGCCATCCCTCCATGAAGAAACATAGTGTGTAAGGAAGTAGGTTCAGCACACTTTTCTTACCATCATACTAGCTTTCTATGTGCATGGACAAAACTTAATACGGGAGAACCATCAAACACTGCAATCTCCTCCTTGCAACTTGGCATGATACAGTTCAGGATCAAATTTGCTGCTTGATTTTATGAAGTTATAAAACTAGCCCAGATATTAGATTATGGGTGTGTTTTTCATATGAAAGATTAAAGCAGGTAGAAATGGAGTATTTCTGTCCAGCCCCTGTCATGCTTATCCCCTGTAGGACCACATCTGCTATTATTTATTAATTTATTATATTTATATTCCACCTTTCCTCCATGTGGAACTCAAATTGGCTACATACAGTTCCTAGGTTGCCTTCCCTCCAGACCAGCCCCAGGCCTGCTTAGCTTCAACATGGTGGGTCCTTATGTGCCTTCAGACCATACTCTGGGCCGTGCTATCCACAGGTTCACATGGACAACTGGAGCAGAAAGCCAGTGCAGCAGCTGGATTTGTTCTGATTCTGGAACCCTGATTGTGCAGCATTCCAGATTAGAATCACCCTAATGGGTGGGGTAGAAATTTAATAAATCAATGAATAAAACATCTTATGTCTGCATCTAAAGTACAACCAACTTTTTTCCAACATGGTGGCCTGGAGATGTTTGGGATGTCAATTCCCTTCAACCTCAACAAGCATTTCCAGAGGACAGTAGCTGGGGAACAGCCTAACACCTCCAGGAAGCCACAGGTTGAGCAAGGTTTACCCCAATCTGCATTGACGCCAGAGGTGAAGTGGGTCAGAGCATTGTGGGACACAGCACTTTTTAATGGGCAACAATGCTTGACATCACATGCCACCGCTGCTCCATTCCCTTCCCAAGAATTCGCTGTTCCTCTCAGCTCAGCAGCAAGGAAATGAACTTTCCCAACAGCCAAATACTATTCCCTGTTGGAATGCAAAGTGTTTGGATTGGTAATGAGGACCCCCTTTGCTTGACAAAGGATCTGCTGCTAAAAAATGATAACCCGTTTGTGGAGATGGGTCCATTCTACTGCCTGGACTTTTGCACCCTCCCTGAGGGCTGTGGCTATAGATGCCACAGTGATGAGCACACGCACTTCAGAATGTGTCACTACACCAGTGATCAGCTTCAAAACAAACCATTCAAGGCCTGGATTTATCCAAATGCATTACACAACTGGGGAATGATATGCAAGACAATTGCCACCAGTTGTATAGGCCATGTGCATTTGTGGCTTCTGGCCCAGAGACACAGCCCAAGACATGCAGTTTGGTATGCATACTTGGTGGAATGGAATCATATCTTGGTGTTCTGCCCAGATGTTTTGAGAAGGCGGGAGCTTGGAAGGGCAGCAATGGTGGAACTGGGAAAGATCTTCAAGTGGAAGGATGTTTCCCTGGAGACGATTGCCAAGATCATGAATGGGTGTGAAAGCTGGATAGTGAACAAGCTAACAGGAGGAGAATGGGTGCGTCTGAAGCATGGTGCTGAAGTAGTTTTGTGAGTACCCTGGACAGACAGAAAGATGAAAGGGTGGGTGCTAGATCAAATCAAGGCAGAGCTTTTCCTAGAAGCAAAAATGACAAAACTGAGGCTGTCATGCTTTGGACCCATCATGAGAAGGCAAGACTCCCTGGAGAAGACAGTCATGACAGGGAAGGGCAAAGGCAGAAGAAAACAAGTAAGAACAGATCTGAGATGGAAGGACTCTATAAAAGAAGCCATAACCTTGAATTTAGAACAGCTAAGTAGGAATGTCCTGGATAGGATGTTTTGGCAGGCTTTCATTCAGAGAGTGTCCATTCAGAGGGAGATTTCTTGACAGCACGTAATAACAGCAGCAACCAAAGCTGGCTGCTGCAGCATTATCCCCCTTTTTCTCAGAACTGCACTTTACCTGATGCAAGTGACGCACGGTATGGTCCGGTTGAGATCTTCGTTCATCGTGCATGGTTTGTCCATGTCCCCATGAGCAAAGGCCACCAGCCACCACATCATGGCAAAGAACAGCCAGCTGCACAGAAAGGACGTGGTGAAAATCACCAGCGTGTGGCGCCACTTCAGGTCCACCAAGGTGGTGAAGATGTCTTGCAGGAAGCGCCCTTGCTCACGGATGTTCTTATGGGCCAGGTTGCACGCCCCATTCTTGGCAATGAAGCGGGCTTTGCGTGGGCGGTCCCGAATACGCGGCTTGCCCAGGTTCTCGGCGGCGATCCGCGCAAGGACATATTCTTCCGGGATGATGCTCTTCCTGGCCAACATTGTCCTGTTACCATAATCCACCAAGCAACTGAAAAGGGGCAAGGATGCGGAACCCAGAAAGATGCTTCAGGGAGCTCCTCGGTGTTCTGGTTACTCTGGTCAGATCCTGCAAATAGGAAGGAGACATGAGTTTCAACCCCACCTCATTCTACACGTGGCCAGCAGCTGGCATCGTTGGGCAGTTATCAAGGGCCCAAATCCTAGGAAGCATTCCACTGCCAAGGGCCCCTGCAACCTGCTTGCTCACCTGCTTCTTGCTGTGGTTTGTGGCGAGACTAATGCCGGTGGGTGTGCTCTGAGGTTCAACAGCTTCCCTCCGAGTTATGACATCTCACCTACTCTCATGCGCAAATGTCTAGGAATTCATCGAGACATTTATGTCTAAGAACATAAACCGTCCTTGCTGTCTTACAGACTACTCTTTCTAGTTTCATTTCTAGGGACTTCTAGTGTCTTTCCATAGCCGGCAACTGCATGGTTTTTAGTAATACCACAAAATGTGTTAAAAACGAAATATAAGTCTCCCTCCCACCCTCATTTTAAACTCTGTACTCAAAAGGGATGATTGATGCATCCACAAACAAAAATATCCATACTATTATGGATAAGGAGGATGAAACTCAGTCAGAGAAGGTGACATTTAAGCAAAAACGCAACATCCCTTCCTGCAGAGTGCTTGCATCGGTGTCTCACCTGGATAATTTCCACCAGCCATCCAAAGTGTGGATGTCTCATCTAAGAAAGATCCTTTCCATTTGATTTGATTTAAAAAAAATATTCCAAACAAGTGATGTGTGGAACTCCACACCCTCCCCTCAATAGATTTCCTTTTTTATATTCCTTAGAGCAGAGGTGGACTGGGCAGAAAGTAGATCTCCAGATGTTTTGGACTTCAACTCCCAGCATTCCTTATGACAGGCCATGCTGCTAGGGGCTTCTGGGAGTCGAAACGCCAAACAGCTAGAGCTCTACCTCCTACTGGCTCTATTTTAGAATTTCTTAGATGTCACAACTGCTATGATAGCATCACATTTTGCTTTAGCAGAGTAAGCCTTTCAATGTGAAATGTTATTTATTTATTTATTTACTTAAAATATTTGTATGCCACCCACTGGGCCACAGCACCTCTGGGCGGCTCACAATCACAAGATAAAAACCACAGTAAAACCAATTACAACAATTTAAAATCCAGTGCTAATAAAATACTGACAAAAATACAAAACAAAGGTCTAGTGGCCTTTGTTAGCATAGATTTAGGACCTTTAAACGCTGCAGAGGCAAGGCAGCATTACTTACATGGGGAAGTACTTTTTCATGGCCGCTCTGTGGCTGTTATTCCATGTAAACCAGCCCTTTAAAGAAGCCCCGTTCTCTCTGAGGTGCCCATGGACGGCATGCCCCCCCCTCGCCAACTTCTCCCTGCTGTCCTGCAGCCCTTCCTTTCCTCTACCTTAGCAAGCAGGATGACTGATTTGACCCTCCTCTTCCTCTTCTTCCGATCCCACTACGAAACAGAAGGGCTGCAGCAGCTGGCCTATGACACTTCAAGGATGGAAATGAAAGGTGCAGGAGGGTCCAGTGCTCACTTTGAGAAGCAGCAGCCTGAACCAATAGGAGACTGCCGTAGAGCGTGCATGACCCCTGAGGAGCCCATGTGGGGAAGCAGCAGTCTTTTCACCGGCCCGTGTCCTGGGGGGCTGCATCCTGTCCCCTAAAGACTGCCTGGTTGGTGCAGCCCACCACCACTCAATGCTGACAGATGCTTTAATTGCAATTGGTGTGCCCAGGAGCTGTAGCTTCCCCTCTCCACTGCGGGAGAGCAAGTGGTGGAAGAGCCACGGTTGCTTGTCAGGGGTCTTTCAGGGCCCCTCCTGCAGTGAAAGCCTCCGGGCAGGTGCCATGCTCTGGCCTTGGTGGTGCTACTGGTGGTCCAATCCAGCACAGCTCTGCTTGCATCCTTAAAATCCATTAGTTCTAGACCACTTCAGACTAAAGATGGAGGTTCATATGGTTGTTCCTCCATTCACTACCACCATTCAGAAAACTAGAAGCCAGAGTGATAGCCCATTTTCTCCTGAAGTCCTGGCTTTAATGGGCAACAGGAACACATTTTAATGGAGCAGGGAGGTACCTGGCCAGAGCAGCCCTCTCATCTGCCATTTAAGTGGTACAACAGCTTTAGAAACATAGAAACAGAGCAAGTCAGAAGGGGTCTCCTGGGCCATCTAGCCTGACCCCCAGCTTCAGCTGGCTCCACTCACGACATGACCACCATGTGGACATCCAGCCTATCCTTGAACACCCGCACCGATGGGGCCTCAGCCACCTCCCGTGGAAGCCCATTCCACACCCTCGGGGTCCTGACTGTCAGGAAGTGCTTCCTGGCATCTAAATTGAACCTTGGTTCCTTGAGCTTGGCTCTGTTGGAGTGCGTCCTGCCTTCCTCTGCAGGGGAGAACAGGTCTCTACCCACCTCCATGTGACACCCCCTCACACACCTGCATGTCGCCAACAGATCCCCTCTGAGTCTCCTCTTCTCCAGGCTGAAGAGACCCAGTTCCCTCAGTCTCGCCTCATACCCCATCCCCTGCAAACCGGCCACCAACCTTGTGGCCCTACGTGGCACTGACTCTAACCTGGCTATATCCTTCCTGTAATGAGGGGCCCAAAACTGAGCACAATACTCCAGTTGCGGGTGTACTGGAGTCATACAGAGTGGCAGTAATGCCTCTCGCTCTCTCCCTTGACTCAAGATTTGGTCAAGAACGAAAGGGTGCTGCCTTTTGGGCTGCGAAGGATGGATTCCAACCAGTAGAATAGAGAAACATTCAGTCTTGCTGCATCGCTTTTGTTCAGTAAGAATCCACCATAATTAAAGATCTCAGATGGGGTGAGTCACACTCAAACAGCTGCTGGATTCTGTTCCGGATGAAGAATGGAACAAAGATCTTGAATGCTGCTTGAACCAAGCATTCAAGGAATTTCAGAGAAGCAGAAACAACTGATAGTGCAGCAACTCTCAGAGGCCTTCAGCACATCCCTGCCTATGACCTGTAGAAAGCTTTTGTGGAGGGGGTCTGCCAGAAGGCACGACTGAGGCATTGCTGCTTCTCTTGAGCAGCACATGTCCGGGGGCAGCCTGCTCCAACCTGGCATGCTGCAGGTGTGTTGGACAACAATGCTAGCTGGGAGGGATGGGAGCTGCAGTACAACTCGTCTAAAGAAGGCTGCAGAAGTGGGACAGTTGGTGTGGTTGAAATCGCTTGTCTCCAGCTAGTAAGACGGAATTGAGAAAAACAGAAAGCTGCCAAGCTTTGCCTTTTACTGAGTTGGTCCCTTGGCCCATGGAGCCTAATATAGTTCACCTGGACTAGCCACAGGTCTCCAGACTCGAAGACAAAGGTGTTTCCACCAGCCCTGCTATATGAGTTCCTGCAATTAGAGATTCAAGGGATTTAATCTGGGCTGTTCTGGAGGCAAAGCACAGGCTCAGCCTCTGAGCTAGAAAGATCCATGCACAGACATTCAACGGAAGCAAAACAAAAACTAAAACCCTTAAAACAAGATGATCAAAATTTCCTGGTGGAGATCTGCATACTCTGTTCCTGATGGCAGGATGCAGAGACCTAAGAGTAGGACTGAAGCAGAATAAGGGCAAAGTCTCGCCATGCGATTTTTGTGCAGATGTCTCTCAACCATTGAAATGGATGCAGGAAAACAGCAATTTATTGCAATTCCTGAAAGGATCTTGCAAGGGAAAACCTTAGGAATGCACAAAACAAAACAAGACACGGATTCTCCAACCAAATTCAGGTGATCATGCCCCAAAACAGTTTGGGTTGAATTAATTTTTTCTGAGAATTGCAAAAAGGAAAGAACTTTTTATTTCCAACTCAGTATTTACACATGTCTAGCAAATGAAACATTATACTATAGTTACCTTCTTATATGGTACTTTCCATATAAAGACTGACTGGCAAACAAATCCCAAAGCCTTCTGTAGGGAGCACTAGGGAGCCAAAAATGGCTTTTTGAAGGGGGAGGGGAGGCGAACAGACTTACTAGCATGTTTAGCGTCCAAACAGAATTATTTTGAGCAGGGGCATGTGGGGGTTTCATAATTTTGCATCTATACAACACCAGCTCCAGTATAATGTGAATAAGTGGTCTTCTGAGCAAATTCAGAGTACCTTTCTCTAATCCTCAACCAGACGAAGGGGAAATGGTTCCAGGGCAGGGGAGGGGATAGCTAATAACATTTCAGCATCTCTCCCATTAGAAAATTCAGCACTGGCAGAAGCGCTTTAAAAAGCAGCAGGAAGGGGAGCTTGCGAAGTTGTTTTAAGTGTTGGTGCAGGGAAACTTACAGAAGTATGAAGGAGAAATCCAGCAGCTGCAAACACCTGGACTGTCTTTGTCAGAAGCAGCGGGAGGAGAGGTCATCTAAGAAAGTGCAGCCCTAGCCAAGAAGGAAGATGGGCACTCACCCTGATCTTGCAGCACTGCGGAAGAGCAACACTTTGGAGCTGATGGTCATCCTGGCCGAATCCGCTGAGCTTCCATGGCAGACAAATTCCCAAGACACAAGGCAGGTACAGCAGGTGGCCGGCCTCTGCTTTCTGGCTTTCTAGTGCTGCTAGACTTCTAAGCTTGCCCGTGACGATTAGGGAGCTGCGAGAGCCATGATTTTGTGTGTCTCATCCTGGGAGCTTGTTCTACAGCAAAGGGGAGGAGGAAAGGGGCAGCAGCGAGAGAATAACACAACTCTAGTTGGGGAAGGGCGGCTGAGCTGCACATGGGACTAGGTAGAAACGCACAATCACCAGCTGCAGTCAGAGCCCCATGAGATCTCTCCTCCCCCCTAGATATACAAATCCTTTGTAAAGTTCCCAACATTTTCCCTGGGTTTGGGAATGCGAGGGAGAAAGGAGAGGAAAGGATGTTGGCCTGCATCCAAAACTCCATTGACGCAAAGACAGAGAGAGAGTGAGAGAGTTGGATTTTAACCTCTGAACTGCAGAGTGCTCGCCGATAAAGGGAACCCCAGCCTTTGCGCTCTTCCAGGAGGAACAGTTCAGTCGGTGGCCGGTTTCCATAAAGAAGAGAGGGCACGTTGCTTTGAGCAGGTCAGCCAAGGTGCTCGATTCCCCCTAAATGGCCCTGCGGTGTGTTCTGCTGATCCCAGTGCCCGGCCTCCTCCTCATGCATGGGGGTGACTTCTGAGGTCCAAATGTGCCGTGCAGGGGTGGGTGGGTGGGTGGGAGGGAAGGAATGGTGCACGGCAGCAACCACTCACCGTTAGCGGTGGGCTAGAGCAGCCACACGGACTCCCTGCCATCAGCCTCAAGCACCTCGCCCCCTGCACTGTTTTCCTCCCCAGATCAAGCGGGCGAAACGCGATGGCTGGTGGGCTGCCTTCCATCCCACCCCAGACGGTTCCCGGATGGAAGCCCACCGATTCCACCCATGGGCTCCTCTCAGGTGCTGACCGTGCTCTTGTCCGAGTGCTTTATTGTTAGGAGACAGGGCTGGGCCAAGGGAGTTCATCCATTGAGGCAAGGGACAAAGTGCAGGCGCTCCTCAAGCAGAAGTCAGCCACAGTCAAGACACCACTGACTCTTCAGCCCTGGTGATGGAGTGGCATCTTCTAGCACACCTGAAGACGGAAGGGTCACTTCTAGGGGGTAGAGCAGACTGCGTATTATCTGCAGCTCTGACCTCTGGTACCTCACTGCCGTTCCTCTGCCGGAGGCTCTGACCTCCACTTTTTCCACTGGTAGGGCTGGCCCAGGTGGGAGAAGCTGCGGAGGAAGAAGCTTGTCCTCCTTGTTTGCTGTTGAGTTGACCATCCGCTCAACTTTGCCACATGATCTGCTTCTGGCCCTTTGGACCATCAACTACCTGTGCCAGTGTGAGAGCCCCACCCTTTTCTCAGGTGTGGCATGTCCTGAAAACTCCCTTTTTGGGGTCAGCCAGTGTACAAGTTCTGGATCAGGCCAATAATCCATCTTGGCCTTGCTTGTTTTATTCCATCAATGGTCCATGAGTTGCCATTAATGGGAATGTCCCAGGCATGACTCAAGAAGGATGGCCATCCTCCAAGGTTCATCTCCGGAACCTGGGAGTCAGTGTGTCACTGCTCCTGAACATGGAGGTTCCATTTAGTGATCATCATGTCAAATAGCTCTTTAGGCTGCAATCCTGTATCTCAGGGGTGATGAACCTCTTTCAGTCTGAGGGCCTGATTCTATCTGAGGGAGGCTCTTGGGTACCTCCCTCCAGCAGTGGGCAGGGCCAAAGGGATCAAAGTGCAAAGGGATCAAAGTGCAAAGCATCACAGTGTGTTTTACCTGAAAGCCCTTCCTGCCAGTAAGAGATTCTGAGGAGAGGCATGTCCAGCTTGTAGAACAGAGGCAAACCGCCTATAAAAGCCAGGCAACTGGTGGGGTGGTTGGGGGAAAAGGTTGGTCCAAGGAGTTTATCAAGCAATCGAGAAGGCAAACAGTGGAGTGGCTCTCGTTCATCTGAGACACAACTTTTTACAGTCTGCAAGCTGGCAATGCATCCCAGAGGAACCGCTGGTGTCAGAAAAAGCTGGTGTCTTCTTTCCCTCTGCTTGGCAGAGAGCATCTTGAGAAGCGTGCAGCCCTGGAGACAGTATTTGTATTGTGTTTTATTTTATTTTTCTTATTTGTGTAAGCCGTCCTGAGGCTATGCGATGGGACGGCATACAAATACTCTAAATAAATAAATAAGTGCACCAAGCATCATTTCAAAAGAAAACAACCCTAATCAGTCTTCAGCAGGAGGGGGAGAAAGAGATGGCAATGCTTTCCCAGTGCGCTCAGCTGATGAAGTGTATAATCCTGGCAAGCTGCATCTCCTGTTTAATGGAAACTTGCATTCTTGGGAATCTGATTCCGCTCGTGACCTGCCCCCTCGAAACCGGCAGGCAATTAGGATTTCTTAGAGGAGTGACATTCATGGAACTGTGCTTAGGAAGGGGCCCCTGGGTTTTCTTTTGCATTCACCTAAAGCTTGTGAAAATACTCTGCCAAGAGAGCGATTGGAGAGGCCGGGCGGTGTGGTGCTGCAAAGATCTGGCTTCAAAGCCCCAAACCTTGGATCAGCTGCTTTCTCTCTTTAAGCCTAACTTATCAGAAGGCTGCAGCTCCCTGGAATGTCCTGGAAGGGCTAGGAAAGAACATGTCTAGTCCTGGAAAGCCCTTGGCAAACCACTGACAATACTGGCCCCATGGACAAAGGGCCAGAGTGGCCCAGCCCCAGGCAGGGTCCGGTGTCTGTCACGGTGTTGCTGGGAAGATACAGTGGAAGGGGCCAGAGAACCTTACGAGGCTTCCTGGAAGGAAAGTGGGATGGCACGTGATGAAGCAACCCAGTCGGCTTGCGGGCTGGAGCTGTCAGCCCTGAGCACTTGATGGAGACTCCATGTGCCGTAGCAGTATACCTCTAAAGGCACAATCCAGCGCAAGAGTAGTCAGGTTAGGGGGCTGCAACTCCCAGCTGAGGCAGAAAAAGCTTGCCAGTTGCACAGCTGGGGATCCAGGTTCAGTCACGGAATTCCTCTCTGCTCAGCTTGTCTTTGGAGGGGCAGGCTGAGCACAAGTCCTGTCCTTTTGGGACAGGGACTCGGGTGGCTGGGTTCCAGTCCCTGCTCGGCCATGCAGCCCTCTGGGTGACCGATGGCCAGTCGCTGCCTCTCAGCCCAGCCTACCTCACAGGGTTGTTGTTGTGGGGATAAGATTGGGAGCAGGAGGAAAATGCTGTAAGCTACTTTGAGATCATGGTAAGAAGAAAGTGGGATAGAAATCAAATAAATAAATAAGAGGAAGTTCATGGAGATTTGGAGGAATGGATTCCAACAGGTTTCATTCCAACCTGGGGGTGGGAGCGGTTTTGCCAGGTTTTGCTCTGCTCTGCTCTGCTTGCAGTTGTTTCATTATTAAAAATTTAATGTTCGTTAAGGACAGGGTAAAAATACTGTAAATAAATAAATAAAATGATGCATTTTAATTTGATGAATTTAATTCTGATGCATTCAAATCAAACTGTTAGCACTACCACAGATAAAATACCTGGTGATCAGCGCCTGTTCTAAGGGAAATGAGACAAATATATCATTCCATTCCAAAGTAATACCACATATATTAACATAGGAAAAACCACGCTGGGCAAACCAAAGTCCTTCTGATCTAGCGCTGTGCTCACACGGGAGCCAATCAGCTGCACACAGGATCCCACCGGAAAGATCTGACCATCCCAGCACCCTGCCACCCATGTTCCCCAACAGGTGGGGCACATGGGCACATGGCCTCTGCTAGTGGAGGTGGCAGAGCCATCAGAACTAGAAGCACGGATAACCTTCCCCTCCATGAATTTGCTCAATCCCTTTTCAAAGCTATGCTAATAGATGGCCCTCTCTAAGCCCTTGTAGAAGTGGGTTTCATCGTTACTCACCGTGAGCACAATTTCTTTTGATCTGTCCTGAGTTTCCCACCAGTTAAGCTTCTTGAAATGTCCCCACATTCTAGCACTATATAGGATGGCATTTTTTCCAACTTTCTCAACACCATGCATAACTGGGGTGCGGGGGGGAGAGATCCATTTCACAGGTAAACTGATATTTATTTTTTCTTCTCCTGTGGTATGGAGATGGCCACCTTAATAGTGATAAACCTCATAGTTTTTGAATGCAGCATCAACTAATAATCAGATGAGACTTCTGCCTATATCACACCATATCGACTTTAAACTATTGTCAAATCTTTTCATGTGAATGGATGTTGCAATGTTTAACTGAACTGTATAAGCTTATACCTTCATTTCACCTGTGCTCCAAGTACTTGTGGACGTGTTTGACCAGGACAATTTGAGTTTAATCCATTTGTCCTGTTATGGAAATCAACATGTCAGAGATGTTCAGCAAATAAAGACCTGGAAGTACAAGAAATGAAATGGGAGAGGTCTCTTTAGAAGCATTCTGCCTGAAATATTACCTTATGCTCATTTCTCCTTCATTTCCCCTCCTAGGGTGGGTGAGTCACTGAGCATCTCAGGCAAACGTCCCCTTTAAGGTTATCACACCCTGCTCATGTGGACCTGCCTTCCTCAACCTGGTAGACTTAAGGTGTGTTGGACTACAATGTCACCCCCACCCCCAGTCATCATGTACTGCAGCCACACTGAGCAAACATAGAAACAGAGAGAGTCTGAAGGGGTCTCCTGGGCCATCTAGTCTGACCCCCGGCTCCAGCCGGCTCTGCTCACGACATGCCCACCATGTGCATGTCCAGCCTATCCTTGAACACCCGCACCGATGGGGCCTCACCCACCTCCCCTGGAAGTCCATTCCACACCCTCGGGGTCCCAACTGTCAGGAAATACTTCCTGGCATCCAAACAGAACCTTGGCTCCCTGAGCTTTGCTCCGTTGGAGCGCATCCTGCCTTCCTCTGCAGGGGAGAACAGGTCTCTACCCACCTCCATGTGACATCCCCTCACATACCTGTATGTCGCCAAAGATCCCCTCTGAGTCTCCTCTTCTCCAGGCTGAAGAGACCCAGTTCCCTCAGTCTCGCCTCATACCCCATCCCCTGCAAACCAGCCACCAACCTTGTGGCCCTACGCTGCACTGACTCTAACCTGGCTATATCCTTTCTGTAATGAGGGGCCCAAAACTGAGCACAATACTCCAGAACACATGATGGATGTTGAATGTCAGCACATCCAGAGGCCACCCAGCTGGGGAAGTCTGGTCCAGTTCTTGAAGCAAGTGGGCTTCCTTTACCTTTGAAGCTAAGACCCTCAGCAGTCATCTTTCTTTTGTCTCCATCCTTCAATGATCATCTAGAAGCATTTTCACCCATGGAGCTCCTCCTTCCCAGTTCAACATACTCCACTTTTCTTCTGGACAAAATTCACGCTCCTCTTCTTTTTCTCTCCCAGCAATTTTCCAGGAATCTCTGCATTTGCTGCCCAAATACTGCCTGTCCCAGACCCAACTGCATGCTTCCAAATCGATACAGCACATGCTCTTTCCCTGCTTGGATAATTAGTCTCACCCAGGAGCCTGTCAGTGCCCTGGTTTGCATGTCCAAAACAACCCACCATTTCTTAACTGTGGGGTGTTGCTAATGAAATAGGAATAAATATGTATGGGGGTTCCCAAATACCTGATCCAGTGAGTTAAGTAACACAGTGACGCAAGGCAGTTGGGCTATTTACTGTGATGCCTGAATCCAGCATGGGAATTTATTGGTGGAGGGAAAACCCAGACTTACAACCCAAAGACAAACCATGGGTCCCACATCTGGCCTGTCCTTCTCTTACCAACCTGCCATGCTTCAAGACAGTCTTTGGAAAGATCTCCAAGGGAAGGCAGTCTGGGAACTGTGTGCACACTCCTGAAATAGCCCATGGTGATTCATTATTTTACTTCATTTTCCCAAGGAGGGGAACATACTCTTTGGCACTGGCACAAATTTGAATTGCATCGCCCTAACATAAGCTACCTCGAGCACAATGCCAAGACAGTCTTCTGGCACACCGAGAAGCCCATCATACTAGCCAGTCATGTTCGAGGTAGCTCGCACTTCTGCAAAACAATCTGCACAGGTATTGAATAAGTTGCTGCTATAGTAGCCCAGTGCATCCCTATAACCACACCGAGAAGTCCGTTAGGATTAGGCAGTGGCTTCTTGGCCTCCGGTCCTCTGTTGCTGAAGTCCAACCCTTGGACCACTACACCATCTGCTTTGTTTGTCCATTGTGTGTAAGGCAGAGGAAGACCATGGCTGCTTCTGTGAGGATTGGCTTCCAATCCTATTTTATCGTATTGACAGCAAGGGGGACTTGGGTCACCACCAGGCGTGCTTCCAACCGCAAACGCCAATGGTGTCCTCCCCCGTTTCCATGTTTTAGTGTGTGCTTCTCAGCTGAAAGGTGTGCGAGGGCAGAGGGAAGGAGGACATGGATAATGAACTTCAAAGGCTGGGACTACCACGGGAAAGCTGGGCTCTGTCCTCAGCTGTGGGATTGCGAGCCAGAAGATGACCTAGTCATGCTGTATGTTCAGACTCCCACATGACCTCTGCCACCCACCCAGTCCGTTGGCTTCCCCAATCTGCGTGTGTCCACAACAGTTGAAAGCCCTGGAAGGGCACTGCCAAGTGCAGGATCAGCCCTCCCCTGGATTCAGGGTGCCTCCTCGTTTGCCCACAGCCAGCGTGCTGACGACATGCTTCTCTTCGCCATTTTGAGCGAGCCCTTCTCCCCGCCCTCACTAGCCCTCAACCAAGACTTAATGGGCCGGTGTCCCGTCCAGCAACACTGCCCAGAATGTACCGTGTGAATCAGACAGTAGCTTGCCTCGAAACATAACTCCTTGGACACAGCAATGATTCTCGAGCCAGATTCTGTGTTTCTAAGTGTCAAAGTCCTCTTATCTCATAACAAATTATCATTCTAATTGACTCAGTGAGCGCTGAATCTTGGCAAAGGGAAACCAGGCTAATAAGAAAACAATGTTAGGAATTAATCATGACAGCTCTTGGATGGGTTGTGCAGACTGATTTGTGATGGGCTTTTAGATCAAGTTGTGCTTTTGGTGCAAAACCGGACCTGGTCTTTTCCCAAAGGAAACAAAAGAATGCTTCTGATTTCACATCATCTGCAGGAGGAGGCAGCTTATTAGGTCCACGAGATTTGATTTGCTATCCATATTTTTGGTGGTGACTCTTGCGGTCATGTCGGAATTAAGGATTTCTCCACAGCAAGTTTGAACCTCATGGATCTCACCTGACGGTTGCCTGTAGCTGATCTCTGACCTCATGTGCATTCGGCATGTTTGCACGGTCAATGTCCCGGCAGTGACAAACCGCTGGCCAACAGCCATTTCAGTGCCACCCTCTTCTCTCCCTTTGCACTCTATTCTTAGGCTGCAGACCAGTTCTCACTTACCTGGGAATAAGCTTTATTGCTTTGGGGGGACTTACTTCTGAGTAGACATGCCTAGGCCTGGGCTGTCAGCTTTAGTTGTCAAATATATTAGTTGGTGCAATCAGCTGGGAGAAATAGAGCTGGTGGAAGGCCTGTGCTTATGAATGAAAAATTTCTGGTGCAGAGAACATCTCGAAGGAATACATGCAGGTGGAGGAATTGTATGGCCACAGCAGTGCGATTAGACTTTCTTGGGCGAACATTGCTGGCAACAGTTTTCTGAACTGCTTGAAAAGAGAACTGTCAATAATGAACTATCTGGTCTTTTATCGCTTTTATCTCTGTGTATTTTTCTGTTCTATAATCCCTGGCAAGTCGTGCATCTCTGCTTCTGTGTAGCCCAGTGTGCCTGATCCTGCCTAATCTTAGATGCTAAGCAGCATCAGGCGTGGTTGGAATCTGGATGGGAGACTTGAGTCCTGCATTGGACATGATGGCCTTCTAGGCCTCTTCCGACTGTATAATTCTGTTGGTGCCAGTAAGAAAACCTGATCCATACATGAGGCTCTTGGGGATGGGACCAGCAGGTTCGGTCCTACTCCAGCATTCTCCTCTCGATTGCACATGCATTTAATGAGTAGGTTCGGACAACATGAAAGCCCACATTTAAGGGCTATGTTTTGAGTGTAGGTTCTCAATAAATCAAGGGTATCACTGAACCATGGTTTATTTATTTATTTTTCGATTTATATCCTGCCTTTTTCCTACAAAGGGCTCAAGGCAGCTTACATCATTCTCCTCCTCCATCTTATCCCCACAACAACAACCCTGCAAGGTAGGTTGGGCTGCGAGTCTGTGACTGGCCCAAAGTCACCCAGTTGGCTCCATGATTGAGCGGGGACTAGAACCCAGGTCGCCCGAGTCCCAGTCCCATGCTCTTAACCTCTATGCCACACTGGCTCTTCATGGATTATCATGAAATCTGAACCCAGCCAAGTTAACAAACCCACAGTTCACAACCCAGTAATAGATGGTGAGTTCTCTTCATGGATTGTGTGTGGTTCACAAACAATTATTATTTATTTTATTTATTTACAAATAATTTATAAATTATTATTTATTATTATGTGACCTGTATGCAGCCAATGTCCGAACAGGGCTTTAGTCTCTTAGAATGTAGAATGTTATAGATCAAGGGAAACAGAAAGAGAAGGATCGGCATGTTCACCCTGAGCCCACATCACCATATTTCATTCTGCTGCTCATCCACAATGGGAAAATGTGTACTGTTGCCATGAAAAATCATACTATCTGCTTATCATAGATGCTACATCTGTCACGTTTATGGAGCTCAAAAATTAAAAAAAAAAGCAAAGTAATTGCACTTGCAGAAAAGTTGTGTAAACAGAGGCTGATTCTAAGGGGACAAGAAAATTATTCTCCTGTAGTAGTCATTGCTATGTTATTTTGTAAGTGGAAACCTTTTGCACGCTCAGCATCCTACAGGTCACGATTCTAGGATTCTTCCAAATGCAAAGGATATGACACAGAAATTGGGAAAATGACTTGCACTGAATTACCACTGAAAGAAGTGGAGTGCATTAGTGCTGTTGACGGCTGCTATCCTAATGCACCCTCCCTTGGGGAAAAGCTCCACTGAATTAAGTGACTCTCACTTCTCAATAAAGAATCAGGCTTCATTTCCTTTTACTTAGTTCACTGCAGAACTTATAGGCTGTGTTCCCTGGGAGAACACCCCAGAAGACATGGGAGAGATTAGATCTCAGACTGCAAAGGTGGAGAAAGAGGTCCATTCTCAGAGGGGGAGATACATCCTTGGATACCCCTTCCTTGTGCTTACAGAAATGTTTGCAGACCTTCTCCATCCATTGTCAGAGCTCTGACTTCAGCAGAAGCAAAAGGGGGAGAATAGAAGGTTGGCACAGGCAGATTGGGGGAGGTTTTAGGATTTACAGATCTAATTCCTCCCAGTCTCCAGACATACCCCAAACAGGGAGAAATTTATACTCTCGGATTGGCATAAATAATTTCCCTCCATTGGTTGCAGCAAGGTCACATGCCCTCACATGCATTCCTGAACAGGATGGAAGGTGGGAAGTGTGACTCCTTCTTCACTTCTTTCTGACAGGGCCTTTGGATGGAGTACTTCTTCCAACTTTGGAGCTGTTCTTTGATCTCCACAGGAGTGTAGAAACAGTTTTGCTGGATTCTAACAAACCCTTCCACAAGTTCCCCACAGAAAATGGTCCCTGACCTTTCTCGCGTGTACAAAGAGCGCCATCCTAAATGTTGCCACCATTCCTGTGTATTAAATTATTTTGTTCACCCAAAGGGGGAACTTTTCAACTCTGTCTCAAGATAGTGTTGACCGTCTTCATGCCACAGGAGTGGACTGTTATGAAAAGATACAGAAGGATCATCTAGAATGTTTGTGAAGAGGAATTTATTGCTTCGAAGCATACATAATAGGTTTCAGTTTTATAAAAGTTACAAATGCAAAAATCTTTGGCAAAGCTTGCTGTGATGCTACAGTATAGAAAAGATTTCTCCCCTATTTCCTGGAAATAACCAGGCATTGAAAAAGGCAAGGACATGCCCTTTAGCGGCTCTTTCACATGTCGGCCCGAACAAAAGATGCAAAGATGCTTTCCTCTTGAGCCAGGAGGTTCTCGGGGGTGTCATTTTCCAAAATGATTCCTCGTTTCATCACAATGACCAGGTCTGCAGTCAGGATGGTGTGGACCCGATGCTGCAACAGAAGCAACATATCTTTGTCTTCTACTGTATCATCGTCTATTTATATCAACCTTCCTCCAGGCAAGTTGGACAATTCGCAGTGTTCCCCAGCCAGCCATGGGGAGAGCTGGTTGATTTCATCAGTATCTTAGACCTGGGTGCCTTCAGTTATCAGCTACTGGTGCCTGGGGGAGATTTGCACGTGCCATTCCACATGGGACGCAAGGGGCCTGTACGTGTCATTTCCACATTCCCCTCTCTTCATCTGGGGCAGCGGAACATTTGCATGAAACTCACTTTCTTGATGACAATCTGCCAAAGGTGACTAAAAGCAGCATATGTAAGGTAACCAGGAGTGGGTGTTTTAGGTTCAGAGAACAGGTTGGCCATGAAGCATTAAGACTGCATAGAACCCGTAGCCTGTCAAGCATTTGCAGTAATGAAAGCCAAGCAGAGGCTGAAAGCTAGAACTTTTTCAGAGCGTGCATTTTCAAGTTACACATGAAGCACTGGGCAGCGCAATCCAAGAGAGCTTCCTGCAGTGCTCTGAACACAGGATTATGGGCATCCTATGACAGGCAGAAGAAACATAGAGCTGAGGGACACCCCCGTGTTTTCCTCACCTTGCAAAACACACAGATGGCTGATGTCAGCCTTCTAAGTGTTTTCCTTCATAGGATGCAGAGAGAGGCTGAGGAATCCCTGAGGTGCTCCATGTTCTGGAAGCAGTGGTCCCCCTCCCTTCCCGTCCGCCCCAGTGCCAACAACTGCCCGTTTTTGGGGTTCCTCTTGGGGTCTGGGAACTGTGGCCAGCTGCAATGGCAGAGGACAAGCGTTCAGACTTCAGGCCCAGCTTCAACCTTGGAGCAGGTTTCCAGGGATCGAGGTAGGACTCTGAATTCCCCTACAGCCTTCTAGACTCTGTCTAGCAGCCATAGAATAGTCCTCTTGTGTGTGCACTTTCAAGAAAGTAACGTATGAGTTGGCTGAGAGCAAACCCAAGCCAAATAGGAAGGGAGAGGAAGGCCAGCAAATATTCTGAGGAAGGGAGGTTGAAAGCTCTAGAGCGATTACAGAGTAAGCCCTGAAGCCTAGCATTTACAAAAGCTGTACAAAAGCGGGCCTCAGCATCCAGGGTTGGACTGGGGGGTCATCTGGGAGGAGATAAGTAAGACTGAACTGAGATAATGGTGATTAAAACAGCTTAGGGCTTAGCTGTGCAAGCTTCTCCATGAAAGAGGCATGCATCTTTTCCATATAAAAGCAAACTCTCTCCCTTTATACAGAAAAAAATTGTGCCCCAGTGTTAAATGTTTGGAAAGCACTGATCTCAACTGTCAAAATGCGCTGTGTGAAAAGATACTAAGAACAGCTGCTTCACCCAAGAGAAGGAGCAGAAAGAAGGAATAGCAGTAATACCAGAAAGCCAGAAATGCTGCAGGAATCCTGGGCCAGGGGTTCTTATTTGTTCGTCTTTACCAAAGTGGTGAAAAGGCCATCCTCTTTGAGGAGCAAGTTAGCTGCTGTGTCGCACTCAATGAGGAAGCCATCAGAGAGAACTAAGACAATGTCCGCATCCAGGATGTGAGAGACCCGGTGCTGGAAGGAAGAAAAGAAAGAAAGAGGGGGAGAAAAAAGACAACACAGAGAAAGCCAGCCAGCTGGATGAAGAAAATAGCAATAAAAGGTAAACCTTTTATTGAGAATGCCACCTGAAGATGTACAGACCAGTTCTACAGAGAGTAGAGAGGAGAAAGTCACAGAGACTGAACTTGAAAGTTTAAAAACCAGCACAATGTCCATATAGGAATCCTATAAAGTAATATTCATTCACACTCAAGTTACCACACACAATAGTTCCTAAGTCATTGGGATGCTCCAGACTTTGTGTCTTGAAAGGTGTGGTTGTTGCGTATCAGATCGTCACATGTAACATGCATATAAATTGTCGTGTCCTGGACTTGGGAAGCTGAACTGCACACAGGTGCCTACAGCCCTTTGGATGCTCTCTGGCATCTCACACATGAGGAGCTGCATGTCAGATCTGAGGCGCTACCGATGCAAAAAAAAGGCTTCCTTGTGCAGACTCCACAAAACCTTCCAGAGGGGCCCAACTTATGACTTAAGTTGATTTTGCTTCCATTGGACCTAGCACGGTGATGGAAGCATGCTTGTCATCAACTGGGGAGAAGTCGAGAGAAGATCCACTTTGGGATCATGTGCTTTTTGATAATTAATGTTTATTTTCTTAACATAAACAAGTACGGAAAGAAGAAAAGCACATGTAAAAAAAGGTAAAATAGAATAAAGTTACCAAGGGATTTTAAATAAATACCACCAATACATTCAAACCCCCAAATTTGTCTATCTTTCTGTCATTCAACCCAATATGGGAGTTTAGAAAAGAAGCAGTTCCTCATCATCAACTGGGGAGAAGTGGAAAGAAGATCCACCTTGGAATCACATACTTACAGCGATTATTACCACTGTGCGGTCTGCAAAGGCAGTCATCACAACCTTCTGCAAAATGTTTTCCTAGGAAAGAGGGATGTGAAGGTTACTGAATGACCTCTGCAGTGGAGCTCCACGGGGAGAGCGTTTCCATGAGCTGCTTTCCCTGTAGCATGGATGGATTTCAGTCACATCAACAGAATCGTCTATTTATGGGGCTTTGCAGAAACCCACCCAAGTTCTACAAGGAGCAACTCTTCCAAACCAGCCATATAAGTACATCATGAGTGTCTCACAGCAAGCATGAATTAGGCCTGAAGCAGGAGATGGAAATAAAAAGTGGTTTGATAATGACAACATCCCCTTGTTTCACAGAGGGATGGGGAAATTTGTTCATATGAAGGGTCACTGACTCATTGGAAAATCAGCTGGGGATGCAGTTGATGGTAGAGAAGCAAGATCCATTGGTGGATGGAGAAAGAGGCAAAAGTAGGTGGGGCCAAAGCCAAAAGTGGACAGAGCTCACAACATTACAAGATTTCTTCTCTTGTCCTACCACTACATCCATTTTCTACCTCTTGTAAGCTCACACACACAACAGAAGTGCCTCCCAGCAGGATGGCCCAGAGAGGAGGAGTGGGTCTGGAGCATCTGGGAACTGGATGACTCCAAGCCCTTGGGCTCCAATCCAGCCTTAGAAAAATGATTTGGAACCACCAACCTCGGCAACATAGAGCTGTAAGGTACCTGTGAAGCCAATTAATTCAACTCTCCTTCCATCCTCACAGAAGCAGAGATGGCCAGTATCTCCCACCCAGAGGCTAGATTTTACCTGGCTGAGCTGTTCAGGGAACAGATGGAGGCCTCTGACTCCTGAGTCAATTGAATGTTGAGCATTAATATAACACGATGCTTCCTGATCTCCTGTTCCATGAAGTTATGGGGAAAAGTTACTTGTACTTTTGAAGGGTGCCTTCAGAAAGGTGTAGGAAGGCTTGTTGCCTAGGGCAGTGTGGAGGGACAATGTGGCAGAAGGGCTACATTTGCTCACTGTGGCCATATCGATGGATGCTGTGGCTTCATCCATGATGAGGATGCTGCTCTTGCGTACGAAGGCTCTGGCCAAGCAGAAGAGCTGCCGCTGACCGACGCTGAAGTTCTCCCCTCCTTCGGTTACTATAGCATCTGGAGAAAAAAATCAAGAGTAAGCACTCTCGGAGACACTGAATGCACTTGGAGCCAATTCACACAGAATCATAGAATAGAAGGGGCCATGAAGGACATCAAGTCCAACCCCCTGCTGTTGCAGGACACCAAGCCACACCATCCCACTCAGATGGCTGTCCAGGTTCCTTTTGAATGTCTCCAGTGTGGGAGAGCCCACCACCTCTCCGGGCAGCTGGTTCCACTGCCGTGTTGCTCTGGCAGTGAGGAAGCTTTTCCTGATGTCCAGCCTGAATCTGGGTTGTCGTAACTTGTCTTGTTTATTCTGTGTCCTACACTCTGGTGTCAGCAAGGAGAGCTCTTGGCCTTCCTCTTTGTGACAGCCTTTGAGGTGCTTATAGAAGGATATCATGTTCCCCTCAGCCTTCTCTTTCTCAAGACTGAACATGCCCAGTTCTCTTTCCTTATAGGTCAGTTTCCAAACCCTGCATCATTTTTTTAATAAAATTTTTATTTTATTTTTTTAATAAAATTTTTTATTTTATTTTATTTTTTTTAATAAAATTTTTGTTGCCCTGCTCTGGGTGGGCCCTTTCTAATTTTCTGCATCTTTCTTAAATCTTGGGGCCCAGAACTGGACACAATATTCCAGGTGAGGTCTGACTAGCGAAGAATATAGAGGAACCACTACTTCTCATGATTTGGAAGTAAAACTCTGTTAATGCATCCCAAACCTTTTACATGCTCCAAGACTTCCTAGAGTGCTTACCCAAAAGAGTGATGTGTGAATGAGACAAGACATCAGAAGCTCATGGATCACTAAGTATTTTGATCAGAGAGCCAGAATCGGCCACAGCTCCATTTGAATGCATGGTCAGCCCCACAACTAATGGAGCAGTATGTGAAAATACCCTGCGTTACACCAAGCAGCCGAACCAAGCTTTGCATGTCAGACATTGGCTTTTAATTGAATGCAGTGGTAGACCTGATTTGAGACCGTCCTTCATTTGGACATACGCACCTAGACCCCCTGGCAGAGACTTGACCATGTTCTTCAACTGGGCAATCTCCAGAGCTTCCCAAAGTGTGTCATCTGTACATTTGCAGTCGGGATCCAGGTTAAAGCTAAGGAGAAGGATATACACACATGTTCAGTGCTTCCTACGGAATGTGCTGGGCACCCGTGTCCACTGCAAACCTCGCTGGAATTCTGTTTGCAAGCGAAATCTGCCCACCCAGAAAATGTTTACCTCCTGGAGGTCTATCCTGAGAAAGACTGGGTACAGGCGCTGTACACACTTAACGTGCTCTTGGTCTTGCTTCCTTTACTACTTGGATGCGCATGGATGAACTATGAAGATCACAAGATTGTTTGGATTGGGATTTGCCTGGTACATTCTCCCCATGCTGAGAGCATTAAGGCAGAGGTGAGGAAGCGGGGGCAAGCACAGGCAGCCCTCTGGCCTATTCCTGACCCCTCCTAGAAGTAAAATGTGATGTGGACATGTCCAAAGGCATCAGATGTCCCATGCATTGCCCTGCAGGGAGTCTTCTTGCTCCAACATCTCCCTACCACTCTACAGATTCTTCTCCATGGAAAGAGGGTGGAACAAAATTACTCAGGTTCCACACCAACATAGATATACACAGTCTGTTCAGATAGTCCAACCATGACCCCGAGAGCTCTGCACAATTTGCATGGACCCTTGAATAAAGGCTTATTTGGAGTGGATTTTGCTCCACACACATTCTTCCCATGAATATGTTCAACTTCTCCAGTGTCATTCAGGTGGATCCACCCAGCAAGATCCTCTGAATTCATCCCAAGCCAGCTTTTTGTTGGTCTGTAGAAACCCCTGCACGATATAAAGACCAGAGCTGAACAATTTAGAACTGCCCTGAAACGAAGTTTTGCGGTCCTGCTCGCAAGTGGTGGAAGTGGCTGTTGGGGGCATCTGAAGGATTTTCAGGGGCACCAGTTGGGTGTGGGCTCGAAACTTCCTGCCATTGCTTCTCCCAGGAGTTGCCAGTTGGCAACCGCCAATTCTTCCCTGTCGTCCAGAATGTCCTGATGAGAAGGCTGTGCTGGTGCAAATGCATCACCAACGAAGACCCACCATGAAGGGCTCTAGTAGCAGTGGTGGACCCGGCTCATCCCCTTGGCTTTTGACCCCACACCCTAAAATCTGCAGGAGGTATTTTGCCCTCCTCCACATATCCACCCCCACCCCACTCTAATGGGAAGTTTCATTTCAGCCCCACAAATCCTGGGATAACACCAGAACCTAGAACCTGCAGCAGCAGGTTTAGGAGAGACATCCATGCTGAGGGCTAGAGGCCAGTTTGGTTCCCACCTCAGCTGATGGATGAGCTGGCACAAGCTGGTGGCAAAGAGCACAAGCAATGGCGATCAGGGTGTCCCAGATTCATGGGTCAGATGACCTTAGTCAACTCACTCACTCTGAGCTCTGGCCCATCCCTGTAATGTGACAATAGAAACACAGAAACAGAGCGAGTCAGAAGGGGGCTCCCGGGCCATCTAGTCTGACCCCTGGCTCCAGCCAGCTGCACTTACGACATGCCCACCATGTGCATGTCCAGCCTATCCTTGAACACCCGCACCGATGGGGCCTCAACCCCCTCCCGTGGAAGCCCATTCCACACCCTCGGGGTCCTAACTGTCAGGAAATGCTTCCTGGCATCCAAATGGAACCTTGGCTCCCTGAGCTTTGCTCCGTTGGAGCACATCCTGCCTTCCTCTGCAGGGGAGAACAGGTCTCTGCCCATCTCCATGTGACAATCACTGCTACTAACAGCTTTCCTTGCTGCAATTACTGTTGAGCTAATCTATACGGAATATTGCAAAAAGTACTAGATGAAAACCATCATGGCATCTCGGTGGCAGTAGCCATGCCTCTGGCGTAACTGGTTACTTGCCACTTAAGGGCACTTAGGAATGGAGTGGCCAATGAAAACTCCAAGGCACAGTGACTTACAACATGCAAAGCTTGGATTTCCCTAAGAATACTCCAACATGTGGCTCTACCCTTTGGTCTGATCCATCTGACTTAAGATCAAGAATATGAACTCCATCCAAATATTTTGGGTCTTGCACGTGCTATTTCAGGCTGGCAAGACTTGTAGGGCTGTAACGATGCCCAATAGTTTTTAAACTGCAGACTAGGGAGCAGTGGAATCAATGTGAGAGGAACTGTTCAAACAAGGCATTCTCATGCAAAAACTCGGAGCAAGATTGTATCCACACTCTGTGAGCCCCACTTCCTTATTTAGCAATCAGATCTGCAACTAACAGTGGACAGTGCTAACATCTGAACATGCCCTTCGCTGCTTATGGGAAGCACTGGATGAGTTATTAACTACACCAAGAGTATTTTAAAATCTCTGCAATACAACTTTCCAGGGTTCACAAAACAGAAGGGGACAAACTTGGCTTAAGAAGCTACAAGAGAAAGAGATGGGAGAGAATGTTGTTTGCTCTGCAGTTTTAAGCAACCCAACTTCATTTGCACTTCCTAGACTAATGTATGCACTGTAACAGAACTATCTTTTGGATCACGTATTTCTCTGAACTTCATAAAGTAGTTCTCAGTTCAAACTTTGTGGACAAATGTCCATACATTATGGAAAGTTATATACAAAAACATGTGTAAAGGAAAGTTTCATATGCAAATCAGTGTGAATTTTCATGCCATTAAAAAAACATAGACAAGTGGAAATGGGAAGAGAGAGACTTAGGATTCAATACATGTGGAAACAGATGGTTTGCCCACTTCTAAAATGCTGAAAAGGGGTCAGTATTTACCGAATGGAACCACTGAACAGGATGGGATCCTGGAGGATTATGGACAGCCTGGAGCGCAGCAGATCAAGCGGCAGCTTTGAAATGTCGATCCCATCGATAATGATCCTCCCTGGTTGAGACAAGTGAACAAGAGAGACTGCCAGTGAAATACCGGAAGCGCAGAACAATTCGACAGCGTCTGTAAACACGGTTGGGATCCATTAAGGTGAACAGCCTGAAAGGTCCAGGGGTATTGGAGCAGGGCTTTGAGTCCAGGACCCCCCTGAGCAGAAAGATTGGGAGGGCCCCTAATGTGTGGGAGAGGGGAGAATAAAACTAGTCAGACTAGACTCTAAAAATCTGCAACCGGTGGAAGAATCAGAAGCTTGACACCAATATCACAATCTAGCAATTGGACCTTAACCTTACAAGGATAACTCTGCCATGGATTACTAGACTGAAGCAGGTGACTTCTTTCTTCCTTTGGCCCACATGTGCCACTGAACCTCACCTGGCCAGGTACAGGGAAAAGGAGGAGAATATTTTGAAAAAGAAGGCATGGGTGGACGGTGTTTCATAGATTCAGGAGGCTGAGTACCGAGGAGGAGGAGGAGGAGGCTGGGATTCTTCTCTAGCTTAGATTTTAATCTCTGCCAAAGAAGGATTTGGCAGCTTTAAAGACTTGCTTCTTGTTTGAGGTGGCTTTTAAGAATCCCAAGGGAATTTCTGAGGCTGGCCTTGGAGAACTTCACCCTGTATAGAAGAAGGATGCTGGAATTCCTTGCCATTGCTTATCTCCCTTCCTGGCTCTCTTCTGGTATTTGGAGATGGGAACAGAGAAAGCGGCTGCAGGAACAACTATGGGCAAAGACATTTGGGGAGGGATGGGGAGGAGATTTAGCACCCATCTTTTGTGCTCCTTGTAATTTAAAAGAAGTGCTTTAGATGTGAATGGGACATGCAATGTAACTGCTCCTGGCACAACTGCTTTGGCCTGCAGTTTCAGGCAGCTGGCAATTTGGTATGAATTCTGCAAGAGCACTCAAGAGCAAAAACAAGCATTGCTTTTATTTATTTACTTATTTTTACAGGACTCTCTAAGCGGCTTACAAGGAGTCTGGTTTTGCTTTCCTTCCTAGCCAATGGTGAGAGTTGTCGTTTTACCAAAAGAAGAGCCTGCAACAGCCTGATCCTCACTCCAGCAAGGTCTGCATCTTGCACAAGATGTTTGCAACAGGGTGACTGGGAATCGCTCAACCAATTGCCATGAATTGAAACAACAACAACATATTTGGTTTAAACAGCCATTTCCTTCTTGTTTCTGAAATGTGTGTGTGTGTGTGTGTGTGTGTGTTGTCATTGTCTTTGTTGTGGTATTCCTGCACTTATTGACTGGGTTCACACAACACCATAAACCACTTGCAGGGGGTGGCTTAGTGTGTCATGTGCACCACAAGTCCCACTTCCCTTGGGCTGGCCTATGAGCCATGGAATGGTGTGTGGTCTGGGACACCTTCAGTGTATTAGTGCACTGTTTGAACCCAGATTACAAGGTAAGGCACAGCCGAGCCAAAACAATCTCAGAGTTCCTTGGCATGAGTCACACAGATGGCTTGGCATCCCACACATCTTGCTTGCTTGCTTGCTTGCTTGCTTGCTTGCTTGCTTGCTTGCTTGCTTGCTTGCTTCCTTCCTTCCTTCCTTCCTTCCTTCCTTCCTTCCTTCCTTCCTTCCTTCCTTCCTTCTCTTAGGAGTACCCCTAAGAGTCCCTTGACAGCGCACACATCTTCCTTCTCAAGCTCTGCTTGGAAATGAGACAGTTCAGATATGTGGCAAGGAAAGGGCCCACTTGGCTTCCTTCCCCAAAAGCCCCCCCACCAGCAACTAGAAGCCCAGGGTGACTTCAAACCTCATCCAAACCTGCCCATTATCACCTGAGCAAAAAGCCACCATTGCTTCCAGATGAGCAGTTTGCAGAGAGTTGCATCGCTAGGACCTGAGGGCATGTTGCAATGTTTTGTGCTTTATCTGCCTCCTCAAAGGAATGGTTGACTACAGTTCTTTAGGTAATACGGCTGAAATGCTCTTTGCTTCCACCCATTTGGATCACGGCAGACATCTGTAAATACTTGGAAAGGTGCCTGCAGAATCAGGATCCTGCCCATTGTCCCAGCTTCTCATTTACACACATGAATCTGAAGTTCTGAACAGAGCTTAGACGTGTAATTAACTGTGCACAGAATCTCCCTGTGCAATTTTCTGATTATATGCACAGCGTTGGGCTCCGAGCTCTTCTATCTTTTTTCTCAGCCAAGCTGGTGTATGATGGAATGTTAGCAATGAGCTGTTACATAAATAGATCTTAGAGCCTCGCTCTTTCTTGTGCTTGCGGCTTCATAGATTTAGCACTCTTTTGCTGAACTGCACTATTTAATCTCATTTGCCACATCCAGATGCACATCCCAAAATCTACGTACATTTTTGCTTGTATCTCTCATCTCTATACTTCTCATGGAGTACAACACCCAAGCCAAGATAAAAGGCGTGTGAGGGTGGAAGAAAGATAAATTAGCAATCAGTTAACCCTGAAAAGGTGGTGGATGCTGGAGATGAATAACACACAGACTGGGAACATGACCAATTGCAACAATGCTGAGTATCCTTTCACAAAGGCCTGGAGGAAGCTCCATTGAGTGAGTTTTCTTCTCTTGTGTACCTTATGCTCTCCCTTGGGCGTCTGTACATTTATGGACACAATATTCTTACTCGTGAGCTTGCAATACAAGGCCAACAACTTTTCCGATCAATCAGCTTGCTTCTTGAATCTGCAATTACAGCTTTACTCAGTTAAATGCAGTGGCTCATTAGCCTTACTGATCATTCCCAGAAAAAAACTATATGTTTCAGGAGAATCAGCAGCAGGAGGTAACAAAAGGCACGTGGCACCTTTGAATTCAGATTCTTACTCAGCCAAAAGGGCAAATGACACTCACCTGATCCAATGCAGACCAGAAGCAAAATGACCGACTAGTGGCCCCTTTTCCTCCCTTTTCCATTCTCTTTTGTTCTTCCCATAAAGGAAATATTTGGATTCTACAGTGGATGATTAATGGTCCTACTCAAGGGATAATTTATGATGTGTTGGACATGGAAGCAGAGAAAGTGCAGCAGTTTGTGTAGCTATAATTGTGTGGGGATGATCTAACTCGGCCATGAAATAGGATTTCATCCTTTTGTTTCGTGTTTGTCTCACCTCTTCCTCACTGTGTAAGCCTGTAGTTGACAAATTGAGACTAAGTAATACTCAGCAGTAGCAGTATGGATTAGGAAATAAAATGGAAAGGCGGAGAACAATCCCGGAAGGGAAGGGAACCATCACATCAAAAGGTAGCAACACCGAGAGATTTACTGGGTACCTCTTGGGTTCCATATGGCTGGGGGGTTGCCTTTGGTTTGCTGGTTCACACGTTGTACAGGCAGATTCTAGGGGTCAAGCATTGTCAGGCACTTACCATCAAATATGTCTACCATCCGGAAGAAAGCCAAGGACAGCGACGATTTCCCACTCCCGGTGCGACCGCAGATCCCAACCTGCAAGGTAAGGCTCATTGTAGCTTTTGGAGCTGCTGGGATGGACATGGGATTATACAACTTGTTTCTAACTAGAGATGGAGAAATACTTTATGCAAGTCAAGTTTTGTTGCGCTTTGGCAACGCAGTGGCCAGTGAAACCCGCTTTAGACAGTAGATGTTGTTGTTGTTAGTCGCGAAGTCGTGTCCAACCCATCGTGACCCCATGGACAACACTCCTCCAGGTCTTCCTGTGCTCCACCATCTCCCGGAGTCCATCTAAGCTCACACCAACTGCCTCAGTGACTCCATCCAGCCACCTCATCCTCTGCCGTCCCCTTCTTAGATGTACAAGGTTTTAAAAAGTTAATGGAAGACTCAGTTGGAAAGTAAGAAAGAGGCAGAGGCCAGTTTCAAAACCATCAAGACCACAAGCGATACTGGCATTGTGCCAGAAGTCAGCTCTGTTAATGCAGCATCAGTTGCACACTGCCCACAAATGCTTACTCATGCCAAGTCATGACAGCATTTTGCTGCTAGGACCTGATCCATGAACACAAAATCCCCTTGGGGTTGTTCATGCCTTCACTCTGTACTGATCAAACACTTGGTTGTCCCAAGTTAAGTTGAGAACAGACACAGAGCACGTCTTTGTTAGGGAAAGGGTCCTAGATAAAGATGCCAAAGAAACTCACAATAGACTCCAAAGTGTTCAGATTTCTATGAATCTGTCCTGCAGCAGAGAATTTTTTCCTGAGTTACACAAATTCTGCAGCCTCGCAGACCAGTTTTTCACTTTTGGGAAAAATTTGCACTCCTATGGATTAGTGCAAAGGTGCCTTTGAGCAAATATGCATTAGGTAATTTGTACTGACACGAGTGCACATTTTACTAACAGATTAACACAAGTAGAACAATAGATTTTTTTTAAAAATCCACCCATGAACACATAATCGAAGCAAAGGCACCTGAAAAGGATGTAACAATCTGCACAGACCTAGCTCCATGCTTGATCCTGGTCTGGCACTTTAGACCTCTCTCGGTGGCTAGCTGGAGTAGATCGCACTGAACTGGATGGACCCCTGAACTGGCTCATTTTAGGGTCGTGTTCTTTATGCGCACAGGTTTACATTGGACAGGTTCACGTGACACGGCAAGCCCTCTGGGGATTCTACCCGTGCGCTGCAGGTAAAATTTCCCCATGCCCGACAGAAGAGCCCCCGCCAGGGGGGGCAGAGTGGCTCAGTCCTGCCCACCAGCAGTTGTGCAGGGCTTTCTCACTTCCTCACCCCAACGGCTGCCCCATGTTCCTGCCAATGCTGGAGGGAGAGCAGGGTCGCTCACCAACCATCTCACGTTCTTCTGGTACCAGCCGCTGGAGCCCCCAGCTAGTACCGCAACCTGGCCAAGGGATTCTCCTAATTTTTGTCCAGTGGTGGCTCAGCACGGCATCCAAGTTCAGGTGGCACCCTAAGCCTCAGTGGGTTAACTGAACCCTACAACGTGTCTGGGATAACTGGCTTAGAAACTCCCTTGAGGAGCGTGCTGTGTTTGGATGAGAAGCTAACCCAGGGTGGCTTACAAAACACCGTGGGCCATCATGTCAGGCGAATCCTGCTATTCCGTAATGAGTGCTCCTTAGAGAGGACGCTTAGTGAAATCACATGCGAACGGTCCAGAGACCTCCAGAATGTTATCAAGATGGGTGGAAAGCATGCAATTTTCCAATACTCCTTATTCCTGACCCAGGCCTTGAGTTACAGGCTTGAGAGTAGAAGGTTTCTTCTCCACCCTTCTCCTCTAACATAGCAGAGAACCTAAAAGAACTGGTAACATTTCACCAGAGCAGCTTGAAATTGTAAAGGAGACGTCGGAGCTTCCAAGCCAGCATTCAGAGATGGGCTCGAAATCATATTGCTATACAGAAAAGCAGAGATGATTGAATCTCTCATTGCTGGGCCTTTCCTTCCTTCTTTTCTCTACCGTGCCCGCCATGACTATTGTCTTCCCTTCATTTTCTTCACAATGAAAAGCCTAGTAGAAGAAGGAGTAGAACCTTCTGTCCTGGCTTGATGTAAGCTTTGACGTGCTTGAGAACGGGCTTCAGATTGTTTTCATATCGGACACACAGATTTTCAATCTTGATTTCTCCTTCTTGCGGCCAGTCCTTGGGGACTTGAGAAATATCTGGAAGATGAAAAGAGGAGTTGAAAGCAAATGCTTGGGAAGCTTACGATTCAGCAATGCAGTTAAGTATGTCATAATCACCTTGAATCATGCTTTGGCATGTAAACTTCATAAAGACTCATCCAAATCTGAGGCAAGAAAAATGTGAGGCAAAGATCCCCCATTTAACCAGAGTCTCTCGGCCCTGCAGTTTCAGTGCAACTGAATTATGAATAAAAATAGAAGCCCCTGCCCTGCCCCACTGATAAATAAATGGGGCCAAGGCCAATGCGCACCTCTCCAGAAAAAAACATAGAACTTGCCCCAGAAATTGGGCATAATATTTGGGTGGCCATCTGAATGCACATAAATAAATAAATAGAAGAACATACACCGCTGAAAGTGGTGCAGTCCAACCCTGAACTCTCATCTGTTTGTGTGAATTACTTTCTCCTAAACTAGTTCCTTCCAGATGTACTGGATGCAAAAAGTTGTAGTCTAACACATCTGTAACACAGCTGGTTGGGGAAGACCGATTTTTTTACTGGGAATGGAGCAGAAGAATAAACACTGATATACATCCACAGGCGGTGGTTGAAGCCCCATCAGTGAGGGTGTTCAAGGATAGACGGGTCATGCACATACATGGCATGTCATGAGCAGAGCCAGCTAGAGCCGGGGGTCAGACTAGATGACCCATGAGACCCCTTCTGACTCACTCTGTTTCTACTTTTCTATGTTCTCTATGTTTCTATATATCCTGACATCTTACCCATGGTGCCGTCATAGTTCTCAGACTCCATGCTGAGGAAACTGTTCACCTTCCTCACTGCACCCATTTGCACTTCCAGGTCAGCCAAATTTCTCACCACCCAATTCAAATAATTTGTGATCTGTAATATAACAACATCAGGGTCAAAGAATGAAAGTGATGCATCTTCTCTTACTGCTTTTTGGGGTGGGAGGACTGATTGCCAGTTATGCTCTGAGACACAAACCATTCATTCATTCATTCATTCATTCACAAACCATCACTTCCGAAAGGGTGCATCGCATTAACGGCTCTGCTATAAACTGTTTAGGCAGCTTTCTGACATTTCGTCTGATCTGTGGCTGGCCAGGTTTTTGAATTAGTCGATGTTGTTTTACTTGTGTGCTTTCGATTGTGGTTTTAGTCTATTTGTCATATTCCTGCATGGCTGATACGGATGGGCTAACAGAAAATCCTGGCAGCAGCTAAACATTTTGCCCTTCTGATGCTTCCCTGTGCGTATGTGTTTCTCTTTGGAAATTAATGTTCAGATTATATGATGCTTTTCCCAGTGGATAAAAAGGATATGAGGTTGGTTAGGCATTGAATTCCAACTCTCTTTAGCAGGGGTACAGAATTCGATTTCAGAGAAACCCCTCAGAGGTACTTTCTGGGTCTAGGTGGGGCTGAAGGTAAAAGAGAAAAGGTGAACGGCAAATAGAAAGGAAGAGAAAGAGGAAAAGAAATTTGAGCCCAAAATTCCAAATATATCAACATTAACTGAGAAGCCAGCAGAGACGGTTCAATGTTTCAGGACGTGGAATGAATGGCAGAAATGCCAGGAAAATTCCTGTGGCTGGGAAGGAGGGAGGGAGGGAGGGAGGGAATTTCGGTCTGAGGGCCTGAGGTTCCGTATTCATGCAGTCCAGGCCATTATTTTTGTGGCAAGTTAGTCATCAGGTAACGGTTGAAGAGCCCCAACTGGGTAGCATCCTTACCGAAGTGCGACTGCTCCAGTGGCACTGTGCCTGTCTGTTGGTGAGCCGGAAGGAGAAAGATGCCGAGTGAGAGACAAGGCACCCTGCCTTTTCCGCCACTGACCTTCCCTACTGAAACTCAGTCTGCCCAATTGGCTAGCTGACGCTTTATTCGCACTCAGATATCCAGCCTGCGTTTCAATCCAGGTTACAGCAGTTTAGCAATAGAAGGGGGAGCGTGAAAAGGAAGAGCCTTGTTGAAGGCTTGGGACCCTGATTTGGGAAGGCTTCAGGGCGCTGATGTTCCGCTGCTAGCTAAAGTCCTCGCATGCGCCCTCCTCTCTGTTTCCCTGGGAGCATGCAGGGCCTGGGAACCGTGCAGACACACCACTGCTATTTTTTTCAATTGGCTTGCAAAGCCTGAAGCTGCTCCAAGTTCCGAAATCCCTTAGCCGTGGCTTGGATCCATGGCTTGCAAGACCGTTTCTTTCAGTAAGTGAGAAAGTTAGGAAGGGAGCATTGCGTTCTGGAATCTCACTGGTGGCCACGAAACCCAGCAAGTTTCACATGTCTGGTCTAGTCAGAATCTCTCTCACAGATGCCACATCATGCGCTGTGGACACTGGCTCAGCTCCTGCTCATTTTGATGCCCTCTGTGTGTGGGAATCTCCGGGAGGCTTGTGCCCAAGGATCATAAACCTGGCTTCTGTACGTACTGTCAGTGCATAGAGGAGACCCAATCCTACGAGGCCAGAAGTAGACTTTTCAGAAATGGCGGCCACGGCTGCAATGAGAACAATGAAAGCACCCAGATAATCCTGAAGAGAGAAGCACAAAGAAATGGGAGAGATTTGTGCTGCAAGACAAAGCAAATGAAATACCACTAATAGGCAATAGATACGATTTGTTCACGTGCTGGTCAGCTCGGTTATCCCATCTCAGGCCCTGCTACTTCTGCATGGCTGTTCCCATAAGGCACCTCTTCCCTGAGTTGTTCAGAGCTGCCTTCCCCAACTTGGTGAGCTGCAGATGTGCTGAATTCTAGCTGGAAATGGATGGGAATTAGAGGAGTTGCAGTCCCAGAATTGGGAGGGCCTTTTTAGTGCATGTAAATTGGGCTGCTGCTGTTGCCCATGCTGTACATCCAGGCATTATATTTTCAAGAACACTCAGAAAATCATGGAAACAAGATCTGTTCTAAGAATCAGCTTTCAAGGACAGGACTTTGGGTTTGGACAGCTCAGAGGGACTCTACTGAATGTGTCCTTTGCTCAGCAAAGGAAATGCATCCCATATTTTTCAGCAGAGGGAGGGAGAATGGCCTTGTCCTCTTCTTTGGCAGTAAGTAATTACATTTACTTTCAAGTGGATTTGCTGTCCCAAAGGAGCCTGAAGACAAAACAGTCTTGAAGCCCAACTGATGAATTACCGCCAATTAGAATTGTGCTTGGACGGTTCAAGGTGAAGAGGCTTTTTCTGCAGTATGGAGAGCATTGACTTTCATATGGAAGACGATGGCATCAGGTGCCTCTCAGGGATGGCCTTGAGAGACATAAAGGGGAGAAGGAGTTTCAACATCAATGAGCTATTGAAATCTGGCCTGAAAGAAACTTTCTGGGGAATTTGTGATGGTGAAATTGTTTTTGCTCATCTGGAATATTTTGAAGGACACAAAAGAAGAGTTTCAGGTAGGTTGCAACATGGACCATTTTGACATAGTCTGGAAAGAAAAGCAAGCTGCCCTGTTGAATTTTCTGGAAGGAGGTCAGAAACCTGCAAATGATTACTGGGAGTGTAACTGGCGGTTCAGGAGAACCCTTTGGAACAGTTTGTCCAATAGATCTTAGCCAGCTAGAATCAGGAATGCAGCTGGTTAAGCATGTGAGAAGAGCCCTGCCAAATTGGACCCAAGCTCTCCGTAGTCCAGCATCCTATGGTGGCCAAACAGATACTGCAGGGAAACCCATAAGCAGGACGTTATGCAAAAAAGTGACGTGAAAGGCTATGTTGAATTATGCCCAGAGGCTATGGAGTCAGTGCTGCTGTTCCTACCAGATCTAGGGGCAAAGGACTATCTTTTCAGCTCAGCAGCTCAAATGCTGAGCCGCAGGAACGTAGCTTTCAGAAACTCCCCAGTCAGTAGCAGCGAGAGCTACCAAGAGCAGACTTCTGGCGCATCTGCTTCGTTTTCCTGAAAAATGGAGCCCCTGCAGCTCCATCTGCATCACCCACACAGGTCTCTGTGGCAGCACATGCATAAGAAAAATTAGAAAGCAGGAAATAGGCCTGGGATTGGAGCAGTGCTGGCAGGAGCCAACAGCAAATCTTGTAACAGACTGGGCTGCCCCGGCTTCTTTCCCTTCTCCAAGCTGTGAGTATTTGTTGAAAGGGCACCAATGAAGGAGAAGCCGACCTAATCTGCAACTTGTTGGAATGTCTAGGCAGAACTTGTTGGAATGTCTAGGCATCTACACATAAATGACCCATGCTCTGGTAACCTCCCATTTGGACTATTGCAAAGCACTCTGTGTGGGGCTGCCCTTGAAGATGGTCCGCATACTTCAATGGGTTCAGAATAGAGCTGCCAGGTTACTAACGGGGACTGGCAGGTACTCCCATATCACGTCAGTCCTATATCGGCTACACTGGCTGCCAATTGAAGTCTGGGCCCAGTTTAAGGTGCTGGTAATGACCTATAAGGCCCTAAATGGATTGGGTCCTGGACACCTGAAGGAGTGCCTTCTTCCCTTGAGATCTGGGGCAGAGGTCCTTCTCCGGGAGCCCTCTTTGAAGGAGATTAGGAGGGTAGCTACCTGGAGAAGGGCCTTCTCTGCGGTGGCACCCCGATTGTGGAATTTGCTCCCCAGGAGGTTCACCTGGTGCTGTCACTTTATTCTTTCAGGTGAAGACCTTTTTATTTTCCCAATATTTTAACAGTTAATCATTTTATCCTTGTTTTTATCATTATTTCTCAGATGCAATGTGTTGTTATGATTGGTTTGTTTTTGGGGTTTTTTTGTAAGCCATCCAGAGACTTTTAGTATTGGGACAGCATGTAAAAACTTCAAATAAAATAAATACATAAAAGAAATGAAAGTGCACCTGTCTCATTGCCCCTCCAGTCTCTCTCTTAGTGTTGCTTCTCCATCTCCTAGGCACCTTTCCCCCTTTTCCTCCTGAAATGCTGCTGCCCAGGCCTCTGCATTTTTACAGAATTCCAATAAATGTGCAGAATCCACCTTCCCCTGAAGACGTCCTGGTGACAGCAGCTCCGTTCCCTGCCAGTCTCCTCCATCCTTCTTTCTGCAAAGACTAGCAGTTGCTCCAAGGAATTTGCGGTTGCCTTTTCCCACTTAGGCAAAGAGCTGGTGATATTCTGGGTTGGTGGAACTCGGCTCAGAGTCCCTCAAGGTTCAAATGTTGCAACTCGCTGTCTGGTTCCCTGTGATTGTGCATTTGTGCAGCATTTGAGGGTTCAGTGCAAGAATTCCTGCTCTGTTATAACCCAGATGTGAATGTGTATGTTCGTCATTTTTCTTAAAAAACATAATAATGAAGTGATGCTTATTCCCGAGTAAATTTGTTTGTACTCAGGATGGCAGAAACAACCTTCATTTTATCCCTGCTGTCAGTAAGCTCAAAATGCAACCGCACACGATCAGAACATTTTTAAAACCAGAAACGATAAGCGCTTGTGTGCTTGTGCGGTTAGGCGGTTGTGCTCACATAATCAGAAACACAGAAGCACTTGCAAAGCATGGAATGGTAGCTGAGGACAAGGAGATGGGCAAGGCTATCTGTGTGCTTTACAACTGTAGTAATGCACATAACTATCAAAAGCTGCACCAAACCCCTGTAGGTCCAGGCTGTAAAACTGCATGGAAGCTGACTCTGGATGGGCACAAGAATAGGTCTTGCCATCACTGATTCTCCCCAGACATCCTGGAGAATAATGTCCTGGCCAAAGGTATTAAAGGCTGTTGTAAAGATTATGAAGATGACATATGTGAGGGGTTTTAAGACATCTGAATTGTGTCATAGAAACGCCAAATAATATTATCAGGCTCGTCGTTCCGGCTTTCTTCACATGCCAGGCAGCTCTCCCATGCCCACTGCTCCTTGTTTTTCAGTAAACCATATACTAAAACAACCGAGGCCTCGACTGGCCACACACCAAGGCTCCTGAAAGCATTTCTGTCGGGATCCAAGGCTTCCTACTATTCCTCATTTCATCCAAATCTCAAATGTTGCTTTAGCCAAAATTCAGTGGCAGCCTAAGGAGTTGGGAAACCCCTCAGATAGATTCCTTTAGGCTTTTAGTGTATCCCAGAATGGCACAGATAACTCCACCTTCACCTTGATGTTTGCTAGAGCTGACATTCAGTGGTGAGTCTAGATCAGAATTCCCCCAAGGTAGCATGAGATGATGAGGGCGGTGTACCCTCCTCCTGGTCTTGTCTCGTGGCACATGGACATCCCTGTCACAAGCCCGCCACTCAAATGTCGCTAGTGTTTCCCGTTAGAGGGTCACATTGGACGATGACCCCTTCCCAGTCTGGTCAGCGAGGGCATAGCTATCTCCCACCTTCATCCAGTGGGAGGAACTCAACTCAATGGAGGAGCACCCCAGTTCGATCCCTAGCATCTCCAGGTAGGACTGGGACAGAGCCCAATCCAAAACCTTAGGCAGACACTGCTAGACAGTAACTGAGAACCCCTGAGCTGGATGGCCCAAGGGTCTGATGTAGGACAGGGCAGCATCCCATGTTCCACAGACCCTGCCTCTGCCATCCCTGGGCAACCACATGTGGCCATATCAATGCAATGCAGGATGCATGCACGCAATCCGGTTTTTCAGGCCGGTTCCATGTTCCAGACATTATCCCAAAGATCAGTCATGCAGTCACTGGATTCTATATGCACAGGCCCTGTACAAATGCACGAGCTGACCCGGATGCCTGGGGACAGTGGAAATGGGTCCTTTCCACCACATGGGCTAAGAGGGAAGGTACACAGAGAGGGGAGAACCAGGGATGCTTGAGTTTGTGCCCGTTCTCTGAATGGGACCCTAAATCTTGCTTTGGCTGGTTCCTGTGTGCTTTGGTTCATTTGAATGGGAAATGTTGCATGCTTTGAGAAAGTGATGCGTTCTGAAAAGCATGTGCATCATTTTTCAGGTTGTGCATTTTCCAAGTGCACTTCTTGTGAATGTGGCTACAAGTTCAAGAATTGGAAAACTTGGTCAGAGAACATCCATTCCTGTTCATGGTTGCTAATGAGATATTTTTGAGGATTCTTAGAACCTAAACAAAATTTGCATACATCCCTAGAGACACCCGTACTCCTTTCTGCGTCTGGCTGGCCTGGGGGGAAGAATTGTCCAGTCCATCCTAGAATCCACTCTGAAGGACAGAGTAACACAGCAATAGCAAATGAAGAAGTTCTTTGGCTTCACCAAGAAAAAACCTTAACAGCAACAATACGGAGCTATTTTGAGTATTGCCATATATGAAACGGTTGTGATTTATTGCTATATGTGTGTCAGTAAAAGTTTTTTGCCTGGCAACGTTCATCAGTCTTAGGTTCTAAGGGTTCCAAAACCCATGGCAGACACGAAGCTGTACGTACCGTCCTGACCTCCAGCCATCTGTTGGCAGCGGAAAGGAATAAGTATGCAATGTTGTTTGTGTCCGTCAGTTCCAACATACGCTGTTTAAATCTGGGTTCATGCCTGCAGAGGATGAAACGATTCTTACGTTAACAGCTGTGTGTGACTCACAATTCTGATCCTGCAACAGGCAAAATAGATCGAAGAACCTCAGTCATTCCTGAACTACAGATCAACTGGATTCAAGTAATTTTGTGCCAACTTGTCAGACTCTTTTAAAGACTCTGATGCTAGAGGGAAGATGTCCGAGGTGATTGTTTATAGCCATTTGTTGTTACCTGAGCCCACACCTCCTCAGCCTGGTGAGATGTGTTGGCTTCCATCACCCTGCATGTCCCACCGGTTACTTTTGCTTCCTCTCCTTCCCTTCTTCGATTGTCTTCTTCTCCCACCCCAAATCAAATGGGTTTCTTGGTTAGTTCCTAGTAAATAGGCTTGTACTTCGTGCCATGTGACCTTACTCTGATGTAAAGAACAGACGCCCAGTTCCTATTGCACTGGTTTTCAACTGTGTATTAGGGATCGTATTGCCCCTAATGTGGGTCAGACCCACAAACATTCGTGCCATTTCCTTCTCTCATTCTCCCTCTCTTTCATTTCGTTGTGCAGATTTCTTTTACAGACAAGGAAGCGGGGGAAGCAATTTAGAATGATAACATGCAAATGCGTGCGAACAGTTGTGTTTGCACAAGTTTTTTAACAGTTGTGAATAAAAATAAATAGTGTGGTAGGTTTAGCTGTTTCACTCCCCACTATGACAAATACAGGAATGTTCCACATGCATCGTCTTGGCCTCCATTAGAAACTTGATATTGGACAAGATGGACATCCAGTCCAATCTGGCAACGCTCTTCTTAAGTACTACTTCTATTAATCAAGACCACATAAAACCTAACATCAGTTTATAAAAATAACATCAAGTAGAAATCTGGAAGAATAAAGGTTAGAGTTAGGATTAGGGTTTAGCTTTATCCAAAAACTGAGACAGAAAGATGGAACACTTTGGAAAAGGTGTTCCAGATGCAAGGTGCCATCACAGGAGAAGCCTTGCTCCCATTTGCCACCCACCTGTCTCGGCAGGTGGAGCTACCCAGAACTCTCTGCAACAGAGCTGGGCTAGGGAACCTGTGGCCCTGGAGGGGCTGTTGGACTGTGAATTCCCTCCGCCTCAGACAGCAGAGCTAATGGTCAGGGGCTGGGGGAACGTTTCATCCAACAATATCTGGAGGGGCCCACACTTTTCAGCCCTTGCAGCCCAAGCTACGCCACCATTTATTGCATCTACCTGTACGGCGAGGGTCAATCATATAGCAACGTTTCATGCTAGTTGCTGCTGCCACACTAGAGGTAGAGAAGACCCCAGCCTTGGCTCACCTTCACTGCAACACCCCATCCTTATTCTGTTCAACACACCAGCTGTCTCAGATAGGACAGCCCCAAAAGTCTTTTCCTGGAGCATGGCAAGTGTCAGGGTTTCTCATTTGGATGCAATGCTTCGTAAGTTGCACTGTCTGGCCAGCAGTACATTTTCCGTGTTCTCCATTCTGCAAGCCAACTGACTATCGTACAACTGCAGCTGGATTTTGCATAACTACCAAGCTTCCCTGTCTTCTGAAGATCAGCTCAGAGAAATTTCATCATGATGCATACATTTCTCAGGCAGGAAAAAAGTCTTGCTTCAGCTTGGACTTCTGCTACTCTGTTGTTTAGAAAACTGTAAATATTGGCAGCAGACCGACTGCACTGTATAAATGTCAGTGCAGCTGTACGTCTGCGCTTGTCGAAAAATGAACAGATCCTTGCTGGTTTATATGTTGCGATAATAGAGTGCTTATAGTTTCGCTTGGTTTAATTTTGTTTTGTTTTGCTTCTGTGAACCAGGCCACCATTTTGCAGTCCAGAATGGTGTTACTAAAAATAAGGTCCAACAAATTACCCCTCTCGTTTGGAGCATGAGGAACTATGACCAAAGATTTGCTGTGCTGCGTCAGCTACAGGTACCCTGAGGTCACGTTTCAGGTGAACTTCAGTGACCTTGGACTCCAGGTCATACCCTCTGTGTCTGTTGACACTGTCTATAAAATGAGAATCATGTAATTGTAACTTCCCTGAGATGCCCTGCATTGTAGGGAAGTTATGAAGACAAACAGCATCAGTTCTGAAGTCCAGTTCCAGGCTCCATAGGATTCCATATGATGGGCCCCTACAGACTGTGTTTCAAGTTGGTACCACCTTTGTTTCCTCCAAATGCAGTGTCCTAGACCAGCCTTCCCCAGCCTTGTGCTTTCCCTGACACGTTGGGCTGCAGCACCCAGCATTCCCAGTCAATGGCCCTGCTGGATGGGAATTCTGGGAGTCGTGGTCCAAATGCCTCTGAAGGCCACCAGGCTGGGGAAGGCTGCCCTAGAAACCACATCATTCCATAGTGGCCACTGAAACAAGCAAGCAAGCGAACAGAAGTGGGCAAGGTGGCCGTGACCCAAAAGGTTTCTGGTCGCTATCCAGTCGGTGCGAACTGGCCCTGAGTCTGGTGTGCCTTCACTCCTCAGAAGACATCTCCCTTTCCACCTACTCTGGTTTCTTCATCAGCCGTGATCTCTTAGATGACTGCCGAAATGAACCAAACCTCAGTCCAATACCCCTGGTAATGCGGATTGGAGTAGGCCAAATCAACAGTTTGACCTCGTGCTGACATGGGTCCAAGGGGAGCAGGAGAAGGGCTTACGGAGCACCAAGACAACTGGCGAATCCAAATTAGGGAACAAATTGGGCCGGTGCCCAACTGCTGAGAACTAGGCTATAAAACCAAGCAGACACCTTGAATACTGAACTAATTCCTGTCTTGGACTGACTGCTCTTTCAGTGTCTTGCCTCCCATGCACTTTCCTAGTGTGTAGGGACATCCCTCCCCCACCTTGCACATCCCACACACTTTCACCCACTAACAGGCTACAGCGTTGCACCGACCTGGCAGTGCGAATTCTCTAATTCTGCCTGGGAGAGTCACCTATGAACTCTCTCGGCTTTGGGAATGACTTTGTGCACCAGATGAATCTATCGGAGTACACAGTGACAAAGTGACGTGCTTCTGCACAGCACGCAGGCAAAATATTTCTACACATGACGATGTGGTGATCACGCTTTACACAAAACAATCATTTGCCTCTGGCCTTGGACTGTTTCTCTCTGGCAGCTGTGCTTTTATTCCCCCCCTTTCCCCTCCTCGATGGAAACTCTGACAAGCTCAGCCTGCCTCTTTTCATCCCCATCCAGTTTGTCTTGTGCATGTTCTTCGGCTTTTTATCCTGTTCAGATGACGAACAAAAAGGTCACAGAAATCCCACTTTAATTGGACTGTGCTACTTCGAGGTTAACTATTCAAAGGAGTTCATTACTGCTTAAAGGGTACATAATGCACTCAGAACAAAGGGAAACAACTACTAGGCTTAATCCAGTGCACTTTAGTTTTCTAACTAAACCTTACGTTGGGAGAATACGGTGTTAGCTGCCGAGGAGCCAAGAAAAGGTAGATGGAGGATAGCAAGGCAAATTAAAAGGAGAGGCAGAATATCTTATAGGATGTCTTAGAAATTTGTAGTTTGCTACCTACCCTGTGCAATCCATCTGATAACATTGGCCAGGATTCAAGGAAGTCCTTCAGAAGTTCTGTACACCCAAGGAAGCTTGTGTTTGTGGAATTTCAGTACCTCCAGCCATGCATCTCCATGGGAAACCAGTTTTGAACTAAGGGGAAATGGGGCAGGGCCAATCCCCCCCCCCCCCCAATTAACTGCCCAGGGTGTGAAAGGGGCAGCATTCATGCTGTTTTCGGGGATGGGTAGACCATTTTAAAGGCAGGAAATGTACTCACTGCTGTCCACCAACTTATTTATCCTATTTCTGTATTGCCCAGTAGTCACAGCACTCTGGATGGGTTGCAACAATTAAAACCATAAAATACAACTGAAGTTTAAAAGTGTAACATGGCAATTTTTAAAAAAGCAGCAATGTGAAGATTTAAAATATAGCCTTCTCCTCCAAAAGATTCCACCCCAAGAGGCATTCTAGGAAAAATAGTGGGGTGCACTATTTCTGTCCTAGCTGCCTGTCCTCCCCCCCCCCCGCCCACCACCCCGAGAATCCCTCCTAGCACAGGAAATTGGGCAATACCAATATGGTGTGTGTCTGTTGGTTGGAATTCCAATGACATTCTGCTAAGTTTCATCCTGCCCCCACCCCAAAATTATGGGCTGCCTAAGCAAAATACAACTGAGGGTCACAGTTGGATCTTGAACCTCCCCAAAATGTGGCAGTTCCAATGTTTTGCCCCAGCCTTAGTCTGGATGCTTAGGAAGGAGGAAGTTCTGTTCTTGCACTGCTTCGCGCTACCTGCAGAAGGCTTCACCCCCACCTTGAAGGACACCTGGGCTGAAAATGGGTCCCCATAGAATGGAGGTGAGTACGAGGGCCAAAGTGGCCATCCTTCACTTGCCGTCGCTCTCCTGTGGAGAGAGTCCACGTGTACAGACCTGAACGCTCGGATGGTGGTGAGGCCCTCCGCTGTCTCCGAGAAGTGGCAGAGCAGAGGTAGCTGCGTGCTGTCGTCCAGCTCCTGGAGGTCCCTGCCGCAGATGGCAAGGAGGCACGTAAGTAGCAAATAACAACAATGACGACAAGTCTACTAACAAGTAGCCAGCCAGAAAGTGTAGCCTAAGCTGCGGCAAAAGTGCTTTCCTTAAATCAGGTGCGCACAGCCCCAGCTCCAGGGGCCAGAGTCGGCTCTCCAGCATTTCCAGATGGCCGCAGCCCTTCTCCTGGCCCAAGCCCCTTTCCTCTGACCTCAAAGTGTGACGATCGCCCAGAATACGGCTCTCTTGCACTGAGCAGACTTCCTTCTTGTGCCCAGCCCTGGCCTAGGGAGTGAGCCAAGCGAAGTTCAGGTCTGGAAATATTTGGAAACAGGGCCCCTTCTGCACATTGGCTTTCAAGCCCATTCTTCTGCTAAGTGCAACATAAACCAGCTTGCACAGTGTGCCCTAGAACCAGAGAATAGTAGAGCTGGAAGGGGCCATGAAGGCCATCAAGTCCAGCCCACTGCTGTTGCAGGACACCACGTTCCACCACCCTACTCAGATGGCTGCCCAGTTTCTTTTTGGGTGTCTCCAGTGTGGGAGAGCCCAGCACCTCTCCAGGCAGTGGGTTCCACTGTCATATTGCTCTGACAGTGAGTGAGGAAGCTTTTCCTGACGTCCAGCCTGAATCTGGGTTGTCTCAACTTGAACTGATTATTCCTGTCCTGTACAAATGCAAAGCAGAAGAGGAGGCAGAAATCCACTTAAAACCGAGAGCACTTAAGCAGCACGGAAGTGGAGTGTGCGCTTGTGGAAACCAGCCTTGCTCATTGTATCTGCACATCTGTAACATACTGTGCAGCAATTGGACTCTCTTCCTGCCAGAGGCCTGTACACATGCTCAGCGTACATGGTGCTTAGGACAGAGGGAAAGCAGGCTGCAGTCCAGGAAGCCGAGCCGAGAACATCAGTGGATTCCCACCCCCAAATCGGATTCCTCACACATTGCTCCTCTGACCACCAGTTCTTTGGAGATTTTCCAATTCTCTTCAATGTTTCCCCTCTTCTACAAGCTTGACATTCCTCTCCTAAGGCTTAGTTATTGGCTGTAGGAGCTTTAAGCTAAAATGCTGATCACTTTACTATTTGGACCCTGGTCCTTTGCCTTGGGCCCCGTCTAGCACTGAAATATGGCTGCTGGGAACTCCTCTAAAATGGAATTCAGCCCTGGCAGCGAGACGCTCTGGAGTCCCCTCTAAAGAAATAATTGGTGGTGTCTGACATCAGAATGGAAAACTTTGATCGCTTTAGGCTAAGAAGACATTTGGCACATTATTGGGTGTGGGTTTTTTAAAAGAAACCTACCTGGATGCAACGCGGAAGTACTTCTGAATGAAATAAAAGGCGATCCCAAGAGGCACAAGGGCAAGCAGAAACACTGGAGTGGCATAAGAAATCATCCCAATTGCGGAAAGGCAGAGCAAAGTGGATCGCGAGAGAGACTCCAAGGTTGGGGGAATGTGCTGCACAAACCATAATTCATAATGTTATTTCTAGCCAGATTCCAGGTCCTTACAGCTGAACAATCATTTATTTGCTTTTCCATTAATTATCTTGTGAACCTGCCTATCTTCCCTCTCATAATTCAAAGTGGTACACTTATTTATTCTGAACACGTTTATGTCTGTTTTCAAGGACAACTCTCAAGTAAGATACAACAAAATTGTGGTGGTCCTAGGCCTTCCATTCAACCCTGTCCAGACTCATAGCTGCTTTGCTACAGCAAGACTGCAACAAAATTAATCGTCTAGGACCTCAAAATGCTTGGAAAGTGGCATCTGTGTGCAGATTTCCATTTCCGGCACCATCCTGTTAGCATACATGTACACTTAGTGACATTGGAGTGAGCTGTGGTTAGATACCATCCATCGTTTGGGGATTCCACCCATGTGAGATGTCAGTTAGAGATTATTTTATGCATTTATTTAGAATATGATTCTACTTTCCCAGACTCTAGGCAGATTCCATAAATGAATATAAAATGGTAACTAAAACAATACACAAAAAGCATGGCAACAAAGTAAATTCAGCAGTGAGAAAATGATTTAGGGCTGCCCCAACTGATCTGCTGGCCCCTCATTGAAAAGCTCTACAGTGGCCATGCTGGCTGGGCATGATGGGAGCTGTAGTCCAACATATATGGAGGGGGTAGAGGTTGGTGGCGCCAATGTCCTTGGGTTGCGTATCCACTCTGGATTGTACGCCAGTCTTTAAAGGAGCCATCCATGGCACTGAACCACATACTCTCTCCCTTCATTTTTCTGTTCAGCACCACGAACAGCACCTCAAAGTTTCAGGGCGAACTCTGGAGTGGATACACAGTCCTGCTGACACTGGAAGCACCAGCTTCCCTTATTGGGAGCACATCAAGTCGGGGAAGGCTAGCCTAGGACTTCATCTCTATTATTTCTCAATAGAGTGGCCAGGTGTCCTGCTTTACAGAGGGCAGTCTTCTGTCTGAAGGGCTGCCAGAGGGCTTTCATTGGGAAGGCATTCTGTATTTGAACTCTGAGACCAGCATAAAGAGCTCTCAGAAGCGAATGACTGCTGCTGTTCCTTGAAGCGCCTCATTAACAGCATTTGGACAGCAGACCGAGCAAGACCCAGAGGTCACCTGGTCACAGTCAGCCACATTTTAGGGGGAATTCTGAATTTCTATTTAAAGTATAGCAATTATTTCAAAATTTACACCTATACATGAGAGGGAGAGGGAGAGACCAGAAACAGAATGAGAAAAAATACATTTCATGCTAAACATTTTTGGTTCCTGCCCTCATGGATAGCTGTGATGTTCAATGGATACACAGAGTGGCAGTTCTGAATGCTGCGAAATGCAAGGACCTCATTTACAGAGTCGCTGTATTCTGAAAAAGGCCATATCCCATCAATGAGCGCACCTGATCGATAATATTGGTATCAGCAGAAAATCGATTTAGAATCAGCCCCAGGGGTGTTGTGTCAAAGAATCTGTTAGATGGGGAAAAAATGAAAGATTTTATTGGACAAGAAGCCTTTTATTGTTCTGTATCCTGAATAATATCACTATACTAAAATATGTAACAAAAAGAATGCATCAACAACCATTTAAAATAAATTTTAATTGAAAGATAAACATTAAAGCAGTTGGAATATGGGGAAAGGCCATTTTAAAATGCAACTCTGAACGTATCATTAGAAGTAAAGCCAGAAGCTGCTAAATCAATTAATGACCTGGGAATATAAAAAGACCTTGGCCTGGTGCTACAAAGTCAACGAAGTAACTTGGGACCACCAGCGAAAAGGCTGGTCATGGATCACATCCTGCTGAACCGCATTATGTGGGGGCACTCAAAGCAAGGCATGCTGTGGATTTGGAAGCCTTCCGTTTCCCTTGCTGCTAAAGGCACATTCATGAAGTGACTCGCTGCCAACCCACCTGATTGGTCCAAGGATGATCTTGTTGAGGAGATCGTGGTGAAGGTTCTTGGCAGCTGTGAGGCCCATCCATTCAACTGTCAAAGATGTGACTAGGCAAAGGACAATTCCTGCACCACTAAGGGTGGTGAACACGGCTACATTGCAACTCTATTCAAAACAAGGGTAAGAAGACATATTTCAAATCCTGGGAAATAATAGCATTTTCCTTTGATTATGAAACACCCCGAAAGACATGTTTATATCTACTGTGCAGACCAGCTGTTGGGTCATAGTTCCAGAAGGCTTCTGTTTTAGTACTCTGTGCACTTCCTATTTAAATTAACTGGATGTTTTTACAGCACTTCTCGAGTGGAGGGAAGAAGCTTTGTGAGCTATGCTACGCCTGTGGGAGTACTGCTGAGAGACAGCTTTGAATTATAATTTTAGTGCTGAAATTACTTGGAACAAATACTGCCTCACAGGGGGATAACCTAGAGGAAAAACCAGGTTTAACACACAGTTGTGATCCCAACGGCATCTTTTCATTTAAGCAGCAATCCTATGCCCAATAACCTGGGATTAAGTGAATGGTGTGTGTGTGTGTGTGTGTGTGTGTGTGTGTGTGTGCACATGCGTGTGGGGGTGGGGTTCCAGTCCTGGCCAAATGCTGGGAAATTTCCCAACAGCATAGACAAAGGCTTTGTTAGAGGCAGAGCACCATGTCCCCAGAGCCTATGTATCCTTGACCTCCTTCATTTATAATGAGGGGAAAAAACCTTCTCTCTCAGATGTTCCAGCAGTCAATACAAATTATTTTCCTCAAGAGTTGCCCACATCGCAGCTGCATCTCCAAAACAAACCGAGTGTTTGCCCGTCACGAGTCCCTAGGCCACTAAGAGCACGGAGCGAAATCTGCTACCAAATTTGCAGGTGGTTGTGTCAATATGACAGGTATGGACGTTTTTCAAAGGTTCTCAAGGTGGGCATACCACTGGGGATCCCCCCCCCACTTCAGTGTTCTTCCCCTCTCTGTGACAGCAGCAGCAACAAGATGTCTCTTCGCACATCAGGAGCAGGCCACTGTTAATTCACTCAGTGATTCATGACAGCTGCCATTTTGCATTTTCCGGCTGTGTCTGGGGCACCCCCTGTGAATCTGGGGAGGATGTGTTGTTGGCATGGTTAACAAGTGACCCACAGCTCTTTAAAAAAATGCAGAGCCCTGGATGAGTCACTCATGGTGGCCTGCCATGTCATGAGAACCAGGTCAGAGAAGCAGTAAAGCGTTTCTTGCTGGCCACTGGCTGCCATTTTTTCACATCCCAGATTCAATGTTGTTCTAGGGTAACTCTGAGAAATCTGAAGGCCAGCTTTGCCCTCCGCCCCACATGTCTTAAGTGCTCAGGAGGACTAAAACGGCTACAATTACTTTGCTCTCAGGCGAAACTGGGCCCATTAAGAGCTCTAAAGCCACAATGGCGCATCCTAGAGCAAACTAAATTTAGCAATATTATTTAATGCTCCTGAGTTGCTACAGATGTCATTTTGTTTATTCTGGTCACATCGGGACCTCTAAAGGGATCATCACATGTGGGATGTGGGCTGTATGTTCCCCACTCCTCTTCTAGGATGTTATGGGGAAACGGCAGTTAATTCCTGTGTCAGCTTCCATTCTCCTCCTCAGCCCAAAGGTGAGAACGAAAGAAGAGCTAGAGCGGTTCATACCAAAGGTCGCCCAGTCCAGCATTCTGTCCACACGGTGACCAACCAGATGCCTGTTTGAAGTGAGAAGAGCAGCACCCTCCACCTATGTTCCCCAGCAGCTGGTGTACACAGCTACGGAGCCTCTGCACTGTAAGGACTATATAGCAGTGATTCGGGACTTTGGATAGTCTTATCCTCCATTAATTCGTCTAATTCCCTTTCAAAGCTGTCTAAGTCAATGGTCATCAAAGCATCTTGTGGAAGGTGAGCTCCACAGTTTCATGACAGCACAAGAGGTGTTCTGTCATCTTCATTGTTGCTGCTGCTGCTCCCTGGCAACATTTTAAATAATAATTTAATAATCCTGCTTTCGCCCCACTTCCAGCGTCCTTAAAATCAACCCTAGCTCTGGGAAAGGCCTTTCATTCCACCCCCACAACCAAAACTGAGTTGAATGTTTTCCAAAGACAGCTTTTGGCAGCTCGCAGTTTTACGGTTATGCCACTGATTAGCATTTTTGCCCTTGCCTGGGTCCTTCAAAACCCTGCACAGACTGGGACCCACCTAACCTAAGGGTCACCTCTTCCTCTTTGCGTTTACTAGCCATTGCTCCCTGGCAGGTGTGCCTTCTGCAGTAACGACTTCTAAGCTTTGAAAATCCTTTCTGGAGACATTAGTAAATCTACCTCTGCACAGGATTCCAAGAAAGAGGGGGAAATGTTCTTTTTAGTTCCATTTGGATCTTCTGATGTGCCTTATAGCCACATTTTGGGGTTGATTCATTTTCAGTGGCTAGTCTTTCTTCTAAGCACTTTATTCTCATTTATTTCCTTTTAACTGCTTGCTAATTTTTACACTTTGGCCTACCTTCCCAGTAGGTTCCTCTGCGGGACACAAGGCCTGACTTTCATTCTTTGACGTCCACTGAGCCAACCAATAATCGAGCGCGACCATGACAGAGTGCTTCAGGAGTTTGGAGAAGATCATCAAGGAGAGCAGGAGGAACCCTCCCGAGGTGAGATAAAGCCAGCAGGTTTTCCATGGCATCTTTGTTCTGAGGCGCATTACTGTTGACATGTTGTCATCTTCCTCTTCCTCTTCTTCTTCCTCTGACAGATCACAAATTTAACTCAATTGGTTTATCTGTCCTACATATCTTAGTTGCAACTAATACCTATAATGGGGATGGAATTACTGCTGCATCTGCCTCTTTTTGGATAGACAGCAGAATGCTGAGAATCTAAGGGCTGGCTCAGACAGGAGCTATTTGCTACTTATAGACTGCAGCATCTAGACACGGCTTGCTGGATATAGCATAGCAAAAGCCCTTTCCTGCTACTGGTTTTCAGTTGATGGAGACATTCAACCACCAGCATTATTTGCATGTTAAATCAAATGCGCAGAGGCCAAGAATGCAATGTCTCTGCCATTAGCTTGCTTGAGAATACACTGAACATAGTCCACCTTGGGTCTACCTGTGAGGGAAAGGTAGGTATGTAATCATCACCAAGAAACTCGCATAAAGCAACAGCCCTCAGACCTTCCTGGGTGCAGCAAAGAATTCAGATGAGGCACAGCTTGCTTCCTCAGTGGTAGGATATTTGGGAACCTCCTGGCCAGAAGACACAGCCCTGTGCTCATTCTCTGGTTCAGAGGGGGTGTCCCCAGTACAACCTCCATCTGTCTTGCAAAAGAGTCAGGCAAGGCCCTTTAATGGTTGAGTCAGCTTCTCCAGGACAGATGAAGCTGAACTCTGGACTGATCAACCCACATAAGGCTGTTTTAGTTGGGTTTAGCTCCCTGCTGAGACAACATCTTCCTATGGTTCTACAAGGAGAGAGTTGGACCAAGAGGGAACTATGATCATATCCAAGGTCCTATTTTCTTCCTGCCAGAAACTGGTTACCATCAGATGCAACGAGCATCTCCTGCAAACCTCAAGGAGACATAGTACATAACACGTAACATGGTCAGAGCAGAGTGCTGTTTCCTCCATCCTTTCCCATCACAATCTCTTTGCATTCCTTCTGAATAGACCTAACGGACTGAGTTTGTATGGAGATCCCATATCTAGTGTAGCGTACTTAGTGCCTGTTCCCAGTCATGGGGCTTCACCTAAGCCAGAGCAGCTTTTTAAAAACCCAAAACTCGTCCCTATTTTGCTCCTGATTTAGCTTTCCATGAAGCTGCTCACTCAGGGTCATTGTTAGCCACTTCTGGGCTCAGGCTCATAGGATAGAAATTGCATAAAATGTGCATATTTTGCACATATATGTGCATATTTAGAAACAATGGCTAGGATTTGTTGGATTTCTGAGCAAGGGAAAAGAACTCACAGAAAATGTTTATGGTTACCTTCATCCTCGTCCTCTAGCTGTGCTTTAGATTCTCTGGGGTACATAGCTCTTCGAAGGGTCTTCCTTTCCAGAGTGGTTTGGTCCGTTTCCAAATCCTGCCATTTTGAAATTTTGAAAGTGAAGCCTTGTGTGCAAGGACTACTTAGAACATGAGAGCATTGGGTGGATGAAATTGTGGTCAGACTTTGCGCCTGATCTCATTCACTTAATTGTCTGCTCAGAACACAACAGTCCAGTTTGGGCAATAAACACAAGCTTTGCTCAAGCCAGGAAACTGCATTTAACCCTAGGTTATGTTATGTCTGAACCAGGAAACTAGGGTTAATGGCTTCAAAACAAGTCAGGATATAAAGCCTGGTTATAGGCTGGCTTCTGAGCATGGGTTTGTTTGGAAATGGATAGCTACAGTTTCCAGTTTGGACATGGTGGGAAGGTGTGGTTACCGGTGACTTCCTGGCTTTCTTGCTCTCTAGGCAAACATGAACACAGACCAGCGCTCCTTGAGGAAAGTTCATCTTGGCTGCGACTACAACACACTGAACATGCACTGGTGGCTTTGTGGTTACCTTTTCTAATTCCTGGTCTTGGCGATTCATCAGGGTTTTCCAGTGTTCATATAGCTCAACATCTTTAGTCTGGATGTCTTTCAGTGTCCCTTCTCTATGGACAGTCCCATCTTTCATGGCAATGATCTGAGGAGGAGCAGGACAAATATGGAAGCTGTTCTGCAGCAACACCGAGTTACTCACTGCTTTGGAAGTCTGACAAACATGTAACTGGATTGATGGGTGAATTTTGTGCAGTATATACTAGAGCTTTAGTGCAATGTTTAGTAGTGACTGAAACAAGTTGTGTGCTATATTGCATGCCCTTCCCCATCTGGATTGTGATACTGATGTTGACCTTGCTGAGTCCAAGATTCCAGACTGCCAGGAGATTAGTCAGGTCTGCTATGTGTTACATGCTGTCTGTGGAGGCTGGATGTGCTGAATCAGCATAGCAGAGCCTGTAATAACCCCATGGTGACCCACATGGCTTTTGTTCCATGAGTAGCTTTCCTAACCAGCTGCTTTCTCTTCCAGGAGTAGGGTAGGGAGCCTAGTGTTCTCCAAATGCTTTGGAGTAATGCTCCCATCATCCCTGACCATTGGCCATCCTTGCTAGGGTATATGGAAGTTGTAGTCCAAAATACGTTTGGGGTTCCAGGTTGTCTAACCCTAATCTATGGCTTCTACAAATCACATTACTACCATTGAAAATGTAGACAGGTGGGGGAATATCCCCTTTTGACTTCCAAAAATGTGGATGTTCATGAGCCTTACCTTTGAGCGCTTGTTAGAAACTCAGTGGCTTTTGCAAGCACTCAGAGAGAATGCTAGCAGAAAATGATAGCTTCCAAGCCAGCCAAAAGAGAGGTGTCTCTCTTGGCTTGCCCAGAAAAGCTGCAGCCTGGGACTCTGCTGATTGGGACAAAATTTCCCCCACCTCAAGGACCCCTTGGGGTAAGAAAGTCCCCTGAGAGGTGGGTTTTTGTCCCCAGCAGTTGTCTTCAGTGCTGCAGACCTTCACTGAAGTCGACAGAGATGTAGACCAATAGAGACCTTCTCTGTTGGTTTGCACAAGGCATGGCAGTGGGAACAGCTCCTCCTCACATGACCAGGGCGGATTGTGTTCACCTTGATTCTGCTTGGAACAATCCAGGTAGGAGTTTTCACATGTTCAAGCAACCCTGGCCTGGAATTCTGACCCCATCTTTATGCAGACATTCCTTTTCATGAATAGCTTTCCATGGTGCATGGCTTTCCATGGTGGGTTCCTTCAGAGAGCTCTGATTTTTACAGTTTTATTCAGTACTGGGGTAGCTGGGAGGATCTGGCTCAAAGAGAATGCCTCCCAGTTTCACCACTCAGAAGAATGGGGAGGGTATAGCCATAGGATATAGAATGGGGAGGGTATAGCCATAAACATTGAGCAAAAGGTTTGAATCGATGGCCTTATAGGCTCCTTCCAACTCTACCTTTCTATGATTCTATTATTTTTGTCCAATACAAATACACAAGTTCTGGGCAATTTATAAATTTTTATAAAAACCATAGAAAACAACAAAAACTATTATTATTAATAATATTGAGATAATGTTATTTTGATAATAATATTTTGTTACTATTATTTTTATTTTTATACCACCCAATAACCTAAGCTCTCTGGGAAGTTTACAACAATTCATAAAATACAATAAATTACAACTAATAAAATATTGTTATAGAATGAATCAGTTGAGAAGTATTCTCTCAAACCCTTTTCAGTTTCAAAACACTTGGAGACATGCAGTGGAATGGTGACAAAACAGAATAATCTGTCACAGAACACCTAACAAACTTGCAAAATTTATTGCCACACGCTGTGACAATAGCCATTACTATAGATGCTTTTGAAAGAGAACCCAGGAAGTGTAGACATAGCAAGTCTATCGTTCTTAGAATGAAAAGTAAAAATGTACTGCTTTCGAACATGGGCATCAGATTCCTAGATAATTATTTCTACCTAGCGATAGATCTGATTGAAAAAAATGAATGTCTGAGCACTACATGCTGGGGTCAAACAGCTAAACCGGGGGTATGTCTACCTCAACACGTGAGCTTCCAGAAGTTCTGGAAGATGGCCTGCAGCTTCTACAATCCCTTACCCTGCAGAGATTTGAGACCTGCAACGCTCATCGTTGGCTGTGTTGACTAGAGAGGAAGGGAAATACAGGATGGAACATCTCAAGGGCCGATCGTGCTGTAAAGCAGTCCTGCAGTTGTGTGCGTGTGTCTTACCCAGTCAGCATGTGGCAGGTACTGGAGTTTATGAGTCACTAATACAAGGGTCCTTTTGTCCTCCTTAAGGAACTTCAGGATACCTTCTTGCATCAGGTGATCACTCAGGTGAATGTCCAAGGCAGAAAATGGGTCATCCTGGAATCATGAGTGGTGAAAGAGCATTGTGAACCAGTCACTGCATTTTCAACCATGAGCATTTGACAGTTCTTATTTTCTAGATTATGCAATGAAGGGCTTCTAAATGCTACTGGAAGAGGAAGATTTCAAGGGTTAAATTACATGCTGCATTGACTACAGAGCGGGGAGGTTATTTTTCCTGTTATTTTACCTTGCTGTAAGCACGCAAGACCCTCAGGGTTAAAACCTCCTACCTGGCCACTTTTATATTAAATCCCCCCTAACACACACACACACACACACACACACACACACACACACACACACACTGCATGGAGGGGATCTAATTTAAAAAAGAAAACCTCCATTGGTGCAATGAAGCAAACTTAAAAGTCATGGTGAGCTACATGTTACACTCACATGCTTGTCCCCTGCGTTGTTACCAGTTAAAACATGGGCCTTTCATCTGACAAGGGCTGTGCTTTCCTGTCACCCCAAGGGACCACTTGCAGGAGATGGAACTCCATGATGTTCCATCGGCTGTTCAGTGGCGTATTGTTCAGACAAACATCTAGTACTACGTAGCTCAGGGACAAGCAAACATTTCAGGCTGGCAAGCACGTTTGACGTTTTGAGAAAGAGTCCTGGATACCACCGCAAATCACGGTGGGGTTATAATGTTAAAAATGTTCTGGAGTCTCACTGTTCTTATCCCCACTCGTTCTGGATTTTTGTTTTTTCTTATCACTCTCTCCTTTCTAGATTCCTCCTTTTTTGCCCTCTGCTCTAGAGGGTCACCTGTCTTGATTTTCCCTGTGTGGTTTTTGGAGGGGGTTTCTGCCCTCACCTGTATTCGTGTGAATGAACAAGGCTGCTGCATTGACTTTACCAACATAGGAACAGTGCGCCCATCACAGGCCTACTTGGCAATTGTGGTGTATGAAGCTACCTGCAGGACCCTTGCATTGAAACTGCATTTCTGATTCCTAAAAAGAGCTTTGTGCAGAGAAAATAATGCAAGGGATTTATAAAGTGCCTTTTTCTAACTGCTCAAAGGACTTCAAGAGTCCTTACAAGAGTCCCACGTTACACAGAAACATAGAAACAGAGCGAGTCAGAAGGGTCCTCCTGGGTCATCCAGTCTGACCCCCGGATCTAGCCGGCTCTGCTCATGACATGCCTACCATGTGGACATCCAGCCTATCCTTGGGCACCCTCACTGATGGGGCCTCAACCACCGCCTGTGGAAGCCCATTCCATACCCTTGGGGTCCTAACTGTCAGGAAGTGCTTCCTGGCATGTTATAGAAGAAAAAGCCAAGATGGTTATACTTTCAAGCCAGTTTGGTGTCCAGGTTAAGAGGGTGGGACCGCGGTGATCTGGTCTCTAATCACTGCTCAGCCAAGGAGCCAATGGGGTGCCTCTGGGCTAGTCACAGACTCTCTGCCCAACCTACCTCACAGGGCTGTTGTTGTGGGGATAAGATGGAGAGCAGGAGGAGGAGAATGATGAAACTCACTTTGAGTTCTTTGTATGAAAAAAGGCAAGATATAAATCAAATGAATAAATGACACCATTGTGACTACATATGACACAGAGTTGTCTCCAGGCCTTATTTTAATACCAAAGCAATTCCCAGAGGCAAGGGGGGACTCTTTAACTCGGGCTTCCCCAGTCAGATAGCCTTGAGATGTATTAGACTACCACTCCTATCACCCCTTGCTAGGGGTAGATGGAGGTTACAGTCCAACAGACCTAAAGAGCACCCAGCTGGGGAGAGCTGATTTAATTCTTTCCCTTCTAGTCTATTTTTCCAGTCCGTTGGCAATCACCCAACTGCTTTAGTCTGCATGAAAGAAAAGGCAGATCTCTGCCCACCCTTCCTTCGCCTGTGGAAATCCAGCTCCTGCATGCAATGAAGATTAAGGACAATTCTGAGTGGGACAAAAGGGGGAAGAGGTAAATAGCCCCGCTTGCTTCATTCAGTTTCCCAGATTTTGCCTGGGTTTTTAAACTGTTGAGCAAAACACACGTGCTTCTCTGTATCTCCTGCTGCTTCAAGCAGAGTCTGAGAGAGACTAAGATTGCCCCTGGGACAATCCAGTGATTTCATGGGCTCAGCAGAGGTTTAGAGCTTCGTTATGGCAACTCACTGATTTGTTTATTTAATTCATTAATTGAATTTATTAAAATATTTGCATCCTGCCTCTTCTTCAAGGTGGCTTACAATGTTGAACCATTAAAAACAAGTTAAGAAAAGTACAGCACACTTTGCCCTTTCTTGCAGGGTGAAAACGGACGATGAAATTGATATTCATGTTTTGCAACAGAGAAATCCATTTGCAAGTACTCAAATGCCAGCATCCAAATGTAGAATCTCTTTCTGCAAATTGCAAGAGGAGTTTTGAATTTTACATTCATTTCAACTCTAATGCAATGCAAATAAAAAAGAAGGTGCACATTTTGCCACTTTTATAAGTCTTACCAGGAAGACAATGTTGGTGTTTTGGTAGAGCGCTCGAGCGACACAGATGCGTTGCCGTTGGCCTCCACTCAAGTTAATTCCCTAAAGGGGGGAACAGATCATACATTTCAGTGCATTAAATAAACAATGGTGACATTGTTTAAATTAAATTAATGGTGACATGCATTTTGACAGGACCTGGGAAAATGCCAGCTTTTTAAAATCCACCCCCAAAATCAAACAACCCTCAAATTTATCTAACATTATGTGTCGTAAGTGTTAGGGTTTTGACTGCTAAACCTAGAGTGATTCTTTGCAATTAATTAGAAAAAGAAATATCTAAAATAACTTGCAAGTTAGGCATGTTGTATTGTGGTAAAACAGAAATGTAGTTACTGGTGAACACAAATAACTGCTCTATCAACACAGTGAGAAGAAGAACTCGCCAAAGGTAACCATGCTGGTGCATGACTGGGGAAAGACCTAAAATTCTGAGTTGGGAGGTACCTTTATTGGGATCAACTGAAATGGCAGCACATATACAAGTTTTCCAGTTCTCCAAACCATTTCATCAGGCTAAGTGCTGCAAAGGGAGCAGCTGATAGTGGAAGAAAAAGGGCTTTAAACATGGCCAGATGTAGCGGCCCATGAGATGAGACAGCAGGTTTAACTCACTCTTTAATTAGAGATGTACACACTGAAGTCCCATGCTATCAATTGTACCCTTGGTGACTGGAAGCCTCCAAACTCAGATGCATCTAATCCTCTCACAAGGATGCTTCAGAAGGTGCGGGAAGAACATGAGAAGAGGCTCAGAATAACTCATATTCTATCCCCACCACCCAATCTCCTCCGCTTCTCACCAACAAGAATGCCTGTTTCCTGCTCCATTTCGGAGGATGCTTTTCTGACCTTTGAAGGTAGCTGGTATGGATCTTCATGCATTGGTTTCAAGGAGGTGGGGGAGAAGGGCTGGATTTCCACTTCCCCCTTCTGAGATGGGACTGCTGTCTCCAGCCTTGGCAGGGGAAACATACATAATCCTATGGTCCTTGGGGTGTTCACCCAGAGGCCATAGGATTGCTGTCTGAATCGATTAGTCATTGGCAAGTCTTCCAGCTCTCAGATTACATTTAGGAATAAATTCTGGCACCGAGAAACAACGGGTCAACTCCATTTCTGAAATATCAAGACTAGTTGTAACTCAGATGCCTTTCGACCTAACCCAGGAGGTCCTCATGGAAGGGAATTTCCAACAGAGCAGGAAAGACACACTCTCAAGAGTGGGAAACATGTAGCTTTCTTGGTTGTAGAGAGAAGGAGTGCACGGGTGGTCACTGGAAGCTGGAAGTCTCAAACCGGGCATGACAAACAGTTATGGGCACCGTGAAGGCTTTTCCATGGGCAGCCCCAGTGCTGCGAGTGGCTGCATTAATGAGCCTATTCAGACACAACGAGGATAATGACTGCCTCAGTATCCTTAAAGGTGAACTAAATACAACATAAGATTTAAATGAAGAGCATGGTTAATTTACCCTTTCTCCAATCTCTGTCTGATCTCCAAAGGGCAACAGGTCAATGTCGGGCTGCAGAGAACATGTGTCTGTGACTGCTTTGTACCTGTTGAATATGGAAAACAATGCGGTCCAAAATCAAACAGGATCCAGCGTGGATTGCTAGCCTTTAATAGCAAAAACTAAACTAAATAAAAATCTGATCTATGGGCCAGTGGAGAACTCCAGTGGGCAGCCAAGCTGGACAGGCATAAGAAGGAAAATAACTAAAAGCCAGAATTTTGCCCTGTCTGTTGATGCTGCTGCAGGCAGGTTCTGTGGACTGAGCTCATGCCTTCTGGGGTCAAGGCACTGTGCAGCAGGACATGGGAGCAAGTCCAACAGTTGCCACTGCTGAGGATCCTACCGTTTCCCACCTGCCTTCCAGGGCTCCAAGGTGCCCAAAGCTCTGTTCTTTTGTTTTCCAAGGATTGTGGCTGTCCTGGCCTTTGGCTACCCTCATCAAGGACCAAATTAGAGGCTATCTTTGCAAATCCATGGTCTAAACACACCAAGCTTTATGATATAACAAGGGATATGGAGGTGGGGGTTGCATGGAGGACTGGGTATAGGACAGGGTGATTATTTCTCTACTAATCATTTCAACAGTCCTGGGCCATGATCTAGTGGAGCCAGGACTCTCGGGGTGCAGCAGTGGCATCTCTCCAGGCAGCTGCTTCCACTGTCGTATTGCTCTGACAGTAAGGAAGCTTTTCCTGACATCCAGCCTGAATCTGGGTTGCTGCAACTTGAATTGTTTATTCCACGTCCTACATTCTGACATCAGCAAGAAGTGCTCTTGATCTTCCTCTTTGTGACAGCCTTTGAGGTACTTCTAGAAGGATATGAGTTTGCTGATTTGGATCAACACAGTAGCCATAATTTATGGGCTCTCCTTGCGGGAGCATCATAAAGTAACCTGTAACTGACATTCTTCAATGGTCATCTGTGCATTCTCACAGATGTACCTCCACACCCCTCATACTAGCATGAGGCCTCATTTTGTACTGAATCCAAAATGCTAAGACCTTTCCTTGCTAAAAATGCCCTTTGTGAATTTGTATGGGCTTTCTCCCCCAGCATACCTTATCTGAGAGAAAAGCAGGAAAGTTTGAGAAGTCTGGCTGCTAGAAACATAAAGACGCTGTCTATTACCTCTGTTTATTAAACGTGCTCCCGAAAGTAATATTTTCTTCCACTGTAGCGTTCAGTAGCCACGGTTTCTGGGCAGCATAAGCCACCGAGTATCGGTTCCTGATGAAAGATGTCAATGTAAATGCATGAGAGGCAGGAGTGGGAAGGTAACATCGGCTACACACGAATTTGCAAACTGTATATGGGATTTGGTACGAAACCAAGAAGCACATCAAAGAAATGCAGCTGTTATAATAGAGTCAAAGGGGAATGAAATGAAAAGGTTATATTAGAGACCACCCACTTTCTGCCATGTTTCATGTGTGTATGTGTATGTATTTATGTGATAATTTTTTCCTATGTTTATCCTATGTGTGCTGTACTCTTGCATGCATCTCCACATCAAAGGAGTTGATAAGCAGCAAGCATGCAAGATTGTACCCCTGCGTGCCTGACCTTTACCTGTTCCTCCCCTTGCGTCAAGAATGTGACACGGAACTGTGGCCACACGTCCATGTGTCACAGTCAGTGGGCATTGGCTCAAGCGATGTGCTTCACGTGCTGAACTTCCTGTGCACAAACTCCACTGTCTATGCTGAGAGACTGGGCTCTGTACCACCCATGTTGGACCATGCAAAGAACCCTGAACCAAGATGGAGGAATTCAGTGGCAATTTGGAAAGCTCCCCCAGTGCTGAGAGTTTCACTTGTACTTTGGTATTAGCAGATACCTAACAATCCTGACTGCAAACGCCAAGTTTGAGACAACATGCGATGCGTGTTTTATCAAAATAGGCTCCTTGGATGTTTTAACTCTAGTTAATTGATGTTTGGTAAAGGCAAACAAAAGAGATGATGCTGTGAAATATCAAACATTGGTTAGAAGCATGATGTGACTCCAGAAATTTCCAGGTATAGAGTTTAGAAGGCACAAAAATGTATTGGATTATGTTAATTTCCTTGAGGTGATCAAGCATCTCGTAACACAGTGGTTCCCAGTCACTGTCACATGTGCTACTAGTCAAAAATATGAGACTTCATCCAAGTTCAGCAAATTTCTCCAATGAATCATTAAATTTTGGGCTGAAATTTGAAGAACCATGAAAGTTTAATTAATCTCCAAAAGCAGCAGCAAATTCTGGCCAATGAGATGTTGAGAGTTGCTATCTGGATTAGGATTCTTCTTGGCTGGGGTTTTTTCTTTTTTGTATATTAATATATTTTAATTAATTTTAAAATGTTTAAAATGTTGTTTTACAAACTGTATTTTATTGTTTTCATATTCTGTTGTGAACCGCCCAGAAAGCTTTGGCTATGCATAGTATAGAAATGCAATAAATAACACTAATACATAAATACTTATAATAAAATTAAGTCTTCCATCATCATATTGAGAGCCATAAACATGTGATTCCCAGTGATGTTCCATCCAGGCTTAATGAAATCCATGCTTAGCTTCTGAAAGTCTGATGCAACGTGTAAACCATACCTTTGGACATGCTCCATAGGATGCAGATCCTTCACATGAACACACAATTTGGAAAATGCATCCTCTCCAAAAAGCAAGCAATAGATTTCATAAAGCGGATGTTGATACAGATCATTTACATCATACGCAACACTATCTATGTGAAGAAGCCTAAGGACATGTTCAAGGTGTTACTTTCCACTACAGGAAGTAGAAACTGTCGTGGAACTTAAATGTCTGGAGCCCACGTGCAGTAAGCAATGTACTTGAGCCGGACTTTAGATAGATAAGCCTATTACCCCTGAAAGATTGGGAACCACTGTGTTGAAGAAGCCTGCTAGTTAATAGACTGAAATTGGGGTCAGTAAATTATTGGAATTGGGATAAGGAAACAAGTGTATAGGATTACACAGACGGCAGAGATTCAAGAAGAAGATGCGAGAATAATACCTCCGGTTTGCTTCAATAGAAGACTCAGTTTCATTTGCACTGCAAGTTATGGTAAACAATAAGAAATCAGCAACTTGGCAAGCAAATTTAACATTCTTCTAGTGGTGGTGGTTGGGGTGGGGAGGGGGAAGGGAAATTAAAATATAAAACAAAATCCTAATACAAAAGCACAGCAAGAAAACAGTCCAGATGTTATCACAGATGGTTGAGCTGAAGTTCACTGCAACTGTGCAGGATCCAGAGGGAAATCCTGACCAGCCCCACCCACTCCCTGTTCTGGAGTCCCTGTGAGCATTTAGCACAACTTACACAGCGTGGCACACACTAGACTGACCGTTGTATCCCCCTTTTCATCTTTTAACATCCCATCACATTTGAGGTTGTTTTAATCTTCAGATGTTCTATAAATTACTAACAGATTCCATGCACTCTGGGCCTCTTTCTCCAAACCAAGTGGGATCTCATGGGAATTGTTCCACGTCCTTATCTTAAAATATCTTCTAAGCCCTCCGAGTCCTTTCAAGACTCTGGAGACTAGATCGAAAGTTTTCATGATGGACAGACCTGGCTCATTCTCTGCGACTTGCTGCTCTCAGAGAATCAGCTCCTTGCAAGTGTACACAGAGTTGACTTTGTTAATGCATTGTTTCTATGAGACTGCAAGACTCAGCCTGTTGTGTTCTCATTCCGGTTCTTTGGGAACACAATTGAGAACACGGCTACTTGTGAATCTGGTTTCGTGAGGTGCCCTGTTGGCAGCTTAACCCTTTTTCAAAGCTCCACCCCAAACTTTTAAACACCTGTTGGAAATAAGTTCACAGTGCAATCTCATGGCCATTGCTCAGTGTCCATGATGATGTTTGTCCATCGTTTTTGATGAGGACCTTGACCTGTTGGCGGGTGGTTCTGCCTTCTTGGTAAGAGACTTTCGCTCTGTTCTGGGAGGGGTTGCATTCCCCCTAAAGGACAGGGTGCACACTTTGGGGGTGCTCCTCAACCCAGAGCTGTCCCTGGAGTCTCAGGTGTCAGTGGCGGCAAGGAGCACTTTCCTTCAGCTACAGCTGATCCAGCAACTGCGCCCTTGCCTGGAAGACCATTGCCTAGCAATGGTGACCCATGCTCTGGTAACTTCCCAACTAGATTATTGTAATGTGCTCTTCGCGGGGCTGCCCTTGAACACAGTCCGGATACTTCAGCTGGTTCAGAACAGAGCTGCCAGGATGTTAATGGAGACTGGTAGGTATTCACACGTAATGCCAGTCCTTTATCATTTACACTGGCTGCCAATTGAAGTCTGGGCCCAATTTAAGGTGCTGGTGATGATGTTTGTCCATCGTTTTCGATGAGGACCTTGACATCTAACAGGTTGTGAGTTGTCCACGGTGTGTCCGCAGGTGGCTGATAAGGCCGATACAGGCACGGAGTGTTCTGCCCCAAGTCAGGCAGAATTGTGTGGGCACCACTGTTGCAACATTTGCAACTCTGGCTTTACGGAGCACTCGCTTCTCTTGTGCTATGGTCGTCCTTCTGGCTTCAGAAGTTTGGCAGCCTTGGTGGATCAGCGTGCGCCATGTCGATCGGTCTTGTGCCAGGGTCTCCCAGGAGGTGGTGTTGATAACCAGGGACTTGAGAGAGGCTTTCAGCGTGTCTTTGTATCGCTTCTTTTGTCCCCCGTGCGATCGCTTTCCTTGAGACAGCTCACCATAGAAGAGCTTTTGGGGATGCGGTGGTCTGGCATCCTTGCAACATGGCCTGCCCAGCGTGTCTGGGCTTTCACCAGCAGGGTGTGATGAAAGAGTCCCAACTCTGACCTCAGAAGCTCACTCCAAGGTTGGACTCCTGGCCTGGAAGCCCTGCCTCCCCTTGCAGCCAGCATGGAAAAATCCACACCAGCAGCTCCCTTGAGGCCAAAGGTAGAGTTAGGGGATATTCCACGGGGTGGGGAAGGAAGGAGACAGGGATCACCACAAAACCAGGTACCCTGGCAGTGCTTCAGCCTCCTGTCCTCGCACGCCAAGGGCAAAATTGGCCATCTAATGTGTTTTTCAGTGCTGGAGCTCCAGTTTGCATAGGATGCCAGGCACTGGACTGTATGGAGCATGTATTATATAAGTCCAACCTCCCGACACCCACAATCACTCGTTCTTCCCATTCCCCACAAAATTCAAGAACACGTAAACAAAGCTATGCAAATGACAATGATGGACATGTTGTCAGCAAAATATTAATGAGGCTGAATGATTCACTGCAACAAGCGATGATCCTGGCAGCCTAAAAAATGAGGTTCATACCTGGACAATGGAAACACATATTAGAGGAAGGAAAGCATAATTGTTAATTCACTCTTGCAGGGGGATGAGCACTTGTGTTATATCCCAGGAGCACCAAGATAAATTTTAGAATGAAGGAAGGAAAAAGTATGAGTTAAAGCAAAAGATCCAAGTTGTAAACTTCCTGTACATATTTAACATTTAGTAATAGGGCCTTGCCATTCTCAGCCTCAGTAGGGATCTTGATATTCCTTGCTGTTTTAGCTAGTTTAAATTCATTTTAATGCTGCTTTGATTTTAAGATATTTGTACTGTATTTTGCCATTTTGGCTTTATGCATCGTTAAAGGGCTTTGGCTATGGGACAGTATAGAAAGGAAACTGAGGATGAGGATGAGGATGACAACGATAATGCACCGATGCAGGAAGTCTTCCTCAGTTGATGCCCAAGGATAAATGAGTTTTGTTTCAGAAAGAAGGGGGAGTTCTTTTCTCCTGTACAGCAGAAGATTTCCACAATTAGGACTTAAGCCCTTGCAGATGTAGAACACACAAAATTGCCCCGTCCATTGAACTCCCCCATGCAAGAACTCTGGTTGGGAAACCCAGGAAAATTGCTACAACTGCAAGCTTGATGCCCCTGATTATTTATTTATTAGATTTATATCCCGCCTCTTTTCTTACAAAGAACTCAAGGCGGCTTACATCGCTCCCCTCCTCCCGCTCTCCATCTTATCCTCACAACAACAACAACCCTGTGAGGTGGGTGAGGCTGAGAGTCCGTGGCTGGCCCAGATCGCCTGAGTTCAGTCCCACCTTCTACCACGCTGCCATTCTGGCTTTCAGCAGCAGCACTTGGACATGTGGGGCCGCTTCTGCCACAACAGGCTTCATGGGAAAGCTGCTGCAGTCTGTGCCCTTTCCTGGGGGCTCAGGGGACTGAGCTTATGTGGGAGAGGCCCATGGTGTGGTTGTTCCTCCTGGAAACTAGGGCTGTGCTAGCAAGGGAAGGAGCCGAAATCCCCTGCCAAACTGGCTCTTCTGGAGAAATGCTTCGTTATGATTTTATTTATTTATTTAGAATTTTTGTATGCTGTCCCATCGTTTAAAGGCTCAGGACGGCTTACATAAAATAAACAAACATAATACATGATACATAAAACAGAAATTAAAAACCCCGATTAATCCTGGCTGCAAATTAAGACCTATAGATAATATTAAATGTTGTTAAAGTATTATTTGAATGAAAAGGTCTTTGCCTGGCACCGAAAAACAAATAACGACGGCGCCAGGTGGACCTCTCTGGGGAGCGCATTCCATAGGTTGGGCGCCACCGCAGAGAAAGCCCTCCTCTGGGTGCCCACCCTCCTAACGTCCTTCATGGAGGGCTCCCGGAGAAGGGCCTCTGCCGCCGATCTCAAGGGGCGGGAGGGCAAATATGGAAGCTACTTTCTGGGCCAAAAATCCATGGGATTTACTAAATTGTTCAGGAAAACTGATCAGGTCTCTGTAGGAGATGGTGTTACTGAAGAGATAGATAATTTCCTAGGGAAATTCTCACCTCTGATCATTTAAATCTAGCTTAGAATCATTAAGCACAGCAATAAGCTTTTGGTGTGTTCAAAGGTTATATATACCCAATGCACAAAATGGACAGAATTTAGAATCTGGCTCCCAAGTACTATGGAATCTGTGCTAACATCTTGTTGATGGCCTTATTTCTCCCTTGCCTGTCTTTATAACACCAGTGGCCAATTCAAGCATGCAGGAATTAAGTAGTAAGGAAATTATGGAAAGAATTAGAAATTTGCTTATTATGTGAAGGTACTAAAACCAACAGGGTTGAATTTAGCAATACCTGTAGCATCCTCCTGAAAACACCTCTCTGTCAGGCAGTCTGAAATTATCAGCAAAACACAAGCACAGTTATTTGTGCCAGTAATAAAACAGAGTTTGGAAACATCAAGACTTTGATGTATAATTGTATAGTCTCCTTATATGATCTCTTTCCATCTCTTGTAGTACTCCTCAAAGTCCTGGTTTTCATATGCAAAATAATAATTATAATCATTATATGTGAGAGAAGCCCACGATGAGTTTCTAGCCCTCATGATCACAGAAATAAATCTGTATAATAACTATATTATACCTGGTCAAAAGAAACGCATATAGGAGGGAGGAAAGCGTAACTGTTAATTCACTATTAACAAACTATTTATTACTTAATCGTGCAAGCAATCAACTGTTTGGAAAGAAGAAAAATAAACAGGTCCACTGTTGGCTGTTTTTGAATGCATGTGATCTCTATATCCTTCTGTCAATGTTTTTCTCTGGGACTAGCTCACATTTTACTAAGATGGGCAGATGCAAGAGAGGACATGGATCCTGCACCTTTAACAGGTGTGGAATTTCAGCAACACCTGCTGAAATTTCTTCTTCCTCTATGCAACAATTAAATGTGCAGGAATCCTGGCTTCCCTGGCATCTGCCACTCTGTGATACAAACACACATACACAAACACACCTTAACTCTACATAGGCACTACGGTAATGAAATGATATGCAAACTAAGAAACTTGTTTGTAACAACAAAAGGTAGATTATCTGTGCCCACATCTGGCACATTTCTCAAGGTTCCCGAAGTTTGAGTTTGCCTCAGGTTGCAAATATCAGGCTATCTTTGCCTAGAAGCCATCAACCACTTTGCATGGCTACTGATTTCTTATTGCTATAGATGAGTTCTATTTTGGAAATTTTGTCCACAGTTACTGGAAATACTTGAGCCAAATTTGCCCTTCCCACACAAGCAGGTCCTTTATTTCTGTGATCTTTTCCTTCTGGCCTGCCCTCCGCCTCTTACACCCAGTTGTGACTGCGGTACAGTGTGTCCAACTTCTCCCTTTGATGTGAAAATTGTGCTGCAGCTTTTGTAAAAGTGGGGCATTACTTTCCAGGCTGCTAGCATGCAGACTCCTCTTTTCAAGAATGGTGCATCCAAATAAATATTAATGAGAGCTACCTTCAGTTTCATGACGCTGTGTGTGTGTTGCTGGATTCCCATGAGTGTGCTTGACCCTAAGAACAGCCTTCAATCTGCATGTTGTTTTGCTCTGCTGGCTTCGCTGCCTATGATTTTTCAGCTTACAAGGCAACAGCCTTATAACTAGTGGATCTGAAATAAAAAACCCACATCCCATTTTTCTGAACAAGCCAACAAATGACATGAAAACATACCGGCTCCAATGAACTTTGCCTTCTAAGGTCTGCATCTCACCAAGGATAGCAAGAAGAAGTGATGATTTCCCACAGCCTACCTGACCGACGATCATCGTCATTTGGCCTACGTTGAAACAGCAAGAAACTAAAGTCAGAACAGGTCTGAACAAATGAAAATAAAAGGAGAATAGAAATCGGTGCTTACTTCAAGGTGAGTCAGGGGAGACTTGACAGAGGTGTTTAAAATTAAGCATGGTGTAGAGAAAGTTGAGAAGGAGAGATTTTACTGCCTCTCCCATAACACTCGAACCCAGGGTCTTCCCATCAAGCGGACTGGTGGGAGGTTTACGACAGATCAAAGGAAGCACAAAAACAGGGCGAGTCAGAAGGGGCCTCCCAGGCCATCTAGTCTGACTCCTGGCTCCAGCCAGCTCTGCTCATGACAAGCCTACTATGAAGGAAGTCCTTCTTCACACAGCACAGAGTTAAACTATGGAATTTCCTGCCACAGGAAGTGGTGATTGCTGCCAATCTAGATGGCTTTAGAATGGGAGTGGGCAGATTTACGTGGCTACTAGCCTTGCTGGCCAGGTGCTGCCTCCTTCGCCAGGGGTGGCCTGCCTGCACACACCTGTTGCTGAGGATCAGGGGCAGGAGGGGGTCTTGCCCCCATCCTGCTGGAGGGATCCAGGGGGCAGCTGGTGTGGCACCGTGTGCCTGGAATGCTGGACTGGATGGCCCTTGGGTCTGATCCAGCAGGACATATCTTACGTTCTTGATAGATAGTATAAGAATGATGACTTCTTGCATATGGGAATAAGATTGCCTGATATAATACTTATTTTATTATACCGCATTTGTAGCCTGACTTTTTCCTCTTGTGAGAAACCCAAGTCAAGTTGCATAACTTCACTTGTTTTTATTTTATTTCTGTCATGTTTTATTATTGTAATAGGCACTTTGAGGCTTATATGTTATGTTTATCATGTACATTCACTGAAAGGAAAACATACATATAGACAAATAGCATGATTTATTTTGGAGAAAGAAAGGTCCCACAGTGTTGAACCAGTTTTTCCCCCATTAATTTCAGTGTGAAATCTAATTTCATTGTATTTATACTCTAATCCAATCTAGGCCTACTGTGAAATAAGTCACATTGAATTCAACAGAATTTAAAGAAGTTTAGCATATACTAAATTCTTTTGCTGTTGGTGGGATTTTAAAAACTACAGTATTTTCTAGAATCAATCTCTATAAAATTGATCCTTTTTCTGCTGAAAACCATTCACAGATTACAGAATACATGCCAAAAGAACTGGTGCTGAATACAGCAGATCATTAATCCTACCTGTTGGAATTCGGATATTAATGTTGGATAAGGTAGCTACATCACTTCCCCATGAGAAGTAGCCATTGATTACCTGCAAAATACAACACAACACCTTAGAACTGTGGACAAACACAGGGACCATTTGAACTGAAGTTAGTCCAGACACTCACACATGCGTATCTCTCACAAACTAACTTGAGACTCCATTTTAGAAGAATAAACTATGAATGTGAGATGCCGCAGGAGTTACAAAGAAATGGCAAAGCGGGGGAACTCGTGGGTATTTCACTTTAAATCTTGTTTTCTAAACTTTTCAATATCAAGCATTTTATAAAGTACAGAATGAATGAGGATGCAAAACACCAATATCCCAAGCCGTAACTGGTGAACAATATTTGAGAGTGTGAAAACACAAGAAGAGTGATGCTCAATCAGATCAAAGCTCTAATGCAGCATTCCATTCACCCTGTGCCCAGCAAGCTGTCTGTGGACAGTCCTTGTCCTCATCCCCTTTTTCCCAGCTCCTGGGGAAATCCGAAGGCATTCATGCCACTTGGGTGCTGAAGGAGAGCCTCAAATCTAACAATCCCCAAGCGAAGAAACTCCATCCCATCACAAACAGGACAAACTCACCACCCATTCATTTACTGATTAGGGAAGGCATTGAATGGGCATAAACCTAATTGGCTGCCCTAATTAAAATACAAAGTACCTTGATAGCACAGCTATCTATGTCTGTATGATGCATTGATATTCTTAGTGGCTGCTCACAGCTGTCCAGCTGATGTCTCAAGGGCTGCTTCCGATTTATAACTTTGGGGTGCTGTGTAGATTAATAGCAAGGGAGACATAAAGGAGAAGTTTTATTTCCTGCACAGTTACAGAATAAATACAAGGCAAGTAAATAAAAACATGTACACATTTTTCCTGGGAATGGCTGCAGGTTTTCATCCATCCAATTTGCACCTAAGTAGAGACACTTAAGTAATCCAGATTAATTAATTAACTGTGCACTGGACCTGTGAAAATAAATCCAGTTTCCCTCAATTCACTATGCATCAATCCTTATCAAGGAACTTCGGGATGAATGAAAAAATCTGGTGCAAATGGTTGCATAAATGCTACTTCTATTTATTATTCATTTGTGACGAGGGCTGCAACAATTTCAGTGCAATCTACATATGTCTCTTCAGCAGTAATTTAGTGGGCCTTATTCCCAGGTAAGTGCATTGAACATTGCAGTAGTCAGTGGACCAATTTGGCTGATTCATTTAAAACATTGTGATCATCTAAAACAGAGGCGTTGAACCTTTTTCAGCCTGAAGGCCCAGTCCTGTTTTGGAAGAGCCCTTGGGCCACCCTTCAGTGGTTGGTGGGCTGCAGGCCAAGGGGCCCCGTAAAGTACAAAACCTTACAGGTATTTCAGCCCTTCAAATGGGAAAATTACTGCACAATAGACTATGGAATGCACTCTCCTGAGAGGTCCGCCTGGCACCGTCATTATATGTTCTTCGGTGCCAGGTTAAGATCTTTTTATTTATTCAATATTTTATTAAGTTTTAATGTCAAATTTTATTACTGTATTTTGTTAATTGCAGCCAGAGTGGGTCGTCAATTTATTTATGCTGTTAGCCATCCAGAGATGTTAGTAATTGGACGGCATACAAATTTTATAAATAAATAAGTGGATAAATATGGTTGGGCAAGGAGGTAAGGCTATAGGAAATGGAGCACAGTCATCTGGGCAAATCAAGAGGGCTAAAGTGAGACGCCACCCTTAAGGTTCTGCATTCCTGACATGCTCCTGAGCACTTTTTCCTATTTTTTAAATATACGTATTGATAAAAAGTACAATGGCAAGCACCTTCTTGGGAAAGGCATTGCCTCGTGTGTGAGAGAAGATGAAGAGCTTCTTCTAGAACAAGCATCGTCACCCTCCCATCTTCCCTCTTTTCATTGGATGGCTTTTTCAGCCCATCAGTGAGAATGCTTTAGAGGCCGAAGGAAGCAGGTTGGAAGAGGTTCAGGATAACTTGCATCTCCAGTCTCCCACCCGCCCATCAAATACCCCCTTTGACAAAGGGGGATACCCCAAGAGCAGGTACACTGCCTGGCTGCAGCTGTTCCCTGTTCCCAAGCCCAGGTCAGCTCTAGTTAGTGAGCCTGGAGTCTCCATAGTGGAGAATCACCTCCATTTTCACCTTGGGCTCTCGCCATGACTCCTCATGAACTGCGAGCCGTGGCCTGTTTCTTAATCTGGGATTGTGGACCTGACCTTTGAGTGATTGGAACACCTAACATAGTTCAGGGAGTTAAGCCTCTAACTCTATGTCTTTGTTTCTGGAATGCTTCTTAATTTCAGACTTGGGCTATTAGCTTTCAAGCTACCTGGTTCGTATCTTCTCAGGTTACGTGTCATGAATTCTGAACTGGAATCTGTGTGACCTATTTTACCTTTGAATAAAGCTAAATCACAGAATCTATGTTTCTATCAATCTACACCTTTCTGTCCTATAGTGAGAAACCCCTAATACCTTTCCTTCTCCTCTGAGGTTGCTTTTCCAACCTATGAGAAGCAACCGACGTGGTTCTGGGTGTAGATGCCTGGTTACCCTTTCTGAGTTCAGAGCACTGTCTCTGACTTCAGAGGGGAGGACAAGCCAACCTGTGGTCCTTCGGATGCTTTCCCAGGGACCATAGCAGTGCTCTCTGATAGACCACACTGCAGTTATCTATCCCTGTGTGCCTGGAAAATACTGGATGATATGACAGGAGAGAAGGCCCCTTACAACTCCAGAGTGCTTCTTGCAAGGTTCGTATGCTAAGGCACTGTCCCCGTTCCTCCAGCTGTCGTCCCCAATTTCATCACTTACGAGAAATTCATTCAGTTTTTGCACACTAGAAACGGAGACAGAGACAGGTGGTTACCACTCAGGAAAATATATATTAAAACCCCTTCATGACATCCGCCTCGTTTCACAATCCTGGTCCTCTGCTTGCTTCTTGGCACTCGCTTCTCTAGGGTAGCACAGGGAACTGTGGCCTGCCATGTGATGTTGAACTCCATCTCCATCATCCTTGATCAGTGGCCATGCTGGCTGGGGCTGATGGGTGCTGCAGTCCAACCACATCTGGAGGGGCACCACAGTTCCCTAGATAATTCATCAACTGTAGACGTATCCCTGGATTGTACCATCTCCAACCAAGACTGGCAATGTGGAAAAGACATAATCCTTTGCTCTCCAGTAGGAAAAGAAAATCTCCACACTTAGAAGGAAACGGGTTCTGGCCATGTCTTCTCCTAACATTCTTGCGTTCTGTCTGTAGGATTCCCCTCGGCCCACTTCATGGGAAAACATTCAAATGCAAACCCTCCTCTTCCTCACCTGCAGTCTGAAGTGGTACAATCTAGGAATAGTTGTATCTAGCGACTGGTCAACTCACCTCACCTTGATTAGAAAAGGGTCACCAGTTATGACTACCTTGGAGAAAAACTGGCAAGAAAACTTAAAAAGAGAGCTCTAAACAGACCCACAAGGTTGGTTGCACTCTGTTAAATCTGCATCATGCAGACCACACTAGAATAAATTGGTTTAAAATTCCATGTTTGGGTTTAGGGGGTTTTTTAGTCCAAGATTTGGACACAAATCCTAGCTCATGGGTCTTCAGACAAAGATTTTATTTTTTTTTTATTTAACTTCTGTGCCATTCAATGTCCAAAGCTGTCTCGGTGGTTTACAACAATCCATTAAAATACATAAAATATTGTATAAAGGTTGCTATACAAAATTTAAAACCAAATTTAAAACACACATAGATACTCCAATAACTTTATTATTTATTCATTTATTTATTTAACACCTCTAGATGTGTTCTGACTCTAAGATATGGGTCAGCCCAAGCTCTCTCTCTCCAATAGAGAAAGTCTCATCATTAATGTGGAGCGCAAAGTTCTCCAGACAGAACTTTGGGAAGGTGGAATGAACCCTCCCAGTTTACGATTAATGTTTTGTGAGGGAGAAGATATTAAAGGGTTTGTGGGATAGGTGGGCTTTCCCATGGTGCAACAGAAGCTTCCCTGTTTCTCTTTTAAATCATTTTTCAAATAAAAATAACTGGGCTTACTCTTGACCGCTGCAATTTTCTCCCAGAATGCCTCAGACCGCATGTTGTTCTAGAACATTCTGGAGGCGGGAAGAGAATGGCAGCCAACATTAAACAAGAGCCACTTCTCAGATCAAAGAGAACCAAGGGAAAATGAACAGAATCTGTAGTCTCTGCACTGAGGTGGCCAACTTCTAAGAAACTACACTAATTAAGCAGCCTATACGATGTATAAAGATTTTTATTTCAAGCTTTGCTGGAATACTCCCTAGCTGGGGAAGCATGTTTGTTCTGCAATACTTTGACTGTGTACATGGTGGGTTTATATGTCCATTGGTACCAAATCACGTACCTAATGATGGCCTTCACAGCAAATCTGACAACTGTGGAGAGCAGGAACAGTGGCGTAACCAGGATGTGAAACAGTGAGAGAGAAGCAAAGGCCTGTGCTGTTGTTAGTTTTTCTTCTTCGGCATACGTGTAGGTCACAAAAGTCTGGCATTTTGGAGAAAGAGTAAGTTAGAAGGAAAGGCATGTGCTACTTTGGACAGGACAAGGAAAACAGTGCATGGGATGCCAACTCCATCTCAAATAGGTGAACAAGACAAACAACTATTTCTCAGTTTCGTTTTTAGTCTTTCTGGCTAACTGAAAGACTGTACTCACCTGTCTAAGCCTAGCAGGATCTAAGACCTTCTGGGGAAGTCCTTCTTTTGATCCCCCCACCCTCACAGGCACAGCTGGTGGGAATGTGGGAATGGGCCTGCGTGGGGGCTGCCCCAACGCCCTGCACCACCCTATATAGAAATGGCATCTTCGCTGACAGGGTTCCATAAACAGGCTAAAACATTTTTATTCCAGCAGGCATTTGCACTGGGTTAATCTGGCCTTTTATGTTTTTCTACTGTTTTTAAGCTATGTGGTGATTTAATTTCAATATGTAGTTGATTTAATTGTATTTTTTGCTTTTGTACACTTTGAATGCTTTAATTGTGTGATTTCAGTGCTGTGAGCCACTAGAGCCATGATCTCTGAGAATAGGTGGGATTAATAAGCATAATCATTATCCTAATTTTTAGAGAAGCGCAAAAGTTGTCTCCAAATTCTGGTGAAGGTTTCAGCTTTTCAATATGCTAGCCTTTTATATAGTTATGCAAACGCCATAGACTATCTCACCTTACCCCCCTAACTTTAGGATGTTCATCAGAATAGACATTGGTTTTCTTCAGCATCAGGAGAGCTTGCAAAAGGACTTTGCAGAACTAGTTATTAATTCTGTTTCTCTCTGGATAAAAAGTAAAACAGAATTGGACAGAATGGATCATCACTTACACCAATGGAATTTCAAGTTCCATGCTGGACATTGAATCTATCAGATGGTTGTGCACTGTTTAACAATGTGATGGAGACTCGGGACAATGGAAGACGTGGCCCTTCCAAGGTCTCCTGCTGGCTAATAGCAAGAGGGTTTGGGGGGGGGGGGGGCGGATGCAGGGGTCAATTGCAGCAGCAGTTCCAGCTGAAAGCATTGCAGCCTTCAAAGCTCTCCAACATTCTCCCCAAGAAGCCCTAATTTTCTCAGCGACATCTCCAGCCCCCCAAAAGAATTTCTTACCGCAAGAACAGCTGCGATTGGAATGGCTGCATTCATGAAAACTGCAGAAATAAAGCACAAGCGTAAATACATTTCACACAGCAACTTTTATAAGCAGCACTGGGCAGCTTCATGAACTTTTGCCTTTGCATTATTTCCTGCCAAAATCAAAATATCAGACAACTCCTTAACAGGGGGGAAAAAGGCTTTTTATGTCAAACAAAAACATGGTAGGAAACATTATGGTTTGTGTATTTTATTAAGCTGGAGAACATATTCCCTGAAGAATTGTAGAGTTGTATATCACAGTTAAAATGCTGCTCTGGGGAAGGGGAATTATTTACAATTCTGGGGTTGCGTTAACCTCAGTCCTAGGGTGGTCCTTAAAAAAACACATCCACTCTAATTTATCAGACATCTATAGATGTGGTCTCTATAATTATTAATGTAAACTAAGTGATGTCATCATGCTTAATAAGGAAGTTAGGAAAATTATTGGGAGAGTGGGTGTCTTGCTTGTCCCAGAGTATGAGAAAGGCAAAAAGGGGTCAGGAGATCATTTTTATTGGATCTTTTTTTCCCTTTAGTCAAACTTGCAAGAGTTACAGTTACAGAGCCTTTTCCCATCCTAGCAGGAAGTTCCTGAAGATGAAGGAGAGAATATAGATATGCTGAAAACTCACATTTTGGGGGAATGTGACCTATTTCATTACTTGCGCTTTCTCTCGGCTCAAGTTGGGAACAGAGAAGGAACAGAATCCTGGGAAGGAGCAGGAGGTGAAAGACAATTGCCTCTTTAGGCTCTGGGGGTTTGCATCCTGATCTCTGTGGGCTTTAAAATGGAGGTCAGAAGTGGCACGGGACAATACTTTAAATATCTGCTTTTGGTTCTCTGGGGCGCAATGAAAAAGCCTTTAATTAGTGGAATTATTTTCCAACATTTGACAGAGGAGAATGAGGACAGCTCTTTAAAAGTGTCTACCTGTTTGCATGCAGGGAAAAAGTGGGGAGGGGGACAAAGGCACCCCCGGAGGCCCTGCCCCTAATTTTCCCATGCACCCAGCTGCCACACGGGGAGCATGAAGGTCTGAAAAGGGCTCTGTGGGGACACTGAGTGGGACGTGCTTGCCGAACTCCTGAAAGCGGAATCGGCAGTCCAGCAGGCGGTGTGACCACTTCTGCAAGCCTTTTTTCAGCTGGACACACTTCCAGGCCCTTTTTCGGAGCTTCACGCTCAGCAAAGCTGAGACTGGCAGCCAGAGCCTTGCGGACGGGGCTCCCCAGTGTCCCCACATCCTCCTCCCGTTTTGCTCCACACACCTGCAAGCAGATGTGTGCATGAGCATCTGGTGCTCATCACATCCAGACATTCTGCATCCAAACAATGGGTGGAGACAGGTGATATGGCAAAAGACCCTGGACCTATTGGTTGCTGTTCACTTACACACCTGCAGGGACAGCACGGGGCCCCGTCACCGCTCGTGCAACCAAATTAGGCTGCCAGGCCTGCGAGAAACCTGCTCGTGGTACTAGCCACAATAATCCCTGACACGCAACAAGGTTTTTGGGAGCAGCCCTTCCTTGCCTTCAATTTAAGGGTTCGGGATCTGAAATTATGTCAGTGCATTCAGGATTACTGGATTTTGTTTCTAAGAATACAGTTCAAGTGTCTGACCACAAGTGGAAGTCCACGGAGCATAACACTTGATGGTGGCATTGTCAGGCAGGTGAGCCCAGGCTGAAGGTCCAAAACCTTGGACAGCACCACTTGCTCCAATGATGCACGGTGCTGAGGCTGGTGACCTCCAGATGTTTTATAGGTCAGCTCCCATCAGCCCTGGGCAACATGGGAGTTGTAGCCCAAAATATCTGGAGGACAACGGTTGGGGAAGCTGCTGTAGAACCAGACTATCGCTTCCAGCCTCCACCTGCTTCCTGGCGGGCCTTAAAGGGGCCATCCCCTGGCCAGGGAACAAGCAAAGCACCACTTGGCTCCCTGTGTGCGGATGAGAGTCTGTATAGCATCAAAGGGAACTGGGCTGGGACTCCCTGCTCAGCCATGGAGCTCGCTGGGTGGCTGCAGACCAGTCAATGACTCTCAGCCTGACCTACCTGACAGCAGGGAGTGGGACCTGATGGCCTTCATGGCCCCTTCCAACTCTACTATTCTATGATACCTCCCAGGTTTGCTGTAAAGATGAAATGGAAAGGAGGAAGATAGTGCAAGCTGCCTCGGGTTCCTTTGAAGAAGAGAACAAAGTGGGCTATAAATGTCATAAAATAGAAGTTAACAGCAAGCCAAGGCCAAGATCATCCACACAAGGGTATCCCTGTTGTTGTTGTTAGTCGCGAAGTCGTGTCCGACCCATCACGGCCCCAGGGACAACATTCCTCCAGGCCTCCCTGTCCTCCACCATCCCCCGGAGTCCAGCTAAGCTCACAAGGGTATTCCTAGTCACCCTGTATGGGTGTGAAAGCTGGACAGAGAAGAAGGCTGACAGGAAGGAAAGTGTTGCATCTGGAACATGCTGCTGGAGGAGAGCTTTGTGAACACCCTGGACTGACAGAAAGTCGAACAAGGGGGTCCTAGATCAAAGCAAGCCGGAGCTTTCTCTAGAAGCAAAAATAACAAAGCTGAGGCTGTCATACTGTGGGCACCTCTCATAGGGAGGTCAGAAGACAATCCTGCGATGGAAAGTCAGAGACAGAAGAAGACCAACTATGAGCTGGATGGACTTCATCAAGGAGTTTACAGGAGTTGAGCAGGGCTGCCATGGACAAGACATTTTGGAGGGACCTCATTCATAGGGTCACCATAAGTAGGAGGTGACTAGATGACACATCACAAGAAGAAAAGGTGAGCAGGCACTGCAGGGAGGAAGGGCTCTGGCTTAAAGGAGATGTCTCTGCAGCGGAATCTGCCCCCAAGGTGCTGTCTCCTGGTGCTCCCAGGGTTGGCTCTGGTGCTGTGCGGCGACCTGGAATCGGCCCCTCTGCAGCTTTGCCACTCCCTTTCCCAGTCCAGCAAGCTCCACCACTCCGTTTAGGAGCCCTGGGTGGGGTCACACCACCAGGTAATGAATTCCTCATCTTTAAATCTTTGGTGTGATGATCAGTGATGCTGGTTGCCCCAACAGAAAGTTCTTCTCCATGAGCCTGATTGCACGTTTCTGTTTTGTAGCACATGTTCTTTCCATGATGTTTTAAAACTGATTTTAACACTTGAGTTTGTGTCTTTGGATAACAATAGAAAGGCAAGCAATCATTTAATTAATAAATAAAGCAAGGCCTGTCCATCTGCCTGCCACAAGCAGAACACAATTTACTTACTGGAGAGAGATGTGTAGAGAGCAAAGGTTTTGAGGCTTGTAAGCTCCTTCATCCTTGTGTCCTCCACGCTTCTACAGAATATGTTTTCCCAAGCATACAGTTTTAACAATTTTATGCCTTTCAGTATTTCATTGGTTTTCTTCAGCCTCTCTGTAGAATAGTCCTTTTTCCATTAAAAGAAAATGAGAGCAGAAAACAAAAACAGCATAAAATCACACTTGACAAAATTAAGCAAAGGAAGAGGGGAGGGGAATTTGGATGGAAATTCCAGTTGGGGTGCCAAAGGTACCATAGTTTGGCATTCCCAACATCACAGCAAGTTATGCTTGGTGCCAACAAAACCACAAACTGAAAGTGAAGTCAGAGGAGAGTCGAGAAGGGTGCCTAGCCCTTCTTCCTCATCCTCCAATCCACAGACTGCAGAATGATCTGAACTGAGCCAATATCATCAGTCAGTATTTTTGTAAGCATCCTTGCCAAGGAATTAAGTTCTATTTCAATCAATGGGATGCAAAAATAATATTTATGTTTTTCCTTCTCTAGCCTGCATGCAGGGACTGAGCCCAAACAGAGAGCTGAAGCGGCATGGGCAGAATCGACCCATAGCCAGGAAAAGGGATGACTTACAAGGGTGCTCTTCTGAGCTTCCGCCAGCTCTGTCGCGATGAAGTATTGTATCGGAGCCAGCAGGACGATGACGGCAGCACCAACCAAGGCGCTGAATCCAAGTAAGTAGTAAAGCAGAATCACACCCATGATGATCTACAGAAGAGGCGAGACAGGAAGAGACTCAGGCACCGTCTTGGTTCCAGGCTCCAGTGCAGGGGAACTAAGGGCCACTTCATCAACTGGGCTTTGCACTGGTGTGAGGCCACCCAAATCAAACAGTGTGTGCACAACTTCAGCTGGGAGGGGTAGGGCAAAGAAAGCCGTGGTGGTGCTTTGGGCCATCTGGTTGGTCGCATAATTCACGGGGGGGGGGGCTGCTTTGTGTTCCCTTGTTTGGAGGGATCGAGATGGCAACTGTGGAGGTTCATGATGGCCCTCCACATGCAGAATGCCCTGCCCGCAGAAGCCTGCTCAGCCACACCATTGTAGCTTTTAGAGGATTAAAATGCTTTCGTGTAGGAACAGGGACCTGGTGGTGGTTCTCCGGCAGTCTCCTGCCCTCTCGGGTCCCACTTGCCAGAGGGAAGGCTATGCTCTTGCAGGGTTCTGAGTACCCCGTGCCAGGCCAACTGCTCTGAGAATGTTGGGCGATTCCAACTAAATGCCAGAAGGCTGAGGCCCTACCCTGTAAGAACGAAGCATTCTGGTTGCAAGGCAGCCATCTTGAGGAAGGTCAGGCCAGGTGACAAGGCTACCGCAACACCACAATCAATCTCCAGAGGCTGCCGCTGCCTGCCATCTCCAAGGGAAGCTCAGATGGTGGCAACACGGAGAAGGGCCTTTTCTGTGGTGGTCTCTGCCCCCAGCTACAGAATGAGCTCCACACTGAGGCCCACCTGGCACCAACCGTATTATCTTCTCAGCCCCAGGGCAAGACATTTCCCTACCACAGGGCAGTTAATTAATTGGATGTTTTGTTAATGGTTTGATCAGGTTCATTTGGGTTTTATCTTGCTTACGTTATTGGAATTTTATGTTTTTTATGTGGTTTTAATTTTTTGTATGCCATTTGTGAGTGTTTTTAGACTGTAATGCATTTTAGATTGTGTTTTCATGGGTTGTTGCAAACCACTCAGAGCACTTCAACTGTTGGGCAGTTCAGAAGTTAAATAAAACTAAAAATATAAACCCAAGAAAGCCCATTTTGACATATAAGTGCCCACTGCCATCATGGCTAATTGTACTAAGAATGCAACACCAATCAGATTTGGTGCCTGAGTTTTCTTAATTTAGCTTTCCCTCACCATTCTAAAACAAAACACAACACAACAAAACTGGCTGCATGTTCTTTTGGGTTGCAAGTCGAAGACCAAGGGTGGGAACTTAATAATGCCCTCCCACGAAAAAAAGGGGGGGGATGGAAATGCATCACCAAAGAAAAGAAGGCGCAGAGTTGCATGAGAGCCACATATGCTGTGTAAATGTATAGCTGTACATTCATAATTACTATAATTTGAATAGAAACACAATAATGTAAATAGAAATGCAACACATCGCACCCTTGTGGGGGAAAAGGTGGCCAGGTGACCTGAGGATCTGCTGCTCTGCTGTCCAGGTGCCTCTTGCTGATGGAGAACTTCAAACTTCTCTCTACTCTCCATTCTTAATGACACTTTCTCTAGGTTTAGAGGACTTCCCTGTGTCAAGTAGGACACGTGGCCCCTTGTAGGAATTCTCTCATTTTTACTGAGTTGTAAGCCTCTCTGGTAGCCTTTCCAGCTGAAGCATGTGGAAGAAATGTTTTAAATCAGTCTTCTCCAACATAATGTCCTTCAGAGGCATTTGGACCACAACTCCCAGAATTCCCATTCACCAGGGCCGTTCACTGGGAATTCTGGGAGTTGTAGTCCAAATATGTCTGGAAGGGACAAGGTTGGGGAAGACTGTTTTAAATGAATAAAATATATAAATAAATAAAAAGGCAGGGAAATGTCATAATGAATTTCCAAAACTCAACTTTCTAAAAAGCCTGAAATAAAAAGGCGCCCAATTCCTTACTGATGCCACTCAGGCACTCTCCACTGTATCTTTCCTTTGTCTGATAAGCTTGCGTCAGAGTTACAATACTTTGTACTGTAGGGGCCCACTCATGACCCTGCTCCCTATGCTTAAAAATAATAATTGTGGGGATCTGGCCCTTTCTGCCTTCAAAAGAGCCTTCAAAAGTTGTGGATACAGATTCTGGCTCAGATGAAGAGAAGAGAGCACAGTTTTCAGCTGAAATGCCAAGGCCAAGCAACTTAGAGACAAGCCGGGCCTTTCCTGTGATTCCAACAGTTTCAAGTTCTGCGGGAAAGTTTAGTGAGCAGGGGGGAACAGGGACAAGCATCAGACACTCCCTGCTATTGGTGCTGAAACAGGAGGGCCCCCTCCCTCCCCAAGGGTCGGTTTGCTCTTTTTAGTTTGAAACTGAGGAGGGGGAGTCAGCTTAGAATCAACTTCTTATCACTGAGCTGCATTTCCCTAAGGGTCAGTATTGCAAAGTTGCTTGTTTCCTTTGTTGTTCTGCCATTGTCCTTTGTACTACAAAGCCAGCCTAGTTGGTCAACTTTAACATATTAAAGCCTTTTAGTTAGCAAGTCTTTGGCCCAGTGTGGAAGGAAGGGGAGAAAAACAGCCCCACGAACTTATAGATCTGTAGGCATCATTGTTCCTATATGGAGAGGGTTGTTAAACAGATTAATATCCACTCACGGGAGACTGTACCAGCAGCCTGAAGTGACACAGTCTGGATACCAGTTCCTGTAAGCTCTGATCCTGGTTTTGACCCATGGGAGATTGCTCAAAAGCAGCCCATAAAGCCTCCTCTCTTATAGCGCAAGTTTGGGGTAGTCATCACCCTTCCTATATCAACTCTGGGGAACAACAGCCTGCCTCCCTTCCCCAAATGTTGTATCTCCTTGAACAGCATGGCAAGACCCTATCAAATGTAGGCAACGATATATTTGAGCATCACCCGCACAGAGAAATCTGGGGCCCCTGCACAACAGAATGAGGAAGACCCCAAATTCAGCAGTCGCATTTTGAAGTGTGTTAAATAATAAAATTGCCACCCAAAGAATCCCCCTCCCTGCTCCACAATGCCACTCTGGTATTGAGTCCAGAGTCTAAAATTGCAGTATAGCATCAGGCAAGGGAAGGGAAGGGAAGGGAAGGGAAGGGAAGGGAAGGGAAGGGAAACCGTTCATGCAGTGTGTGGAAAGTGCCCATCACTCTTTGGGACTTCTGGTCAGGATGTGCACTGGAATCTAAGAAGGCTACACATTAAGCTGTCCCTGGGGACAGCACCCTTTTGATTATAAAAATATTTTTTATTTTAAAATAACGTTATGGTTGATACCATTATAATTATTAATAACCCCATGCTGAATTTCACATGCTTCAAGCATAACATGCATAAGCAGCTGCACCATCTTGTGCATCAAAGGTTCTTCTTCATCATACCCCATCATGTTTGTATCATGGCATCCCAAACTGGTGGTGGGAAACAGTCAGAGCGTCATTAGCTGAAGGAACACCTTCTCCCATACTTTGGTGCCCGATTGCCAGATTCATTTTCAGAGGTTCTTCCCTGGGAGCCCCCACCTGCCACAGGTGCCTACCAGGAAAGCACTTCTTTGCATTGGTCCCTTGCTCTTCAAGGAGTCCTTTCATCTTTAGTCTGTCGCTCTGGCATTTCATGCCACTGTTGGCTCTAGTTCTTTGCTATTTTGCTATTGTAGGTTTTGTTTTCTTATTTTCTGCAGGGAGGGAGTGGATTGCAAGCCACTGGGCATTTGCCACTTGGACTAATCTAATGCACAAGACAATCAGTTAGATTGTAGGACATTGTATGTACACAATGGTGATTGGAAACACCTTCAGAATACTGCCAACCAAGATGGTGCTTGTCATAATGTACAATTTTGTTCGGTACTCTCTGAGATCATTTAACCAGAGGTTCCAAGCGCCAAAGCTCAGTCTGAAGCTCTTGCGCAGCATCTTGGTGCTCTCTTCTATGGCCCCATAGAATGTTGAGATTCAGCAGTCTATGCATTTTGCAATTAGATTCGATTCGATTTGATTCAATCTACTGTGTCTTCCAAAAATTAGGCCCTTACTTCAATGCTGTACCTGAACAGGCATAGCCCATAGGTTGGGACACAGGAACAAGAACCACATGAGTTGATTTGTTTCGATTGCAACCAAGTTATTGATCTGCCCCAGGGTCATCTCTCCCATGGACAAGTTGGAGGTGGAAAGTCTCAGGATCTTGTTATAAATCATTGCCTGGGAAAAGAAGCAAGCCAAAAGTCAATGGGGTGGCAGGCATCCCACCAACAGAGAGACCCTAAGGAGGAACACATTTCAGGATGCCCCACAGTCTCATAGCTGTTCCAGAAGGCTTGTAGTAAATTAAGCCCTTTGTGATCATTTCAGTCCCAAGGAAGAAATGCATTCCGTATGTATGAATCCTGTCCTTCGGCACATTTTATCACACTGTCATTCTAAGCAGGGGAACCGCTATAGCTCTCTGCAGACTGAATGCACTGTCTGTCCCCTTTGTGCCTCTGCAGTTAGACGGGCCATACAATGTCATCACTGAGGTGGTTTCGTGTCTGGCTTAGTGGAGTCCCCACCAGCGATGGCAAAGCATTTGTTCATTTATTTATTTGGGATATTTGTAGGCCGTCCAATCACACTGAGTCTCTGGAGGGCTCACAAAGCATCATCCCCAGCAGCGTGGAAATGGCCCGGGAATGTGGCGTGGTGACTTGTGGGGAGTAGCTGCCACCTGAAGCGGTGCTAAGCCCTTCTTTCAATTTGGGGAGGGAGGGGAGGATATGTAGCCCTTTTGCCATCTTGTCACCTGCTGGAAGTCACCCAGAGCCTTCCCTCCTTTATGAAAGCTCCTATGCATTCAACATTCATCATCACCATCCATTCTAGGAATGCTCCACCAACGCTGCTGGAAGATAACTTATTTTTCCCCTCTTCTCAGCCCTCTTTTCTGCATCTTTTCGGATTGTAATCCTGTGGACTGATAGTATGTAAGGGGCTTTTCTGGCGGAGGATTGAGATAAAAAATTGCACCCAGCTCTAGTTTCAAGACTTGATGGATGTCCAACATTCATGTGTGAAAGATGCATACAATTGCCCCCGGTGCCCTGATCTTGGGTCTTTAAACATTACAACATCTGTGTAGGAACCAGTGACATATTGAAATGGGTATGGAATGGGCTTCCACGGGAGGTGGTTGAGGCCCCATCGGTGAGGGTGTTCAAGGACAGGTTAGACATGCCCATGGTAGGCATGTCATGAGTGGAGCCGGCTGGAGCCGGGGGTCAGACTAGATGGCCCGGGAGACCCCTTCTGACTCGCTCTGTTTCTATGTAATGCATGAGAGGAACTGGAGAGGAACTGCCTCATGCAGGCCAGGTAGTGAAAGCAGCTACTTTAGTCCTGCACATAAGGCGTTTATCAGATCTCTCTGTCTTTTATTCTTTTCCAGCTTCGCTTGTTGTTTTCTATAAAAAGCCATTTAAGCAAACCAATGAATAGCTTAGAGTCGTTATCAGGACTTTTCACAGTGCGCAAGCAAGCCACGCTAGCCAATGAAGCAATGTCTTTACTCACCAGTAAAGCCCCACGGAGGTTGATGCCGGTTTCTATGGCAACATAGTAAGAGGCCTGCAGGAATGTCCTTTGCAAAATGAGGGCCAGGAAAAGGAGCACTGCCAGTACATAATTGGTTTTGAGGAAGTCACTGGAGGTCAGGAATGGTTCTATAGTATGCTGGGGAATGAAAGGGAGAGAGAATCCCAGCTCTTGGAAAACTCACGCAGCAGCAAAGAAATAACAATGATGGTGGTCATCCAATTAAAGAACACTGATCCCATTTTCACAGCAAGCCGAAATTCAGAGGCTGTGTCTAGAAGTCCTGCATTCACGGTCTGAATAGCTCTCCTCATAGCTGAAGAGTGATGCTTGGATCTCCCAGAACTGACTTAGTAGGAACCATGATGGCATTTTTCTCTGAGGTTGCAAGACCAACCTCAGAGAAAGGGCTTAGGGGTGTTTTGTGGGGTGGGGAAGGGATGCACACAGATCAACAAGTAACAGCCTCCCACCTTAGGATAAGGTGGGCAGAGCAAATGTACAGCCCCTAGGAAGCCTCTAGACAGCCATAGGATTGCTCAGGGCCCCAACGATGAGGTCAAAAGATCACTCCAAGCTGGGGCCCAGATCTTTTTCCTCTCTTGACCCAGCACAGAAAGAATTCTGTAGTCCTGCAGCTCAGGTCACAAGAGTGGCCTCAGAAAAGGGCTTTTGGTGACAGGGAGGGAAGGAAAGCAAGACATATTGTATCCTGTGGAGGCCTCATCTTCCTCCCCTCTTTCTGCAAGGGTTAGATGATGCATTGTTTTGTAGGGTGGAGGGAGCACAGAGGTGCCTCCTTACATACAATGTCCATAATCCAGAGCCGTGGCTCCAATTCAGAGTCAATTGAGTTAGTTGGGTTTAGGACCCATTGACATCAATGGCACAGAAACCAACATGTAGCATCTGGGGCCTTTCCCCTGTCAGCCAACCCCAAGGGAAGCATGGAAGGAGACAACGAGGAAGAAGGGTTCTCATGGGCGCCTCCCTCCCCCAATTCTGGAATGGTTGGAATGATTTCCCCATTGAAGCCCACCTGGAACCAAAATTGCCAACTTTTCAGTATCACATTAAAACTGCCCTCTCTTCTCAGGCATTTAAAGCTGAGTAATGTCAGCTGTGTCAATTAGTTGTTTCACTGAAATTGCTTTACATGTTGACATTGTTTTAAATCTTGTATACTGGAGTTTTAGATTGCATGTTATTGTATCTGTATTTTTAATTGTATCTCTTTGTACTGTACTGTGAATCACCCAGAGGGCTTCCGCTCTTGGGCAATAAAGAAATAAATAAGTAAATACAGTTTTTACTCCACGAATCCCAGTGAGACTTTAATGTGGCTAATGTTGGTTGGATGCAGGCCTTGTCTGTTCAAAGCTGGCTAGAACTTAGGTGCCATGGAGTTACCATGCCTAGAGAGGACCTTCACTTCGGCCGGCTTTCCTAAATTCATGTGTGGTGTTTGCTCTTATGAAATTAGCTGAATGTGCAGAAACATTTGCTTGCTCCTTTCATAGACCCCACCCTCTGCCTAAATCATGCCCTTACCCGCAGAGCCATGAAAAGAAAGACAGATGGAGTCTAGCAGAAATACAGCTAGAGTTGCTGATATTGTAACTTACTTCACTTGCTTCTGTGGTATTGCCAGTCTCATTATTGTTTGTCTTAGTTTGGTTCTCAATGGAGAAACTGTGAATGATGCCAGAAATGCAGAGTGGTCCAGCAAACCCCAGAAGGTCAGCTAAATAACGGAACGTACTGCTGAGAAGGATTGGCCGCCCAAAAGCCCGATATATGGCGAGCCAGATGGATGGGACACGGTTCGGATGACTGGCCACTCTTTTCTGGAAAAAGAAGTAGGCTGGTAAAAATCAATTCCATAAAATAAAGGCACTGTTGATGCAAGCTTAGAAAGAAAGTCCCACAACTGCAAGCAATTCTAAGCATGCATACGATGACACCCTAAAAGTACCTTCTTTAAAGACCTGCAAATATTGCATTTCTCCTTAAAAACTGAATTGCTTAACATTAAATAATCTGAATTTGTTTCCAGATACATTGACCCAGTTTGCATATCTCAAGGGGTGGCTATGTTGCCTGAACATTCCTAGTACAAGCAGGAAGGGCTAAACAAAGCATGAACAATTCTGGTTTATTTAGTGTGATGTTAACCAGGAACTCGGGTTTGTCCCTCCCTTGACAAGCCAAAGGAATAACCCAAAAAATAGATAAATGATCCACAAGGGTCTTCTAGATTTATCAAGATGAACAAACCAGGCTATTGGAGTTAATGGAAGGTTTTTTGTGTAGAGGATGAATTACACTGTTTGTCAGATACAAATGCTTGTGTTCCACCTTAAAGGGGGACATCTTTGGAGGCTACAAGGACAATAGCAAACCCCCAGGACTGTGTTATTGCTGCCACCATGCATGCCGACTGGGTGTGCACACACCTACACTCATAAATAAATATATGCACACACATATACCCACACCTCCTCCTGGACTCCAGCATCTTAGATGGTTGTCACAGGGAGGAAGGACGGGCCAAAGTCTGTTCCCCGTCCCAGCAATCATGACCCAAATTGCTAGGATTCAGGGTATGGCCTGCAAGAAGGCGTTAACCTCAATCCATCCAACCCAGCTGCCAATCCCAGGGGCTTGCATCAAGATCATCTGCCTCATCCTTCTCCCAGCAAATCACCAGGATTAGGGAGGCAGATTGATGTTAAAACTCACCTCTCTCATCTCAGTGCTCATCTCATGATTACTGGGAGGAAGAAGAGGATTTCTCTGTGTCCTCCTTCCAATGCTCACGCTAAGAAAGAAGTTGTACAGGCCTAAATCCCCTTGTGTGGCCTCATTTTCCACAGGACCAGATTCTATTCACAATCCCTTCCCAGCAGAATCTGCCCCTACTTGTTGGGAGTAAATTCTGATCAGGATCAGGGCATGTGGGGAGAGTAATCCTCACATGTCTGATGAATCGGTTGTACTGAGAAACAGAACACTCCTGCTTGCACACTAGCAGAATCAGGCTTCTGCCCACCCATAAATTTGGCCCATTTTGCTTTTTCACGTGTGGTTTGAGGGGATTACTCTCCTCATTCTCTCTGTGTGACAAGGGCAGAAGTGCCCATATCAGGGGAATGGGGCATCAGAGCACCATGGGAGGAGAGGGCTCCTGCAGCAGGCCACAGAGGCCAACTCTGGGGCCGCTCCCAGGTCATGAGTTGCTCACCCCTGCTCTACTGGACTCGAAAGCCTCCAATTTGCACCATGTTGAAGAAATACATAAACTTGAAGAAATATCAGTTGGAACCTACACTGAAGTCTGTTTATTTAAAGCAGGCTTTTTCTTCTTGATCTGAATGAGTGAAATCCATCCACTCTGAGCAAGATCAAGGTTCAAGACTTCCTCAGGAATATGGAAATGGGAATATTCATTCGCATTTCACTCAAACAGCCCCCAAAAGCCCTTTCCAGGCCTTCTGGAATTTGCTCACGGCAACCTCCAGGCTCACTGCAGGGCTGGAGTTTGCTCATTGCTGGCCTATCTTCGTGTGGATGAATATGACTGGGTGGCAGCAGGATCCACTCTGTTTCTCGGAGTGCCGTCTGTGCTCAGCTGGCGAGCTCAGTGTTCAGGCACTCCAGGATCTGTTGGGTGGGGTGCAACCTGACCCCGTAAGTCCTTTTGTTCTTTGAACGAAACAGATGCCTTAGAAGGGCTTTTTTCACCTCCACGTTTAGCTTGGGCAAATGCTCATTCTTACAGGTTTTAGTGATAACTTGTGCCCTATGATCCCTCTCGGGATTGTTTTGTAATGAAAGGATGGAAATACTTTTTATAAATGAATCTGGTGGCAGTTTTGCCACAAATATACATACACATGCCTTAGGTGACCCATATGTAATATAAACTACATATATACTAAGCAAGGTTGCTGGAAGGATTACGATGAGCCATTGCAAGCAAGATGTTTTGAAATCCTTGAACCTGCTTTGCAACAATATAATTAACATGAGAAAGGAAGTCAAATGAGGGTTTGACGATATTCCTCTTGATTTTAAAGCCATAGGATGTCCCTCCTCAAATGTTTGATAATGAATAGAGAGGAATATTTTTAAAGTCTATTTCTTTTATGTATTTGTGACTTGGTCATTATAACTATTTCCTATAATTTTTAGTCATTTATTTTGATGAGTGGCTGTAGAGTTTCCAGTAAAACACACACACCGCACACAGAGGGAGCGGGAGCCTGGAGTTTGCAACAATCGCGATGCAACACTTTGCACAGGAAAGGTCATCTGGTCATCTTTGTCTGATTTTTAACAGGTTCTTGAGCCTTTTGATCAGCATTTTTAAAAGCTAGGGTTGATTTTTTTTAAATCATGTCCTTATTGTGCTAGTTTGTTACTACGCTGGTTTCCATGCAGTTGTTTCCAGAACTACATTTTCATTTGCTTGTTGAGCATGAGTCCCCGAGTATTGCCCTTCAACACAGCAAAGCAGGATATAAATACCAAGATAATTTTCAAAAATGTCAGGTCTTTTTTCTAGACCTGGAGGCTCTTTATCTGAAAGTGCCAATTCTTGAAATCAGAACATTCACAATTTGTACACTTTCAGCTGCAGCCTCCTGTTAAATTATCTCTGATATAACATCATGATGGGGACCCCAGTAACCTTCATGTTCAACAATAAACTGATGAAAGGATTTCGGTAAGAAAAGACGCCTACATTCTGTGCGGGGAAAGAATGTACTCAAGCTAGTTTCTATCCTGCTTCAGGACAAGATCCCTAAATCAACGCTTGCTCTTTAAAGGAAACGTATGAGCTGGCTACACATGAAGACTAGCTGGCCAGATCCCCACAATTAAGTCTGCAGCACCAGCCTAAAAAGAGACTTACATTAATAGCTTCGTCAAGGTCTCGAGCTGTGATGTATGTAATTGCAGAATTTTCCTATGTTTGCTAATGGTTCTTTTCTTTTTTAATTGGATGTGCAAGAACTGACGTAATGGAATCATGGAGCCTGCTGGCTTTTAGTTTACTATAGGCCTGGAAGAATGCTGCAGAAGGACTACCGTGGAAAATTACCATGGTGTCCTCTCAATTCTGATCTCAGTAGTGTTGCCACTATCATTGCTGGGAGAGCAAACCTGCTGTGAGGTACTGGGGCAATAATGCCCCCCCCCCACAGTCCCGAGGCCAGCCCTGCTCCCCAAGAAAGCAAGCAAGATGAGAGTGTAGTAAAACAAGATTATTCCTATAAACCACATCAAAGGACTTGCATGTGGATAACACCATTGTTTTCTTGCATTCTTAGAACTTCTAAGATGCATGATTCTTAGTTGCCTTTTCCTTCTCCCACATGAACTAAACACACTAGGGAACAAGAATTGCTGATGCTCGGATGAGGGACTGCCTGGGAGCCCCACCTGTGCTGCCCCGATGGAAGAAAGATACACTATTATTATTCATTTGCTATGTATTTGTTGCAGAGAATCCACATACCGTGTTCCAGTAGGCTAGCAAAGCAGTTTACACCAATGATAGATGAGTCCAATATGACAACAAAAAGATAGCAGAACAATCAACCGTACTGGCTGGACCGTTCCTCAGGGCAAGCCTGCATGAAGAGGTGGGCCTTGGGCAGAAGTCTAAAGTTCAAAACTGAAGATGCCTACCTAGAGCCAATGGGGCGCATGTTCTAGAGAGGAAACACGGCAGTCCTACATGACTGACGCAGGAAGGGTGGAAGATGTGGTTGGCTATCAAAGGCCCCAGCTTCATTCTCCAGGTAGGACTGAGGGAAAACCCCAGTGGAGCACCTGGAGGGCTGCTCCCAATCCATGTGGACAACACTGAGGTGGACTGACACTGGAATGAAGCAGGCATCTGTGTGCAAGGAACAGCCCTCTGAGGAATGCAGATATGGGAGGGTGTGGCAGAAAACCTACGCAGTCCTCGCCTGTGCTGGTAAGTCAGAGGGAGAAGAAAGCAATTCACCCTTTTCTGCCCTTTGGGACATCTCCAAGCATGTCAAGGACCTTCTGTGCCTGACACTGAGCCACATTTTGGAAGCCCAGTGCAGTTTCTGGGGGAAGGCAGCTGGGAAACCACTGACCTTGCGTAAGGATAAGAAGCTGTGTCAGTTCAGCCTGTTACCTTTTGCTCCTCGTAGGCATCTTTCAAGCAGACATAGTTTGTCAGAGCTCGCATTGCTATGGGCAGCTTCCCGATGGCCTTCAGGTCAATGGGCTTCTTGTGAGCCGATATGATAAGCGTGTTCATCCACCAGTATGTGGCCTTGGAAACCAAGTTGACGAATGGCTGGAGGAACCTCACACCCAAATCCTGAAGATCTTCAGGAGGCTTCACCTTCTGAGGGTTCGGGAAGAAGACGTATTTCTGGGGATAGAGCAGCACAGAACATATGAAGTGGCATGTGCCTCCTTGCCAAGGGAACACTATCTCATTCTTCCTCCAAGGAGCTCACAGTGGCAAACATGGTTCCATCTCTCTCTCTCTCACACACACACACACACATGCTCACAACTCATTTTATCCACACTGCACCTCTGTAAGGCAGGCTGGACTGAGAATGTTCAGGACTCTGGCAAACCTTTCCTGGTCAGAGGGCAGATCTGGAACTTTCATGGTGTGTTGTGGGCCCTCTTGAAAAATGGCTGCCTTGGTGGGGAGATCTTGTCCGTTCATGAAATGACTAGCGTGGAGAGTCACGGATGCTCATTTCCCAGGTGACAAACTGGTCAGACTAAAAGTCAGCTAACTTTCCCAAGAACTTAAGGCCAAGGCAGAGGTGCGGTCCGAGCTTCAAAACAGAAGCTTTCAGCCCAAATAAAACCAGTCCCGGAAGGCAGCCTTCCCCTTTGCAACACGGCAATGTCCCAATTAAAGATTATTTAGAAAAGTAAGACATAAGATAAAAATCAGGAAAGGCAGTGAGCCTGGCAGACCCATGAGAGGGGTCTGTAGACATCACACTGGAGACCCCAACATCTGAGCAACATTTGCCTTCTCAGGGAATTCTTCCCAGTCCTGCAAAACCACAAGCTTTTCTGGACACCAGAAACCTGATTGCTCCCTGTCACTGGATGCCCCTGCTCCAAGTCATCCCTTGGTGATCAGCTGAAGAGGATCAAGAGACTTGCTATCTCTTACAGGCACAACAACGCTTTAAAATGGGAGGAGAAAGTGTTTCAGTCAGTCCAAAATTTTCTTTAGATGCAGAAGTTCGTGTGCTATTCTTGTCTGAACTGATGATTGTGAATCGGAGACACCTTAAGCAGGTTGCAGGTTCTCCACTCCTGTTAGAGGAAAGGGGTTATGCAGTGCCCTCCCATTCAGACCCTAAAATTATACGGTCATGGGGAGGAAGCCAGCAACATGCTGGAGTAAAACAGTCAAGCCATTTTAAAACAATACTTTACTCCTGAATGAAAATTAGTCAGTACTGGTGCACGTTCACATCTTAAATTTGTGAACAAGAGTCTATTCTGAATAAATGAAGGGATGAAAACAGTAGGTATTCCATGAGAATAAAAGGGATAAGATTAATTATCTTCAGTTGTAGCACTGAATTTCTTTTGGTTCTCTGTCTTTAAGGGCTGGAAGACAGAGCTGGATATACATTTCAACAGGCAACAAAGCTCACGGGAAGTGAAAGAGGCAGATATCAAAGGAAGAAAAATGATGCAATTGCTAGTATGTGTGAGAAGTGGGAAAGGGATGGGAGGGAGTGGGATGGATAAGTATCCTCTCTCAACACATTGCACAATGCACCTGCAATTGTTATTTAAGGGGTCCTAAATCTACATACTAGAAAGGAAAAAGGAAATTCTCCAAGCACTGAAAGAGAGAATTGGGAGAAATAAACAGCAGCACAGAAATGATTAAAACGAATGAATCAGCGTTGACAAGGGCAATCCACCTGGGGATATCAGTTGTCAAGTGGCTTGCGGGTAACACCATAAAGTTGCCGTGAAGAAACGTACCCTCACGCGTATCACATTGATCTCCACCGCCATTAGCAATCCGTACAGGACGACCATGATTCCGGTGATACAGAAACGCAGCTGGCCAAAGGAGATCGCTTCTTGGCAGTATCGGACCAGCTTGATCGTTTTGGTGATGAAGGCCATGATCCAGTACAGAAAGAGAGCTTTGGCATAAAGCAAATGTGCATTCTTAGTTGCATGCATGCATCATTTATCCTCCAATTGATCAAGCAAGCAACACTAGAACATTAGAGCAAGGATGCATAGCCCTGGCCAGGCAGCCAAATCCTGTCCTCATGGATCACAGTGCAGCCCTTTGGGCGTCTCCAGAGAGCGCCAACCTCTACCCTGTGGCCACACCCATTCCCCCAAATGAGCTGGTTTTGTGCATTTCTCCCCATCCTAAAAGGTCGCAATGGTTCTCCTATGGCTTAGTACGAGCTTTAAGCTTCCATATGCTTGGATTTTGGCCTTGTCCACCCTTGGAAAGGGGTCCTGGGAGCTCCTCTGAAGTGGAATTCAACCTTCAGGCCAAATGAGGTTCCGGGCCCCTGGTTTGGAGACGGCCACCAGCAGCATGGGCCCATCCCCCGTTGGCTGTGCCACACGTGGGCCCCACAGCCCAAGAGTTGCCCAGCTCCCCTTCAGGAGCATTCACAACGTTCTTACCCAGAAGCAGCTTTGGGAAATTGGATGTCTCAATATTGTGGTAATACACTATAGATGTGGTAGCGGCTACAAATCCCATTATAGCAGGAAGGAAGAGATGCAAATGGCGAGCTTCTAACCGTCTATGAAGGAACAAAGAAATGGGGTCAGAGGGTGAAGCAGAGCAAAGAAAGGGAAGAACTGATTCCAATCTCACTTCTGCAATGGCTTTACTATCAATGCATCATCATCATCATCATCATCACCACTATTACTACTACCACCACCATATTAAATCTACACCCCACCTTTCTTCCTCTTGCAAGAAGCCTACGGAAGTTTACAAGGTTCTCCTCTCAACCACGACACTGGAAGGTAGGTAACACCGAGAGTCTGTGACTGACCCAACATCTCCCAGTCCATTTCATGACTGAATGGAGACTAGAACCCAGATCTCCGGAGTCCCAGTTCAGCACCCTACCTCCCACAACACATGGGCTCTCGGACTCAGGCAAGCCCTGATACCTCGAGCCTTCCTTCTGCAATCTGGAGCAATAATGCTGACCCAGCTTACAGCAATCCTTACATAGCTGTGAACCTATTCACACCTTGGTGTTTAAGAAGAAGCTCCAGGTGACCAGACAGGCCCAGGTATGTTTTGCTTAAGTGGAAAAAAGTTGAGCCTTTCCCCACTCCAGGATGTTGATAAACCAAAAACAATTCCTATGATTCCATGCAAAGCCAAAGTAGGACAAATTCCAAACAGAAGGATATTCTCACCAGTACTCAAGGGGCTACACTCTGCATCAGTTTATTTATTTAATAGATAAATACTTAATATAAAAATAAACATGTAATAAATTTATAGACTGTGCCTATAGCCTTATTAGGCCTTTCTGGGTGGTGTACATCCAGCGCACTACAATAGTCTGGTCTGGGCTTCACTAAAGGAATAAACCCTATCAGCATGCAGACATCCTAGGGCAGAATTCACATGGGTTCCCAGGAAGCGACCTCCTCCAGTTCTCCATTGTAATGCAGGGCAGTTTGTTAGCTTAGGAGAGGTTTCTCCAACCTGGCACTGTCCAGATATTTTGAATTCATCATCTTTGTCCATTGGCTGTGTTGGCTTGCCTAGGGTTGGGATTCGCCCTTGCAGAATCTGACCCTCCAGAATACGTGGACCTCTTCCCATGCTCAGCCAATTCTGCAAAGTGGGCCAAGCCAAGATGAAGTCTGTGAACACCCTCAGACCTTCACCTGTGCAACTGGCACCTTCCCCATCAGGAGGAGCTGCAAGATGCGAAGAGGGGAGCTGTGGCAGGTGCATCCTGGTGACCTATTTTCTTGATGGAGATACTGAGCCTGGCACTGTCTGCACAGTGTATCGGGCTTGATTCCACACACAAACCCTGGACGTGCTCACCAGGAACACGGGCTCTGGGCCACTGCAAAGCAAACCAGAGTCCAGGAAGCTGAAATCCAGAAATCCAACGGATTTTCCACACAAAATAAATTCCTCGCACATGCCTAAGCTCAAATTAATGTGAGATGAATCTCAAAATATCTGGAGGGCAGTAACACTAACAGCAATCCAGCTGGGAAAATCTGGGGTAGGATCTTCTCAACAGCCAAAGTGAAAGGACAGGATGATGGAAAGTGTTAGAGGATACAAGTCTATTCTGTTAGCACAGGGGTCCAGAGCGTCAGGCCCTCCTAGAGAACCAATCTGGCTTTCTGGCGTTTCCCAGCTGGCCCTACACCCACCCCCTGGTCTCACCCCTTTCCCACAACCAACAGTCATTTAGTGATATTCTGCTTTGCATGGTGTTTCTCCCCATGCTAAAAGGTGGAATTGCCTCTCCCAAGGTTTAATGGGTGACAATAAGTTTTAAGCTAAAATACACTGGGATTTTCAGTCTGTCCCTTTTGGCTTTGGCTGTGCCAGTCACTGGAAAGCCATCCGGAGATTCCCCTAAATGGAATTTGGCCTTGGACTCAAAGAAGTTCACTGTGTTAGCAGGTCAAAGAACAACAGTAGATTCAACGGGGAGAAGAATATGGATCAGGCAATATTAGGGATGGGCAAATTCAGCTTTATAAAATCCTTGTCAGTTTTGCATGTATTCAGTCTTAAGTCCAATTCATGCAATTTCTACATCAGTCTGCAAATCCGAAGAACAAATAAACCACAAACAAAAACTTGCATATGAAATTTGTTTTTGTATATAAGTTTCCCTAACCTAGGCATCTTTGTCATGCAGCTTTCCCTAATTTATAATATATAGATTTTTGCATGTTATTTTTCAGCTCAGAACTGCATCACAAAATTAGAACTGCACATTCTAAATGACAGACCAGAAACTTCAAATTAGGCCAGTTCACTTACAAATGGGGAGCAAACAAAGGTCTCTTTTCCTGGACAGGATGCAAAATGAACCACGTGTTACTGGCATTTTTCATCTTGCTGTCAAGATGTTACCACTACGAAAGTGAAATGCAGGGGCAGAACCTTTTCCCTTGGATGCAAAGATGCTTTCAAAGGAAGAGGAAGTTGTGACCTTTTGGGAAAAACTTGGATTTTATGAACAGCTTTGCATTATTATTTTTGTTGCTTGCACTTATTTATTTATTTATTATTTATTTAAAATATTTATATGCCGTCCTGTTGCAAAAAGCCTCAGGACGGCTTCCAACATAAAATACATCATAAATAAATTCCCGACCCACACTGACTGCAGTTAAAAACATAGAAAAGACAATATTAAAACTTATTAAAATATTGCTGGAATAAAAAGGTCTTAACCTGGCGCCGAAAAACAAATAACGATGGTACCAGGCGGACCTCTCTGGGGAGCACATTCCAAAGATGGGGCACCACCGCAGAGAAGGCCCTCCTCCGGGTACTTTGCCTCCTGATGTCTCTCCCGGAGGGCTCCCGGAGGAGGGCCTCTGCTGCCGATCTCAAGGGGCGGGAGGGCAAATATGGAAGCAGGCGTTCCTTCAGGCCTCCAGGTCCCAAGCCTATTACAATGACTATTTCTCATGTCTCCCTTTTGCAGGGCTTGTGCAGTCTTCCTTCTCTCCATGTTATCCTCACAACAACTTTATCCTCCGGAGTCAGTGACTGGCCCAGAGTCACCCAGTGGGGACTTCAACACAGACCCTTCCAATACCACTCCAGCACTGAGGTCACAAGCCGACCCTGGCTCGTCGCACGGCAAGGCCGTGTCGCCGCCACCTCACTCCCAAGCACTTACGTATCTGAAACGATGCCCTCGCCTATTTCACACACGTGGACAAACAGGAGGGTGAATGTCAGGATCCATCGCAGATTGTGTCCGGGGAAGTGCAGCCATGTGTTGTGATGGATCTGAACCTTTGAGCTTTGGCTCCCCCATCCTGAACACAAAAATTATATCAGATCAGCGTTACAAGGCAGTGCCGGAAGCGAGCTTGCACCCCACATCTCCATCAGAAAATGCAGAGCTGCATGTGGCTTAGCCAAAATCTGATGCAAGTTCACCATGTTTTCAAGGCTTGGCTGCCTCGACATTATGGGCCTCTCTTTTAAGAGAGCCAAACTCCCTTACAGGTGACGCTTGTGGAACCACCATTTCTGTGACTGTGTGTATGTGAAACAGAAACAGCGGGGAGGAAGGAGATGAGGACCCTGGCTGAATTAGACCAAGCTCCACCTGGTCAACATTCTGTTCACACAGGGGCTAGTCCGTTGTCCATGGGAAAACCTCAAGCAAGACACGAATGAAATGGCACCTGCTTGCCCATGTTCCCCAGCGACTAGACCTGATATTGAGGCAACATAGAACCATTGGGACTAGTAGCCCCTGACTGCCTTCTCCTCCAGGGATCCGTTCAATCCCTTTCTGAAGCAGTCCAAATGGATATATTAGCAGGGCAACTGGATTACTTACCAATGAACAATATAGGAAAGGTGATAAATAAGAGGAAAACATGAGGTACCAAGTTGAGGGCATCTAGAAAGCAGACGTTCCTTAAGAAGCCGTGGCTGATGTCGTAGGCAGAGGAGTTGTCGCCGCAGAAGGCCACATTCATCGCTCCCACGGAGACGGCTGCGCTGTCAAAAGCAAGACAAGCAAGAATATCGACGTGGGATAAAACAAGGAAAGTTGCTTGGATGCTTCTCCTTACCCAGAAACCTTGTCCAAGGGGACCGTTGTCCTTCCAATGTTGTAACATCCGCCTTCTAGCTGTTGAAGGGTATTCTGAGCTCACAACATACTGAGCCCGGCCCTACCTTTGGGCAGCGAGGGGCGGCTGCCTCGGGCAATGCAGGCCGGGAAGTGCGCGATGCCTTGCAACCTGACCAGCACCTTCGGCCCTCCTTCCTGCCACCATTGCTGAGCTCCAATGCAGCTGCCCACCTGGTAGGTTCCATTCATGGAATGAGGGAGGAGGGCCCATGCCTTCTCGTCCTTGGCTCGGGCAGCAAAATGCCCCACCCCTGACCTGGGGAAACCTCCGTGATGGCATTCATGCATTTCTAGCAGCAGCCTAGCATTTCTTGCTGCACGAAATTCATTAGGCGTTTGGTTTGTATCCCGCCTTTCCTCACGAGGAGCCCAGTGTGGCTGAGAGGGCACCTACAGTGGATGGGAGAGCTTCCTCTGTCACACCTGAGGGGAGCAGGTTTGCCTAGAGGGCCCAGGGCTGGCTGTTTTGCTCACACAACTCTGTCCTCTGACAGTCCCCCCAGCGCCGGCTACCTGAGGATGTTTCACTCTACCAAATCTTTGGTACTTGGAATATCCTGTATGGTTCTGGTTGCCACACCTGAAAAAGGACTTCATTGAGTTGGAAAAAGTGCAGAGAAGGGCAATTAAAATGATCAGGGGGCTGGACCAGCTCCCCTCTAACAACTCGGACTGTCTAGCTTAGAAAAAAGGTAAGTAAAAGGAGATGTAATACAGATGTTTAAAAGTATGCATGGGGTGGAGAGAGCAGAGAAGGAGACATTTTTCTCTTTGACCCATAATATTAAAACCTGGGATCATCCCATGAAGCTGATTGGGAAGAGATTTGGAACAGGTAAAAGGGTTTCCTTCTTCACACAAATTGTTGCCGCTCTGTGTAATTCACTGCCATGGGAAGTATGGATGGCCACCAATTTGGATTGCTTTAAAAAGGCACTGGACAAATCCATGGAAAAGGTGGTTATGAGTGGCTGCTGGCCATTGGCTACCTCCACTATCTGAGGTGGCGTGCCTGCATGGACCAGCTGCTGAGGAGCTTGGGCAGGTGGAGGCCATCCTGCATGAAGGACCCTGTGGGCAGCTGGTTTGCCATCATGTGTACAGAATGCTGAACTAGAGGGACCATTGATCTTACCTGGCGTGGTTTTTCTTATGCCCATTCCTGGAGTTGGTTCCAAACTAAATTCCCCTCTTCCTTTTCCCACCAAACAGAGTTGGCTCCACCCCCAAGGAGATTTAAGATGCTTTTATGGGCCAGATGGCAGAAACATCAGCCACAACTTAATTGGGCCACTCATCTGACTAAGCTTTGACTCGAAGAATCACTGGGGTGATAAATAGACACCTCTCCTCCTCTAACCCTCTGTTTCATCATGTCTCTTTCCTGAACCAGAAGCAGTCTGGTTCTCAATTAGCCACTTGTCTAATCTCAGAGCTCATTAGCTTTGCTATTTCAGCTGAGCATTCGAACTCACCTTCTTGTTCAAATACAGAGTCAGAATCTGAACTCTCCAGCTGGGAATGTTAGTTTGGAAGAAACGGGTCAAGTTCCTGCTTAGTGTGTGGCAGCCTTGAAGACCATTCCTATGCCTGTTGTCTCCGAGAAGTAAGCTCTTTTGAGGTCAGCAAGGTTTATACCCAGACAAGAGGCTATAGGACTGTGCCCTTCATTTTATGCTGCCACATCCTTCCTACCATCCTGCTTGGTGAACACACTAAAGGATTGCCTAGGATTTCAGAGACACTGTGTTGCAGCCTTCCCCCGTGTGCCACCCTTGAGGTGCGTCAGATTACATCTCCAATGATCCCCAGCCTTGAGGGCATCCTGCCCAAGGATGATGTGGATGTAGTCCAACACTTCAGGCCAACACAGTTTGGAGAAGCTTGGTTGTTTGCTACAATACACAGGGCTTGCCTTCTTGGACTCCGTTGAGCTTTGACAGAACTCCTTATGGCACAGAAGCATTTTGCCATTGCTGGAGGGAACTGAGCTCCACAGAGCGAAGTGTGATTGCAAGGGGCTCTCTCCAAGCAGAAGCAATCAATTGAGGAGAATGCCCCAGAAGGCACCTCCTGCAGTTGCCTGGCACGCCCACATATCCGGTTACAAGCAGAGTAGAGGATTGTGCTGTGACTCTTGACATGCTTCCTTATTCCTCATGCTTGGCATGCAGCCCTGATGAAACAGATCCTCAGGGGAGCTTGGGTTCCCAGCGCTGTTTAAAGAGTCAAGTGGCTACTCACTGCTGGGGAGGGGGGGGGGCAAACCTTGCAAGAATTGCTGGGCAGGGGTGGAGCTTGGAGAGGTCAAAACAGTTTTTGGAAGCCATCCTGGACATGTTTAAAGATGAAAATGTCCTACAATTCCCAGCATTCCTGACACAGCCCTGCGTTAGATGACATCTTTTATGGCCTAGCACCTTCCTACTGAAATGCAGTGGCTGAGTTTACTTGTGCGCTTGCGCTCTCTCTCTCTCTCTCTCTCTCTCTCTCTCTCTCTCTCTCTCTCTCTCTGTTTTGCTCCACAGATGTGCAGGCGGTTGAGAAAAGGGGATTCCTGATTGTGATGTAAATACATGCCTCCAAATTTCACTCCTGGACAATGGGCTTACTTCCAGACAAAGCTTTTATTTTACATCCACCCTGCTGCATGCACAGAATATTACACAGAGATCCAGGAAGTGGCATCTTCTTATGGCCCTCCCATCTTTTCCCATCACACCTTTCATCTTTTTAGTTTCCACGGAGAAAAAAAAGGAAAAGGGGAAAAGGAAACTCATGCACACACCCATGCAGGAGGAAAAGACAGACTAAACTTTGCACAATATTGTTTTGATTGCAAAAGCCTTCCATCTGGAAGCATGTGTAAATGTATTTGGCATCATGTTTTCATCAGGGTAATGGAATTCCCAGAGCACTTTACAGCACATTAAAGTAGAAAAGATGTCTGAAATGAAGTGAGTACCTCATTCCTTCCCCTCCTTTTCAGAGGAGGCAAAAATGAGGAGAGGGGATGTTCTGCAGCTCTCATTTCCCCTGCCCAAATATCCCTACAAGACCCAAAAAGGTCTTAAAAGTCCAGGTACAGAAAACAATCTTTCCTGAACTCCCCAACAGACACGCAACTTCACACCAGGTGAGCTTCCCTGAGAAACATAAATCAGATTTGGATTGCTACAGCCAAAAAGGCCTGCAAACTCAGACACCTCTGAAGGCAGCAGGATCCAAAGAGAACAATCATTTTTGGGAAGGTCTTTGTGGAGACGGCCATGACTGGATCTCAGACATTTAGCACTGATTCAACCATCTTCCTTGTCCAGAGGGGAAAACATGACCAATGATGTTGACAGGAAGCAGCCCCTCTCTCGAAAAAGTTTCCCCTTCTTTAAAGTCATCACCTTGTCACCAGCCTTAAAAATAACACTTTTCATGCTGCGTTAAGAATAGGCATTTTTACAGCGGCCCTGTCTTTAACACACTTAACGGAAGTGAAATGTTGCATACAACTGGAAAAAGTGCAGAAAAATCCTATGCATGGTTAGACAGAAGGAAGTCTACCAATCCACAGCTATTTTTCTCTGAGACATTGCATAAACTGATTTATTTGTATCCACGGCCACCCTGAGACGTTGGGGAATCCCGTGGACAGTGCTTTCATGTCTTGCTGTGGGGTTGGCCGCTGTGGAAAAGGAATCCTTGGCCAGACAGAAGGCTTTGATCTAATCTAGCCCTGCTTCTCTGCTCACAACTTGCCCTTTCTGAGGCTCTCACAAACAAGCAGACAGACCTCCAAGACTTTACCTTGCTCACGTGGTAATGCTCTGTATGCCTATCCATTCTACCATGAATGCTGCAAATTAGACTCAAGATATGCACGGGTAAAAAAGTAAAGATATTCTCACAACCATTTAGCAAGGAATGACTGGCAAGGCAGTGTGCACCAAGAACATTGCACAATAATGAATTACGTTAACTTCTAACAAGACATATTCAAAGCTGGCAACCAAATCTAGAGAGTGCTATGAACGTAAGAGCCAGTTGTGTGATATTGTTACATCTCGTTCATTTGCTCTGTTTAGAGACCCTGTTTTTCCGTTCTGAAATGCTGAAACACAGAGCTCTACTTCCCTAAGACACAGGGCTCAGGCAGCAGGTTGGAGCAGTTGTGGATGGCACCCTCTTCCACCACCCGGAAGGCCACCTGGTGCTATTTCCCCGTCGGGCGATGGCTGCCACCTGCCTGCCGATTGCTACAGCCTTGGCCACAGCAGGGGAACGGCCAGTGGAGCTCTCTGAAGAACCCGAGGGGTCCTTCCTCTGAGCAAAGCATTCTGGGCAAGGAGGCCTCGGAGCCTGCCCCTGCCACCCAGGCTGATCAATTCGGCTTAAGCACATTGGGCCTATCAAGTCCCCCATTCATTCCCATAGAGGCCAACCCACCAATGCCTACAGGAAACCTAGAAGTACCACATGAGTGCAATCGCACCTGCATTCTTGTGCTCTCCAGCAGCTGGTATACCAGGACGTACCACCTCTGATACTGGAGGAATTGGTAGTCACAGATGGTCTTGTGCGTCATGAATCGTCTTATTAGCCATGAAGTCTCAAATCACTTCACACAATATTTGCCACCATCATGTCAACGCAACAGTGGCAAAAGCATTCCCTGTGGTCACATTACCCAGAATGCCGCACTGTGATAGAGGACCCCTCAAAAGGAGGTAGTCACGGGAGAGAGGCTCTCCAGAGATGCTGATGATGCAGCATAAGGGGGAAGTGGGAAGAGGAAGAGGAGGACCATCTCAGACACAAAGCCTTTGTCCCTGCCCTGCAATGCGTGCTCCTTCTCCTGTGTAACATTTGTATTTCTCTTCTGCATCAGTTGTGTAATATTTGGATATTAAATCCAGTCGATGCATTCCCTATGAAGAACGTATCAGCACTGTGCTACCCGAACTCTGCTCTCTTTCCACAGAATTGAACTCCAGTCTGTTATAGCAGATGGGCTGGAAAAACCTGGGCTCAAATTCACACACAGCTATGAAGCTGACTGGATGAGTGTGGGCCAGACACTGTCTCTGAGCTGAACCTGCCTGTCATAAAGGCAGGGGAACCATCTGCTCTGCCTTGACGTCCCTGAAGAAATCGGGCAATGTCATGCCATAAACAAACAGGAGTTAACTATTTTCTCTTCCTCCTACGTTCAGCCTCATGTTTTATGGCGAATGTCTTCAAGATTCACTCACAGCATCCTTCTCCAGACCCCATGGCTGGTTCAACACACTCAAAGGGCACCAGTTTGGGGAAGGTGGATTTGCAAGTTGTATTTCTTTTCCAAATATGTATGTTGAAAAGCCTTGTGCTCTCTTCCAAATAGATAGCTTTAAAAAAAAGAAATGAAAGTCTAGCTTGCCTTCCTTCAAAGTCAAGGAGAGTGGAATGACTTGACCCTTAGAAGAACTCTGCGAAGCAGGAGATGTGTCCTGCCCAGAGCAACACAACATGACACATCAAGATTCGAAAGTCCCTGAAACTGGCATCCAACCACTAGCTGTCCCACGCTGCTTCCCCGTGCTTTGGTTTCTCCCAGCTTTCCGCCCTTTCTATCTTGCCACTGTGATAATTCATTACCAAAAAAACAAATATTTCTGAATAACACAGAGGCATAAGGACTGAGCTGAAACCTAAAAAAGATTAAGGGCGTGCAATCATACTGAGAAGTAAATTCCACTGACCATAGTAGGGCTTACTTCTGAGTACAGTGCCTAGATTTGCACAGTTAAATTCTCAAATCAGTACATTTGCTTGGACATAGTGTTGGACAAGGTTTGACTTGTGATCATTTCTTACACAATGCTGCAAGCCATTGCTTAATGTCTTATTTTTTCATCACAACCTGAACAAACTATCCCTATCTGTTTAGAGGCCCAATTAAATAAGATACCATAGTTTAAAAATTTATGTTTCCAGATAAATAATTCCGTATATGTTATATACCTCTCTGGATAATTCAAATTTGGCAGGTTTAGAACTCATTTCAGGCACAAATATACTAAACCATTCCTATCTGTCCCCACCCAACCTATTTATTCTTAATGCCTATGTCCAAAATCCATGGATATAAATGCAAAACACATTGGATTGAGTCCATACTTAGTAATACTTATAGAAGTTCCTTTGCAATTGCTGACATGATTCAAACTCTGCCTAAGTCTGGATTGTTTACCTTTTGCTGATTTCTTCAGAGGTCAGATCATATTCCCTAGACCTAAATAACCCAGGACCGGTTCATGCCAAAACTGAACTCCCTTCTCTGCTGCAGTTTTCAGTGAAAGAGGTTATGTGCACACTGAAGCCATTCCTGCTATCAATAAAGGCAGTGACGGCAATTTTAGGTATGTACGATTCCTCACTAAAGATTAATGGAAGTAAGTAGATGTTTACTTCCAAGAAAACATGCTTTGGATTGCATTGAAAATATGCCCGACGTCTTTGACTGGATTGTGCTGTAGCTAGATAGAGACAGTTTGTGGATCTAACACAACTGGTTAGAAAAATACAGAAGTACAATCACAGACATATCTGGGTTTCGTATAAAGATGACAGTAAAAAGCAACATTTTCAGCTATGTAAAAAGTTCCTCTTTCACTCACTCTTTTTTTCAAGCCTTTTAATGCAGCCACTTGTGTAGTTTCCAATACTATCGTGCTACAACGAAAAGTTATTGTAATGAGAGAAGTAGGAGGAAGGAGAAGGAGAAATTTTCCTTCATCTAAGCAGGATAGCGAAAGTTTTGAAAGAGCTGGTGAAGAAAATGCCAAAGTGATTTTCAGGGATGAGATCTAGAGAAGTACAAAGCCAGGGTGAAGGGTAGATATTTTGTCTCAGAAGGTACATGGGAGAGGAGGGGGAATTAGTAAGGATTGCCTTTTCAGGCCCAGATCAAACTTTGCCAAAGTCTCTTACCTTCAAGGATACACAGTCTCGCACAAAATGTTGAGTAGCACTTCTCTGGGTGTGATGGATATCATTCAGACGACACAGATCAATCTGCTCTGCAAAAAGAAACAGACACAAGACCGAGGGTGGATTATTTTTAGACTGGTACTGAAAAGATCAACTGCTGCCTCCTATCGGGTTTCTGGAGTGCACAGATTCCTCCAGTCTTTCTCACATGTGCGCTCAAGAGCGCAGGGAACTGGGGCAAGACGAGCAAACCAAATATTTTGTTTTGTTTCTTAAACTTTTATCTAAGTGGGTTTCAGGAGTATCCTTTTATGTGCACCAAAGTTACTCAAGAGTGCTCAAAACCTCGCTGAAGCTTAATTTCTCCAGGCAGAAGAGCCAATGCCCCTTTTTAGCTAGCATCCTTGTAGGTTTAAAAATTTCGCGACTGGCAGATATTCAACTGGTAAAGCTGGGGGAATGATGTCATAAGCTGGGGACTGGCTGTCAATACCACTGTTAAAGCAAGGGTACAGCAACTCTTTTTAGCCTGGGGTGAAATTCAGTTAAGAAAAGCTCTCGAAGGCCACACTCAAATGGTGGGGAGCTCAAAAGGCTGCGGCCAAAAATACCAGTGTATTTTATCGTAACTCTCTTACTATTGGTGACTAAATCTTAGGGAAGATATTTCAGCTTTTTGGAAAAGGTGGGGAGCTGCACAGAATCCAGGAAAGCACCAGATGTCCCGTGATTGGCAGGCGAGGAGGGGAAAGGGCATGGCCTGAGGAACCCCAGCTGGCCAGATTGGGACTCTGGAACAGCTGGATTCGGCCCACAGCTCTGAGGTTCTGCACCCCTGTGTTAAAGTCATAGGAGCACTGCTAAAGCACAGAAGGGGGGCAATGGGATTTCAAGGCTGCCCTGTCTAACCGTAGCAACAAACCTCATATTCATGTCTATTCAGAAGTCCCAGATTTCCAGTTATTTCCTAGTACGTGCAAGTAGGACTGAAGCCCAAGGGCAGGAATCTCACGTACATTCTATATGCTAAAATGCACATGCGTTTATGTGATTTTGGGGTTGCTTGGGAAGGAGTGAATCAGGATCAAGGCTGCAGAACGCAGGGAGTGGGGATAAGCCCTGCCCTTCTTGCCACAGACCCAGTGAAATTGCCCCCCGCCCCCCTTTAAAAGGTAAGGTAAAGGTTTCCCCTTGACGTTACGTCCGGTCATGCCTGACTCTAGGGGGCAGTGCTCATCTCCGTTTCCTGGCCGAGGGAGCCAGCGTTTGTCCGCAGACAGTCTCCGTAGCCATGTGGCCGGCATGACTAAACACCCAAGTGCATGGAACGCTGTTACCTGCCCACCAAAGTGGTACCTTTTATCTACTTGCATTTGCAGGCTTTCGCACTGCAAGGCTGGCAGGAGCTGGGACGGAGCAACGGGAACTCACCCCATTGTGCAGATTCGAACCGGCGACCTTTCAATCAACTGGCCCAGCAGCACAGTGGTTTAAACCACTGCGCCACCTGCAGTCCACCCCCCTTACAGGCTGCTAAATGCCCCCAATGTGCAGTGCACAGCCAAAGTTGCCAGGGCCCAAGCTAGGTAGTTGCTCCCCATTCTGTGTTCAGTCTGTCAGACAAGGCTTCCTCCTGTGTAATGTGTGAAACTTGTGTGAGCAGATGCTGTAAATGCCAAATCAGTTTCAAAGGCAGTTGTTCCTGTGATTATTTAAAAAGAAATTTTGAAATAAAGCTGCACCAAATCGGGAGGCAGTGAACCAAAAATCTTGCGGCAAAGCAAGAAGCGAAGTACATACATGTGTGCACACAAGAAACCAGCACAAATTTAGGAAGCAAACCCCCATCCTGAACCCATAGACAGAATGATTTCTTTTTAAATAAATTAATTCATGCATTTAAAAGATGTTGGTGCCCCACCTACAGGATATAAAAGTTGGACGCCCACCTTGGCAATTTTTCCAGGGAAGGTGCGCATGGCTCTTAACTTTCCAGAGGTGTCTTTCATTTCCTGCTGTCCCCTGGGGTGATGTCTCTCTTCTCGTGAGCCCTCTCCCCTGCCTCCCAAAAAGGGCCTGATGCGTAAGTGGAGAACTTGTCCAGATGTTTTGGTCTACAGCTTCCATGATGTACAACCAATGGCTGTTCTGCATATGGCTGATCAGAGCTATAGGCTATCGGCAAAAACTCCCTGAAAGCCAGAAACAGGCTCAGCTCTGTCCTAATGGAACAGGGCAATGGCATCCGCAAAACCACTGCAGGAAGGTTGTTGGATAAGGGCAAGATGGCAGCCCACATTTGTCCAAAATGGGTTGGACAAATTCACGGAGGACAGACTGCATAGCCACTAGGCCTGATGGCCTTATGCTACCTCCAATATCAGAGGAAGTACACCTGCCTAGAGTTGCTGGAGAACATGGGTGGGAGGGGTCTGTAGCATTCACGTCCCATTTGTGGGTTTCCCATGCTGGGAACAAGTGAAGGGAAAAGAAGGGGATGGCAGAGGACGAGGTGGCTGGATGGAGTCACTGAAGCAGTTGGTGTGAGCTTGGGTGGACTCTGGGGGATGGTGGAGGAAAGGAGAGCCTGGAGGAATGTGGTCCATGGAGTCGCGATGGGTCAGACATGACTTCGCAACTAACAACAACATACTAATTACACCAGGGGTTTGGAATAACAGTAGTGTTTATCATGGTTTAAAAATGTGTATAGTCAAGGCTATGGTTTTCCCAGTTGCAATGTATGGCTGTGAAAGCTGGACCATGAGGAAGGCTGAGCGCCAAAGGATTGAGGCCTTAGAATTGTGGTGCTGGAGGAGACTCCTGTGAGTCCCTTGGACCGCAAGGCGATCAAACCGGTCAGTCCTAGAGGAGATCAAACCTGACTGCTCTTTAGAAGGCCAGATCCTGAAGATGAAACCCAAATACTTTGGCCACCTAATGAGAAGGAAGGACTCCCTGGAGAAGAGCCTGATGCTGGGAACAATAGATGGCAAAAGAAGGAGGGGGCGGCAGAGGATGAGGTGGCTGGATGGAGTCACTGAAGCAGTCGGCGTGAGCTTAGCTGGACTCCGGGGGATGGTGGAGGATAGGAGAGCCTGGAGGAATGTTGTCCATGGGGTTGCGATGGGTCGGACACGACTTCGTGACTAACAATGACAACAACAACATGGCAGTTGGCTGGAGACTTAGCAGGTCCTCCCGTCACTTGCTCACAGTCTTTCCCACTTAAGGGAGATGTACTATATTTCTGTGGAAATTCTACCAATTCTTTTCACATGTGCCAATAGTTGCCTCTTTTGTGCTGTTCTGCAAAGCCCATGGTCAGGGAAGCTGGGAGATGAAGTCCGGGAGATGGTCCAAAACTTCTGGAGATCAACTTTCTGTCTGTGCCTGATTAATAAAAGATCTCCTTCAAAGAGGGCACAGCGAAATAGGAATCATGGCCATGCTACTCTGAAGTGCAGTGTGGTAGCATTAGAGGCAGGGTCTTCTCACTCATGGGCCCCCAAAATGGAAAGCTCTCCAAAGGAAGACCTGCCTTCTCCCTTCTTGCTTGCTTTCTCACATGTGGCTTGGTGTGCCAAGATGCATTGAATTTTGTATATCGGATATGCTAGTCTGTGTAGCATTCGTGTTTTAATATTCTATTATTTTTCTATACATGCAGTAAGAGTCATTTATTTTTACATTACATCTGGATTTAATGGGTCGTGACCAATGTTAGTTCTACTTAAATTAGTCCACTGAAATGAATGAGATTTAAGTTAATCATCATGATTAACTTTATTCCCATTCATTTCAATGGGTCTATTCTAAATTGGATTTACATTAGATACCACCCACTATCATTTATAAATATAAAGAAATCTAATTTTTTAAAAATGATTACTCAGATTTGGGTCTGCAACTTTGGAGAGTTTGGTCAAAAGCTTTTTTATTTTCTCCTTGTCCTAATTACAAATATTAGATTCTAGTACACCACAAGTTAAGAACGAGTTCCAATCCTGAGATCATTTTTAATTGCTGTATAAATCAGATCATGTATATAAAAAGCATATAAAACACTTAAGAAACACCTCCTTATACACTAAAACATATTAAACACAATGTAGCATCTTAATAATGATAATACTATAGTAGTAATAAAGTAACTACAGGTACTTTATAACTTGGAGAGAGAGAATTTGTATGGATGAATGTAGGTACCCAGGACAGCTCTTAAAACCATTTAGCTAGAAAGAAAGACAGAAAAAATAGTAAAAAGATTATTAAAGGTTAACACTTTTTGAGATACCATTAAGTCTAACATTAACTGGATGATGATGAAGATAGAACCGATGCTGGAGAGTCAGGGTTTGATTGCGCTGCTGGGAGCAAACGCACTAGCTTGGATTTTCCAGGAGTATGAAGAGTTACTATAGTTCTACAAAACTAGCTCCAATTTTCCAGCTCACTGCTTTCCCCCCGCCCCTCCTTCCCTTTCCCTTCTTCCTTCCACCCCATGCCGCCCAGCGCTTGCTGCCTGTGGGCACCACTTGCTGATTAAGGACGAGGCAGGACTTCTGAGCTCGTTCGTAAGTACAGGTAATTCTTAACTCGGATGTTCATAACTGGGGATCATGCATTCCTATGCGCAGACATGCCATTACTGGTCGACATGTTAAAATCTGCTGTTCTCTCCGTAATTAACAAACTATTTTATGAATGCATAAAATAGTTCATTCCTGTGCATGCATGCTGGAAGTAAATCTCATTTATTTCAACTCCAGGGAAGGGATATGGGATTCCAATTGTGTTTCCTTCTCTGGAGACCCTCTGCAGATTTGGTTAATGGAGCTTGACCTGAACAAACCAGAAGATGTCTTACGCTGTGTGCCTCAAGCACATAGAAAATGCAAAAGGTAGAGAGCCGCTTTCCACATCGTCTTCATCATTTCCTTCATCATCTCTCCTTACAACCAGGCTGCAATGCCTGGGCTACAGTTATGTAACACTCATGGTACAGAATGGCTTTCCAGCTAAGAGCTGTAGTATTTTTTCTACCCTCCCCTTCCTGGTTTGCCTAATCCTCCCCCATTTGTCTAATGAAATAAGACTTACATCCGTTGCGG